AACTTTCAAATGTCAATTTTAAAGTTAATTTACCATAGGTAACCCACAAATTAACTACACCCACAAATTTTACTATTATTTTATAAAAAGGGCACTTTTTTGACGATTTTATGACGTTTGGTCGTTTTAAAGGGGAAGTGGAAAAAATTTCAATGCGAAAAGCAAATATTTTATGACAATGATAGAGTAATTTAAATTCTAAATCTAAAACTTTTAAGGCTTGAAAACAAGGTCAAATGTAGTAATGGCGATAAAGATTGTTATTTATAAATCCAGGGACGTAGCGAGGGAGCTGCAGGAGGGCACCCCCCAATTTTTCCAGGGTTTCGATAATATACTTCATTATTTCCAATGTTCATGAGTAAGGGGTGGGGGCAATTGCACCCATTGTCCCCCTGTATCTGTATCAATGCAAATGCCATTGTTATTTTATAAAAATATGCAGTCTACAAAATTTTATCAAAGTGAAATTAGCAATTTCGATTAAAAAAATATGTTTTATCATATAAAGGATTTAAGAATTTTGGCTACGATGAAAAACAATCATTGCGTGCAAGCAGGCATCAAGGGAATTTCGTTTTAACGTAAAGTTGCCGTTAAAGTTATTTGGGTATGAATGTTTCGTCTCTTCTTCCGTGATCGCAGATATTAACACAGGCACGCTTAGCACCGCCTTGCACCAACCCCTAAACGGGGGAGGTCAGAAAATCTTTATAAAACACAAATAATTTTATTACTTTATTTCTAAATAAACACGATGTAGTTTATTTGTTGCAACAAATAATTATTTAAATTAATTTCCGCGAGAAAGATAAGAAAATTGATAATTAAATTAGGTACTGATTAAAATTTTAGTTGAAATACACTTACCCGCAAACAATTTTATTTTTTTTTATATTAAAGAAGTAGGTTTTCATAAAAACACGGAGATAACTGTTTTGGGAATGTTACCCAGTAATTATTAAAAAATCCAGAAAATTGATTCTCAAACTCATAAACACTGCGCGTCAAAATTAAAGCATAATAAGTAAAAAAATCTAAAACGCCTTTACCAATCATTATAAAATTTTGGATAATAATACTTTAACTTTAACTTATATCTGTTTACGTGTTTAAGGGATTTTCGAGAAAATATCCTTAAAGCCCTTTTATTTAATAATAAAAAAACGCTCGAAAAAAAACTTTTATAGGGAATTTTTTTTAAGTAAATAAAAATATGCTGTGAAAAACCGTATTTTTGTAAGTATACCCTGAAAATGTTGTACAAATAAAACGAACAGTATCGAAAATACAGCGCTTTAAAGTCGTCAAAAATGACCAAAATAATCAAAAAGGGGTCATTTTTACCGACTTTAAAGCACATCTTTGTTTCTGTTCGTTTGATTTGTACAAAATTTTTAGGTTATACTAACAAAAATACGGTCTTTAACAGCATATTTTTTATTTACTTAAAAAAATTTCCCTAAAAGTTATTTTTCAAACGTTTTTTTATTATTAAATAAAAGGGCTTTACAAATATTTTCTCGAAAAACCCTCGAACACGTAAACTGAGATATAAGTTGAAGTATTTTTATACAAAATTTCATAAAGATTAGTAAAGGCGTTTTAGAGTTAGAATTTTTTTACTTATTATGCGTTAATTTTGACGCGCAGTGTATTTAGCATACGTGTGCTGTTTGGCAACTGAGGAGTGATTTTTCAAAAGGCCTTATTTCCATTTTTACTTGAATGTAATTTGTTTACAAAATCCCAAAGGTATGGTTAAAAGGCATATATTAACGGCGAAATATGACAGCAGGTCTGAAGTATTATTAAATATTCATCAGATTTTTTTTTAAATAATCTATATTGCCCTAACCTATACAGGTTATAGTCATTTTTTTGAAAAATTGTTGCAAATGGAAATACGACCTTTTGAAAAATCACTCCTCAACTATTAATATTGCTATAGCAGTATACTTTGCAGTCAGGGAATTCCTTGACTGCAAAGTATACTGCTATAGCAATTCCAAAACTATAGTTTAAACCTGGAATAAATACAAAAACGTTGTAAATGTGTCTTTCACACACGTGGTGATTTCGGAGTGCCTAATTCAACCTTAAAATTACTAGAGAAATACTAAAAAAGCAAGAAAGACAAAAACAACAACATAAACAAATAGTAGGATTTAGGGTATAAATTTAAACTTTAAAAGTAGTAATATGTTTAATAAAACGATATTGGTTTTAAAGTTAACTTAAAAAACTTAAAGTTCTTAAAGGCCACTTATTTTTATGCAAATAAAAAACTATTTGCTCTTAATGTCGTATTAATATCATACTGGTTTTATAATAATAAATTTGCTTTTATAAAAGATTAAATAGCAAGTTGGTTTTAAAACAATCCATTTTGGAACAAATAGTTTTAATGTAGTTTTATGGAGTACCCTATTCATTAAAACCCATTAAGAAAAATATTTTATCTTGGGCCTATATGCTCAATAAAATTCCAGTTTAAATCCAAAAACATAATTTTTACGCTTTAAAGACTACAATAAGAATATTTTAAAGTTCAAAGGTTTTAATTTAGTAAATTTGGTTAAAAAGAAATACCTGTTCGATTGTTGATTCAGATAAAGCCATCTTCTCAATAAGCTAATTTAGTGCAGTTCGTGTATCTTTATACGTGAAAGAAAATTAGAACCCATTTAAAATGGAGAATATTAGCGACAAGTATTTTAAATTAAAACGAAGTGGTAATTAAAAAAACGGTACAATTTGTAAGGTTAGGATTTCTTTCATTCCCGCGCTAGAGCACTTTAAATCAATAAGGCCATGAGTTCGAACATGTTAATGCAACTTAATTTTAAATTAAAGAGTATACTCTTTTTACTTTATTTATAAGTAGACGTTTGCGAGAGTAATTGTACTTAAAGGGGTAAATAAAACGATGTTTTAATTCTTGTGAGAATTAAAATGTTCTATAAATTTGCCATAAGTTTTAATCTAGATCTCGCTATGTTTCATACAAAATACATACTCCGCCATAATGGACATTCTCAATAGGTATCCAAAGAAAAAATCATATTGAAAAATATGCGCCTTACATCCTCTTAAATAATCAAAGATCGGTGTGTCCAAACATGCAATTTAATAAAGACAAGCATTTAGATGCAGATCCAAAATAAAATTTTACGATACCTATTTTTAAATAATAAAAAAACATTAAATTGATGGCGCTCTAGTTATTTATTATATTTTGTCAGAGAAGTGTCATTCGTTGTTAAATTGTTTACCAGAATAGTTTGCATTTGAATATTTCTGTATGATCTGCAGATCTGCAGATGCTATTAACTATTTCTCTTAAAAGTTCTCCCACTTTAGTAGACAAAATAAATCCTTTTTAGGATTAATTATATTGATCCCTAAGGTAATTTAGTCTGCCGCAAATATATTTTAAATGCAAATAGGTTTTAATAAATAGATTTAAAGTAATTTTTTAAGAATATAGTCTTGAAGACCCTTTTAGGATGAGCCCTTTTCGGCTAGAAGCTGCCTTATGATTGTTCTAAGGCTGTCTTAAAGATCATTTGGTTTTATTCAAAGTTTTATTGTATAATTTTAAATCAATACCCAACGAAATATTAATAGTTGTCAAATGTTTAGTAATGCTTATTATTATTATTACAAAATAGGTTCTGGTTTTAACACAGAACACTTCTGTGGGTTTTAAAAATAAAGTAATCAGTACTTAAGTTTAAAGAAATTTCTTCCAAAGTTATAGCAATGAATAGTATATTTAAAAATGCATTTTTCTACGTGTAGATATTATTTTATTATAGGTACATGTATAAACAATTTTTTTCAAAATATATTTTTAAAAATAAATTGATTTTTATTTTCACCCACTTGTAATAAACAAAAATTGGACTATATATAAAAGTTTTATAATAAAACTGATTTTAGAATGACATACTGTAAAAAGTTTTTAATAAAAACCAATATTTTTTCAAATAATTATATTTTGTGAATAAGTGTAATTTTTTCATGAAAATGTTTTTGAAACTCAAAAAAAACTACAAAAGGTTGTCGAAAAATATACTGGGTGGTAGAAGTTTTCAAAATAATAAAAAATGTTATATATTATTTATTAAACATAGTACAAGAGACGACTCATAAGTCAGCCCTCTAAAAGTCTGTCCTTGGAAATGTTTTTTTCTAAATATTTCCGAAACCTGGGAAGATAAGAGTGAAATTCACTGATATACTGGGTGGTAGAAGTTTTCAAAATAATAAAAAATGTTATATATTATTTATTAAACATAGTACAAGAGACGACTCATAAGTCAGCCCTCTAAAAGTCTGTCCTTGGAAATGTTTTTTCTAAATATTTCCGAAACCTGGAAAGATAAGAGTGAAATTCACCTAACTGGTTCATTAGGGGTTTATATAGAGAACTCATCATCAATCTAAAATTTTGGTTGCAACTGTATCGCGATGTGATCTATTTTTCGCGGTCACTTCCGGTGGAACTGGTAACTTTGTTTTTTTTACAAATGAGTCGATCCATATATGAAACGCCGAAACTCGTTGCTCGACCAATTTGGATTTTGCTCAAATTTGATAGAAATATTCATTAGGGCCCATAGGGCAAAATCCACCCTTATTTAATTTTTCGCATGTGTCAAATCCAGCCTATTTAAATTAATACTTTTTAAAAACGTCATTTTTATGGTTTAATAATTTAAGCTGTAATTTTTTTTCTATTAAAGATATTTAAAATATTTAAGAACATTTAATGAAGAATAAAAATAATACTTTTTGTAAAAAACACTTTCCATTTTCTACAAATAAAATTGTTTAATACATTTTTGTTTAACTTGTATTGAAATATCTTTTTGTAGCAATTTGACAGTTTTTTTATTTTACGCTATTAAAAATGTTAAAAAAAATTAAATGGTTCATCTTGCACACCGTCAACAAAATCCTGTAACCATGGACAAAACGGGGCGATTGATTAAGCAAAGGTTATAAAAGGGCCCGCGGGCCGGGAGAATTGCCGCAGTGTTCCCGCGAGATCGAAGATGTTCAGTAGCACGGGTACCGGCACCGGCAGCAAGAAAAACCGGCCGTCTACCGGCTACCTGGCCCGGCCCAGGCTGGGGGCTCTTCGGTCGCTCTATCCCAATAGGCCGCTATCGGCCTATCCGCCAGACAAAAGGAAGAAACTAAAGTAAGTAACAATTTTTTTGAAAATATTATTACTTGGAAAAAATTAAAAATTTTGAAGGTAGGACTGTTTAGGCATCTTCAATATTTTTTCCTACTACACTCAGTAATTTTTTTAATAAATAAGTATAACAAAAGGGCCATTCCACGCTTAACGGATAGGACAGTTGCCGTGTTTTTATTTACAAAATAATATTGTTCTATTATATTACCAATGTCAAATTTTTATAAATAGTTCTAAACTAAAGCTGTTTAAGAAGGTTTTTATTTGGCAAAATTAGGTATCGTGATTGACTGTTTAATTCCTTAAAAATTAATAATTTAAAGCGTAACGGGCGGGACTATTACAAAGTCCCGTCCGTTACGCTAACGTTTTGAGTTAAATCCGAGTGAATCGAGTAAAAGTCATGAACGCAACCCAGAAATAAAAAAAATCTTATATTTTGTACAGCAAAAACAAAGATACGCGCGCGACATAGGCTTAAAATCGCGAGGTTTTTTTACCACAACCGTGCCTGAGCGCCCAAGAACATGTAGTTTTAAAGAGCCTGGGGCGAGTTGGGGCAGATAATTTATTGATGGCTTGAGAGACAAAACTCTAACTTAGAGTCTCTAAGCTATTCAACGGATCTTGAACTGATGCCTTACAATTCATTACAATTTTTGTAGCTCCATTGTTCTAAAAGCTCGATTCAAAGTTTGCGATTTTAACAGACCGATCTTGTCGGTTACACAATATCCCGTTGTACAAGTAAAATCTACGAAAAACAAATATATATCTGAATTTTACATACCTTGAATATCACCCAGGGTGATTCACCCTTCATCAAACCGCATAACAATCGGACACACCAAACACAAGTTATTCACTTTTAAACAATAAACAATTTTCCGCAGCGATCGCGTGTAAAGTACCTTCAACTGAAAGCGTCAAGTTTAAACTGATGTACAAGACAAAATATACGTATTTTATATAATTTTTTTTCAATACAGGATGGAGACAGGTATTAACTCCCAATCTAATTCAAAATTTTCCTGAAAAAAAATGTGAATTTTTGAGGTTTTGCCGATATTTTCGAGAATTGAAACACTGTGCGCCGCGGCGATTTTTTTTATTTAATTAATAAAATTAACTTTTTTGAATAAACAACATTTTATGAAAGGGTCCAATCGACCTCCGCAACGGTGCTTTTAATTAAATATTATTTTGTTGCTACTGAGAAGCAGTAGACACATCTTAAAATATATAATAGGTTGCATACAATACTCGTATTAAATCGGCAGTAAAGTTCTACTTTTTTTCTTTTACTTTACTGCCGATTGTTGAATACTTTACTGCCGATTTCGGATAAAATATTTTTTATTATTCTTAAAGTAAGCTATTAACATTGAGTAATGCTATTAACAAAGATTTTCTAACTGAAATAAAATTAATTTGAAATACAACGATAGTAATTAAAAAAATATATATACTTACGTGTAGAACAGAAAGTATACTAATAATTATAATTATTAGTATTGTTATTATTGCTGAGGTGGTAAAAAAACGAAAGTAAAAGTTTTTTTTTCTATCTGAAAAAAAAGTTTTTACATACTATCTACTTTAGGACAAATTATAGCAAATTATACAGGGTCCAGCAAGGTTTACTGCTTTGTATGTGAATTTCATCACTGTAACTTCAACCCTTTAGCGGGGACGGCGTTCACCCTTATTTTCTTCAAATGGAAAGGGGTATGTTATTATACGTCTTTTAAAAGGGCATTAAATTTTCTTCATTTTCACAAAGTCATAAACCTTGCTGGACTGTTTTCGATGTGCTCCGCTCACGCGTTGTTGCATGCAAAATATTTAAGAAAAATTATGTTTGACTTCAGATCAACGATTATAACCCAGAAATCCATTTTTGGACGCTTAGGTCCCTTTTCTCGGAGCGCGTCACGAGTTTATTAAATATTTTCACCTGTGGCCTCAGACATTTCTTAATTAAAACATGAAAGAACCTAATTGAAAAATATATTGATCGCGACGCGCCGTCCTTAAATACAAACAATACTGCACCACAACAAAACCGCATCGGTCATGCCTTATTACCCCAATTGGAATTTAATAGCTAGTCCACCTGTAAATACACTATAGCACGTAGAATGCACCTTACATTGAAGTGGTTGTGATTAATAGGTAAGACTTAACATTTAATTTTTTTTAATTTAATTTAAATCCTTATATATAAAACTACACGAAAAAAAAAATTTGTGGAAAGTACTACAATTGTAGAATTTTCTGGTATAAATTGTTTAAAAAATACGACCAAGAACAATTTGTTAGAAATAATTTAACAATTTTGTAATAAAAATAAACAACAATTTATTGAAGATATAATTATATATTGTAGTTAAATTACTGCAATTTCTGTTTTAAATTAATATTGTTATATATTTTAATAAAATATTGTATTGACTAATGCCATTCTTTATTAAAAATAATACAGATTTGCCGTGCTCCAAAATTGTGTAAATTATACGTTGATATAAATGCTTTAACTTTTAGTTAATTTCAAAACAATTGTATTAAATAATTAAACATTTTTTTACAATATGGTTATTGTAAAATTTAATTTAATTTTTTTTCCGTGTATTGTTTTTTATATTTTCATTCCATTTCAAATGGACCACATTTGAACCATGTTATTTATAGTACCTACTTGACATCTAAAAAGTTGACCAAATCACAATGTTGCACGGTGGATTTTTAGGGTCAATTTTCGGATCATCAGGCAACCACGGTTTTTTTTCATAAATCGATTATATGCCTGTTATAGACAAAAAATACCAAAAATAAAAAAAATCTCTCGGTTTTTTTGTTTTTTATTAAGAAAAATATAATATAAATGGGTCTAATTTTACTTTTTTGGTTATTTTGAAAAAAGTATCAATTTTATCAAAATTCTGTTTTAACAAAGCTTTAGAATAATAAATTTTCTACAAAAAAGGTTATTACCATATTTGCTTTCCTGTAATTTTTAAACGTAGTTTTTGTAAACAAATGTTTTGCTTAATTTTTTTTATTTTACTTGGGAAAAAAATTTGATTTTTCGGCCTTTCTGTAGATAAGTTTTTAAAAATTGATATCTTTTTCGATTGTAATACTTTATGACTCAGAAAAAATCGATAAAAAAGCATAGAATTTAAAAAAAATCAGTAAAAAGAAATAAAAAATCTACTTTTTAAACAATTTCATGCGATATTTAATTTTTAATCATAGTTACCCAAGCAAAATGTAAACGTCAAATAAAAACAAAATTAAAATGTCAGTTTGGTAGTGCTTTTAAACATGAAGTTTTCTAAATTAAATTATTTAGATTCCGACTTTAAAAGTCATAAAGATAATAGAAAGTTATTGTGTTTAGTTTGTTTTGGAAAAAATAAAAAATTATTAGAAATACCGAAAACTGTGAAGAAGATAATTATAGACAGTTTAATAAAAAACTATGATGAACAAAATAACTCTTACCCGTGCTCAATATATGTCCATTATGTGTAAGAAACAATTACAAAGTAAGGATGAAGAAAATAAAGAATTAAATATTAAGGTTTTTAATTATGAGAAGAACATAAAGAACAAATAAATGTACCATGTAAATACTATTTGTATATTTGTGCTACGAAGCAGAGTCGAGCATGTAAAACAAAAACAAAATTTGAAGCAGTATAAATTAGGAAAAATGCAAATTGTTATTTAGTTTTTTTCGATTTTCTCAAAACTTTATTTTTGGCACTTAGGCCCTTTCCAATTTCCACTCTACAATAAAAAAAATATAAAAATTACTTTATAGTGTAGAAACTTTATCCACTTTTATGTGTCAATGTAATTCCAATTACAAGGACGGTTCTCGAAGAAGCAGCAAATGCGATTTTTAAAAAATTTATAACTTTGTACGGATATTACTCCTAAAGTATATATATTACAAAGAAAATGCTTATAACCTTTTTTGTAGAAAATTTAATATTCTATATCTCTGTTAAAACAGAATTTTGATAAAATTGATACTTTTTGCAAAATAACCAAAAAAGTAAAATAAGACCCATTTATATTATATTTTTCTTAATAAAAAACAAATAAACCGAGAGATTTTTTTTATTTTTGGTATTTTTTGTCTATAACAGGCATATAATCGATTTATGAAAAAAAAACGTGGTTGCCTGATGATCCGAAAATTGACCCTAAAAATCCACCGTGGTTGTGTGGTTTGTGAAACAAATAATACTTTTTTAATAAACAAAAATTTACATGATGTCATCTTCTACACAATTTTTAGTTTAGTTTTCCGTAAAAAAATCATTAATTTTTCGTTTTGTCAATTTTATTTGTTTTTCATGGATAAAAAAAACTAAAAAATTAATTATTTTTTTCCAAAAACTTAAAAAGCTAATAGCAGATTACTGTAATATTTATTTTAATCCAAAACAAACAATTAAAAAGAAATACTGTTAATTTTATTTATGACATTTTGGTTTTTTAAAAACTTTTTTCGGGAGAGAAAAAAAAATAAGTCAAAAGTGTGCGATTTGGCATATATTGATTAGTCTAACAGAAACTCTTTCAGCAAAATATATATTTTCAATATTTTTTTAATTTGTTTAAAATTTTATTTTATATCTAATAATTAATTAATTTTTAAAACGTCAATAGAAAATGGCTTTAAATTCTTTTTTAAAAATAAGTTGTCATTAAAATAACAAAAAATTAATAAAGCAAGATGGAGGAAAATCTGGTTATGGTCTTGTATTTGGCACAATCGCAAAACAAATTTTTAAATTATAGTGTTAACTTGACCATAAAAATTAGCTTAGCTACACAGTTTTTAAGTTTTCCGAAAAAAAAATCATTAATTTTTTTTGTCAATTTTATTTGTTTTTCACGTTTTTCAACTAAACATTAAAATTTTTTTTCTAAAAACTTAGTTTATAGAAGATAACTTTAAAAAAGTTTATTTTATTCAAAAACAATAAATTAAAAAAATTATTGTTTGGTTAATTTTAGTTGTGACGTTTTTGTTTTTTTTTTACTTTTTACTCATGAAAATTAGCTTAGGAGCTCCACAGTTTAAAAGTTTTCCGGGAAAACATCATTAATTTTTCGTTTTTTCAATTTTATTTGTTTTTAATGTGTTTCAACTCAAAATTAATAATTTTTTTCTAAAAACTTAGTTTATAGAAGATTACTTTAATATTTATTTTATTCAAAAACAATCATTTAAAAAAATATTCTTTGGTTAATTTTAGTTCAGAAACTCTTTTAGCAAAATATTTATTTATTTGTTAATGTTTAAAAAATTCGCGTGTTTTTTTAATTTGTTTAAAATTTTATTTAAATATCTACTTTGTCCCCCTACAATTTTTTTTTAAACGTCAATATATTGTCTATAGAAACTGGGTTTAAATTCGTTTAAATTAGTCTAAAAGAAACTCTTTCAGCAAAATATGTTTTTTCAAAAATAGCAGATTTTGTAAACTAGTACTAGCACTAGTTTACAAAATCGAAAAAAAATTCTGCCCACCATATCCCATTATAATTTTTCCATGTATTTTGACCCACTAAACACGAGAATTTTTATGGAAGCGTTTTTGAAATATGAATTTTTAATTGTTTTTTTTAATTTTCGGAGGTGTTTTGACGTTTTTGAGTACAGCTTGAAATCTAATTGATCGATTTGGTCAAACAAGCCCTTAAATTGAAGGTATTTGAGCCCTCTAAAACTTTATTTTACATACTTTTGATATCGGATAAGTATTTTGACGCTAGCGATTTTAATAACTTAAAAAAATCGTTTTTATGGCAAAAATTGAGTCGAAAATATACATATCGTCCTGGGAAAGGTTTAAATCAAACAGATAACTCCAGTTTGGATTTTTTTTCGTGAAGCTGACAATTTTACAAAAAAAAACAAGCTAATGTTGATAAAAATACATGAAAAAATGGCGAAGTTATAAATTTTTTAGTGGAAGACCAAAATTCAAATTTTTTGGCGATTTTTATTTTATTTTTTTTTTCTTTTATTTCGTAGTATGTTTATTTTTTAATGAAAACCTAATTAAAGTGCATGATTGGAATTTTTTGAAGTTTTTTACGTACTTTTTTCACCGAAAACATTATATAAAATTTAAATTTGAGATGACTCCGCAAACGTGAATTCTTTTGTTTCTCGTGTTGGCAAAGTGACATTTTACTGCTATTTTTTGATATTTTAACAGAGTATTTTTATCATGGTTTTATTAAGTTATTAATAAAAAGTGTAAAATAAGTAAAAGAAGTAGAGAGTTCGAGTGCGTAACAAAAAGCATGAGTGCTGGTGGCAACAAAAATCCGAGTCGAAGAGGATGATTTTTGCACTTGCACGAATGCATTTTGTTAAAAAATATTACTTAGCATTGTGTCTTTTCGATTTTTTTCACAGGAAAAATAGATGCCCGAATGGTATTTGACAAGACTATTTCATGAGCCTAGAAACCATTTGTAATTCAAAATTGGGCGTTTGTGATTGGTGGAAATTAAGACGAGGGAAATAGTCAATATATAATTTAATTTCAATATTTAATGTTTAAAATAAAAATCAATGTTCAATATTAAACTTTATATAACTCAATAAAATGAAAAAAACGTAAAAATTCTCGAAAAAACTGAATTTTGATCTTTCACTGAAAAATTCATAACTTTGCCATTTATCCATGGATTTTTATCAATAGCTGCTTATTTTTTTCCTTTAAGTATAATCTATAGATATATCTTTCTGGGAAAGATAGAAATCGAAAAGATAAGTCCAGTTTGATTTATTTTACGTAAATAGAAAGATATATGTAAATTTTTGACCTCGATTTTTGTAAAAAAAGGACTTTTTTAACTTCATAAAATCGCCAGTATCGAACTACTGAGCCGATACCAAAACTATACAAGATAAACTTGTACGAGTAGATGACTCAATTACCCTTGATTTAAGTGCTTGTTTGGTCAAATCGATCAATTAAAACTCGAAGTATACTCCAAAACGTCAAAACACCTCAGAAAATTAAAAAAACAAACAATTGAAAATTCATATCTCGAAAACGCTTCCATGAAATTAATTTTAAGTGTGATTTTCGCGTTTAGTTAGCCAAACTACACAAGAAAATAATAGTGAGACATGGTGGGCAAAATGGCTGTAAACTATTGTACTTATTTATTTGTTAATGTTTTAAAAAATACCGCGTATTTTTTAATTTTGTTTAAAATTTTATTTAAATACCTACTTTGTCCCCCTACAATTTTTTTTATTTTTGAAACGTCAATAGAAATTTTAAAAATAAGTTGTCTTGGAACATTAAAATAACAAAGAAAATTTAATAATCCAAAATGGAGGTAAAGCTGCAAGGGGTTATGGTCTAAAACTCGTATATGGTACAACCGCAAAACAAATTTTTCCTCCTCAATAAATTGCAATCATACCAAAAGAAATCGACTCATCAGTAAAATCATCACTTTTTTGACATTTTTAAATGTATAAATAGCGTTATAACTTATAACACTATAATTATTAGGGTCTTTGAAAAAATAAAATTTAATTTATTTTTCGCTCTTACCCTCTCAAATGTTTCGATTTAATATAAAAAAAATCCTCACCAAATATGGGCGTCTCAGCTCAACTTTAAGACGTCGCTGTTTTTATTTTAGTTTCCCATTAAATTAACATGGGAAAAAATAATTACTCTGTATCAAAGTAACTTATGGCAATGATCATTGCAGTTTATATTAAATGTAACGCTCTACAAAAAAGCTCTCTTATTATTTTTCGATAAATTGATTTCTTCTAGAGTTATTCGAGGTCAAAATTTGATAACGTCAAATTTTCTGGTTTTTTTAAATTTTATGATAGCAGACGGGTGGTGAAAGGGGGCAAAACAAGGCACGGGGGGGGCAAAATGGGGTACCCAAAAAATGAGCATATGAAAAGTTTTCCAAAATTGAACCATTCTTTTTCTCCCTCTACAGTACAATAATTATTTTCGATTAAAAGCGTGAACTTGTGAGTCAATTTTCAAATAATTTAGAAACCGAAAAAAACAATAAAAAAAAAAACATTTTGCCCCCCGCTGCATTGTTTTGCCCCCTTTCACCTCCCGTCTGCTAATTGTACCATAAAATTTAAAAAACCAGAAAATTTGATCAATTGATGTTAATTAAATTAAAAAAAAATCATAAAATTTGATCAATTGATGTTAATCAAACTTTGACCTCGAATAACTCTAGAAGAAATCAATTTATCGAAAAATAAGCATAAGTTACTTTGATACAGAGGTATAAAATTCCAAACATAAAATTATTTTTCCCATGTTAATTAAATGGGAAACTAAAATAAAAACATCGACCTCTTAGAGTTGAGCTGGACCGCCCATATTTGGTGAGGATTTTTTTTATATTAAATAGAAACATTTGAGAGGGTAAGAGCGAGAGAAAAAAATTAAATTTTATTTTTTGAAGCACCCTAATAATTATAATTTATAAAATTTGTAATTTATAGTGTTTATTATAAAACTTTATGGGTCAGCACTGTATATTTTATTATTTTAATCCATAAGAACGCCCACAAATTATTAAAAGCTTATTCAACATTTGTTTTTGTAGAAAAACTACAATTCCAAAAATGGACTTCCGTAGAAAGCCAGACTACGCTGACAACGCTTACCGCGAGGCAGTGGGACGTTTGAGGATCCTTTTGGCAGAAAGTTACACCCCTATAAAACGTCCCCTAAGAGAACTGGACAGTGCAGGGGAAGAGACCGATAACCAGTCGCTAGTAAGCGTGGGCAGCAGAACTTCGCGAGCCATGATAAGGCCGTACTACCATTACACTTCAATGACACCCAGAAGATATCCATATTATCCCACTTCCACCAAGTTCTCTTTGAACGTCAATGATGCAGATAAAACCACCACGTTGTACGAATGTTTGAAGCATGCTAATTTGGGTGGAGTTTTCATTTTTTATTTGTTTTAGGGAAACACCCAAGTTTGAGAACACCTCAGCTCCTCCAGAATTGATGTCTTTCATAGAAAGGCAGGAAGATTATATTGAGCAGCTTGAGAAAGAATCAAGATTTTGCCGGGTAAGTGAGGAAAAATAGTATTAACAAAATGATAAGCCTTGTAAGTTGTATGGGACATGAAGATGTTAAAGAGTCAGTACTCAGAAATGCGGTTCTTTTGATCAGTGGGTGTATGGGAGAGTTAGGCTACATGAGGTTAATTTTGTCTAAATACGAATCAATTTCCACCTTATTATAATAATAAAAAAATAAACTAAAAAAAAAACAAAACAAAGAAAATATCAAAGCAATCTTAACCCAAATTGAGAAACTCAAAAACATAAATTCGTTTTTTAAAACTTTAAAATATATATCTGGAACTTAAAAATACATTTATATGGATGGATAAAAATAAACATATAAAACAAATAAAATATCAGAGCAATCGGAATACCCACCCCCTGAACTCCAATTGTTTTTGACGCGGCCTAATAAAATACGATGCCAACAGAATACGCTAAAGAAGTATCGCTAGTAGCGCCACCAGTCGGCTGTTATCATCGTAACAAAAGTACAACTTTTGATAATCAGCTGTCAAACGAGAATAAAGCCGGAAAATGTTAAAAAATATTGAGAAGAAATCCTGGGTTGAGTTTTATCGGTTTTCCAATAAACAGTGTTAATCCGAATGAAGAAATAAATTTCATACAGTCCCTGTAAATATAAATTGTATCTATTAGATACAATAAATACACATTTTAGTAATGATTAACGTGAAAAGTGTAAACATTTAAATTCAGTAATAATCATCAAACAAATAAGTCGTCTAAATTTACACAGCATTTAGCATTATTAAAAGCGTTGATTAAGAATTCTTTAAAGTCTCCACTCCACGGTAAAATACTATTATATTATGTATTTTATATAATATTATGTTGTCATGAATTCGTAGGTATATTTTGTTGTATAAAATGCAGTTGTCGGCGTTTTTTAGAGAACTCAAATAAAAAAATTGTTGATTTTAAGGTTATGTTTGTGCAAAAATTATTTTTTACCAATTTCTTAAAAATGTCCAATGTCCAAAATGTCCAATATAAATTATATTAGCTAAAGATATCATTAGTTAATTCTGCACCAACAAATGTACTTACCGAATTGGATCCTTTGGCAAAACATGAAAACGCAACCATTTAGCTCTTGAATTTTATTTACAATTAAAAATACAATAATTCACCATGATCCCTTAGATAAAATACACACACTAACGTAACTATATAAGCATTTAAGCGTTGAGTTTCTTAATCAATAATAAAAAGAATAATCAATCGAAATCGACTACTAAACCATTTTTTTAGTTTTTTCCTTACAACGTAAAACACAAATAACGTGCGCGATTTAGATGTGCATGCATATAATAGGTAATAGGTAAAATAGTAATAGGTAAAAAGCTAAATACAAAAGGTCATTCGCCTCAGAGGCCTACCCTGACAAGCCGCCACTGCTTTTAATATGCCAATAAAATCAACGATCATTTAAATCGAGATCCCGAACGTTGGTGATCATTTCTTTAATGGTAGCTTCATTCAAACGTTGATTTATCGATGATCACGTTTGAATTAATTTGCCCAAACACAAACTTTTTCTGTATTTCCAGGAAGAGTTGTCTTCCCTATTGAGTAAAGTTAAAGATGTCATTAGCGAGAACGAGAACTTGCACGAAAAGCAAAAATCTAAACTTATCAAGTCGGTTTTCGATCATTTGGAGACAGAAACGGAAACCGAAACCGAATCAGAACTGCACAAAACCGTATGAAAAACAATAATTAAATTTATGAATATACTAAAATAAACATTTTTTAGTTGAAATCTCCAAGGAAGTCCAAGAAAACAAGGATAATGGAAGGGCCAGCAATTGTTTTTGAGTCCAGAATCTCGGAACTAGAAGCCCAGCTTACACAAGCAAAAATAGACTTGAAAAAAGCGCAGGAAGAAAACGATAACTATAAACGAAAAATTAACGATGGTTCCGTCCTAGACGGCATCGGTTTTGAGAGCTACAAGAAACAATTGGACAACATACAAAGGTAGTTTTTATATAAAAATTTAAAAAAATTATTTTTTAAATACAAATCTTTTACAGAGAAAAAGAAGTTCTCCAGGACACGGTGCATAAGCTACAGAACGCTTTGGCAAAACTGCGGGATAAAGAAAACGATACTTGTGACCAAGTAAAGAGAAGCTTAGACGTTGCTGAGCAGGCGCAGTACGAGAAAAACTCCGCGGAGTTGGAAATAAGGAGATTGAAGGACGAATTGGATAGGCAACATGTTAAATTGAGAGATGCTATAGCCGAACAAGTAAGATTTCTTAAATAATAGTATTTAATCTACTCCACCATTGATAAGCTGTGACTTTATGGCATTTTATGACTGAAGTTAGCAACAGTGGCTTTTGGGCATTTTAGTCACAAGCTGAAGTTAGCTTTATTATTAATTGAAAAAAGTGAGGTTAAATCCGTTGACAGTTGACAGATGTCAAATTTTAACAAATAAAATTGAAGTGTCGGAAAAAAACCGGAAAAATTGGGGAAAAACTGTTTTTTCTGTTTTTTTTTCAGGCCTTGGAAAAACTGGCTTTTTTGGGAAAAATTTAGTTTTTTTTCGAAAATATACACATTTAAAAAAAGTGACAATCAACAACTTACCATTATCTTAAATAACAAAAAATACAAAAGAAATAAAACTAAACATTGAATTAAATTAAATTGATTTAAGAAAATAAACTCAAACGTTAAATAAACTGTCGGTTGGGTCTTTTTGCAAAAAGGAGTCCATGGAAAATATCCAATTACAAAATAATTAATGTTTTATTACAAAATTATAATTTTTTAAATCCAAGTGTCAAATAAAACGAAAGTTATTTTAATACAGCACCGAATATGTTTTTTAGGCACCCGGTAGAATATTCTAACTGAATTAAAATTAAAATAATTATTTTAATCATAATATGATTATATTCAGCGTCGAAAATACTTTTTTCTCGAAATCAGTGTACGGATAGTATCTGTAAATTTTTTGGAAAAATTGACTTTTGCATCTTTTTGTATAAAATAAAAAAAAAATGTTAAAGTCAATTTTTCTGAAAATTTCCCAATTTTTTCGTTTTTTTCCGGAAAAAAACCGGTTGTTTTTCGCTGGCTTAATTTTCCGGAAATTTTAAAACCCTAGTCGTGGATAAACTTTTATAGAAACTCGTTTTTATTAAACACTCGCTCGCAAGCTTAGCTCGTAACTCATGTATCAAGTTTGATAAACACCTTTTAAGTTCCGAATTTAAATTAGGTGTGTTTATTTAATTAAATGAGTGACTTGAAAACTTTTCAAGTCACTCATTTAATTAAATATGAAAAGTTTATAAACAAGTCGCATAGTATACTTTTTCTACGACAAATACTTGTTATCTAAAAATGATTTAAATGAAATATTTGTATAAAGCGACATTTATAAAAAAATAGAGTAACTGTAACAAAGGGAATCTGTAGCAAATATCAAATTTTTCTGTGTAAATCGAAATATATCCCTTGAAACAACCGTTTAAATCCGATAAAAAACAGTTTTTCACAGTGGAAGTAAATAGAATCTTTTATGGGCACTTCACGGTGGAGTCTCCACCCGAAATTTTTAATGCTTTATCCTTTAAATCTGGTTTACTGTCGGCCACAGTCTTATATAAGGCTGTGCTGAATTTTTGTACAAAGATAATACACTAATTTTTACATTTAGTATTATTTCACATGAAGGGCACTTTATTTTAACGACATTTCGACCCATGCAACAAAGACTATTGTAACTCAGTTTTGATTGTAGACTAGAGTAACTCAACTTAATATAGTTTTTTCCTGTAGGAATGTGGATTATTACACTTACTATACAGGGAAGTTGTTCACTGGTTGCCTATCGTTTTATGTCTGAGTTACTGTAATCTTTCACCAAATAGAGCTTGAAAAAATCTGTTGATGCCATATAGTAAATCAAAACCCACGTTTTTTGAGTTACTATAGTATATATATAGTCTTCGTTGCATGGGTCGATTTGACAACTGCCAACTAACTTAAAGCTAACTTCAGACCCTGACAAAAAACCTGTTGCTAACTTCAGTCACGACTTAAGCGCCATAAAGCCAATGTCAATGGAATTGACAAGCTATAGTTTTATGGAAACATGTACGATAATGGGCGTTTTAAAGGTGGGAGTAGAAAAATAATAATAAAACTTTATTTGATTTATTTTTTCTGGGAAAAAACTGAACAAACTGATTTTCACAGTCTTCTTTTTAAACAAAACAAAACACTATTAATAGAGTTTTGCAGAGACCTACACAAATGATCTGATGGTGCAATGTTCGGGCGATGCGGTGGATTATAACTTGGTTCAAAACTCTTTGGTAAATAATGTTTGGATTATTACCAATGTGCTGCTTATATAACGCTCAAATTTTGACATTATTGCCCAAAATTGCAGGATGAGCGCATCAAAATTTTTAGGACGAAAACGAGCGTATTTTAGAGTTTTGCTCAACTGCTTTTATGATTTCCAGGGTGCATTTTTGACCTTTTAAGAACGTTCTCCGTGTTTCCTAATAAAATAACAGTATAATTTATTATAGATAATAATTTAAGATTTACTTTTAGGGAAGACGCATTGCCGATGAGAGAAACGCAGTAGAAAGAAGATACACTCAACAAATAGAACAGCTGACCGCCGAATTGGGAGTGCAATGGGAGTCATCCAACAAATTACAACTGGAACTTGACAAACAACGCAGAGAAAATGGCGATTTGAGACGAGAAGTGGCCCAAAAACAAGCCCTCATAGACGAATTAAAAAAGGACATGCAAAACAAAATAAGTGAGCAAGAACATTGATAAATTAATTATTATGCAAAACAAAATATTTTTCTTTTAGTTAATCTTCAATCGGATATCGGTGTGAGTGGGGCGGAAAAAAGCGCTTTGGAGCAACAGATTTCCACACTAAACTTGGCGAATGAAAGAAACGAAAGGCAGGCCAAACAGGAGGCGGTCCGTTTGCAAGCCGAAATACAGTCGTTTAGGCAAAGATTGGACAGGGCGGATGCTGATTTAATACACAGCAGAAGGGAGAATATTCGCTTGTCTGAACAGGTTGCTTCATTGGAAAAAGAGGTATGGTTTTATATCTTCTATAACTAAAAAAAAAAACTTTTTTTTGGTCCCGAATACAAATTTATATTTTCACGGATCTTCACCAAATTTTGCCATATTTTATCTTCAGTCCTAAGGGGCTAAATTTGGACGCTTCAAAATTCAGTTAATCCCGGCGCATTCGCCATTACTGCAACAATATTTATTCACTATGCGTTTAAATGGTGCTTGAAAAAAACTTGCACACTAGCATAAATTTAAAAAATGGTAGGACCAATTCGCAAAGTAGTTCAAAATTAAAAAAATAGTGGACAAATTCTCAGTGTTTCAAAATTGAAAAATAGCGAGAAAAATTCGCTCAGTAGCATTAACTAAAAAAATGGTAGGGGCAAATTTGCACAGTATTTAAAATTAAAAAATAGTAGAAAAAATTCGCACAGTAGCATACATTTAAAAATAGTAGATCAAATTCGGACAGAAGTTTAAAATTAAAAAATGGTGGAAACATTTGCAATGCTTCAAAATTAAAAAATAATACAAAAATTCGCAAATATTAATATATAAAATGGTAGGACAAATTCGTACAGTGGTTTAACATAAAAAAATAGTGGAAAAATTCGCTTGATGCTTTAAAATTAAAAAGTTTGCACAGCAGCATAAATATAGGACAAATTCTCACAGTAGTTCAAAATTTAAAAATAGTGTAAAAATTCGGACAGTAGTCTAATATTTATTCGCTACCCTTTCAAGTTTAAAATAGTGCATGGAAAAAATTCGCACAGTAGCATAAATTTAAAAAATAGTGGACAAATTCTGTGTTTCAAAATTAAAAAATAATGGAAAAAATTGGTAGCATAAATTTAAAAAAATGGTACATAATACAGTATTTTAAAATTAAAAAAACAGTGAAAAAATTCGCACGATGCTTCAAAATAAGTAGTATAAAAAATTTGCACAGTTGCATAATTATAAAAAATAGTAGGACAAATTGTCACAGCAGTTCAAAATTTAATAAATAATTTTCGTACAGTATTTTAATATTTATTCACTAAGCGTTAAAGTTTAAAAAAGTGCACGGAAAAATTTTGCAGAAAAGTATAAATTAAAAAAATGGCACAGTAGCATAAAAAAATGGTAGGACATATTCACACGGTGATTTTAAATTAAAAAATAGTAGAAAAATTTGCAGTGCTTCAAAATTAAAAAGTAGTACACATAATTCGCAAAGTAGCATAAATATAAAAAATGGTAAGGCAATTATCCACAGTAGTAGAATAAATATTAGTGGCAAAATTCGCATAATGACATGAATTAAAAAAAATGGTAGGAAATAATATTATTCGCACAGTACCTAAATTTAAAAAATGTAGGGTAAATTCGCACAATATTGCCAACAAATTTAGTCTAAATATGTCAAAATGTTTTTTATTAAATTTCCCAAATTGGCTATTATAAAAAAAATTCTTCGACTGCCCTCCGCTTTCTTTTGCATTATTCGATATTTTTGGGTGCCCTGAACACGAAAAAAATAACCTAGCTTTGTTGCAAAATCCTTGTAATTGTTGCAGAAAAAACAAACTATTTATTTCATGTAAAAAAACAGAATATAGAATTTTATTATAAAAATTAAAAACCTAATTTACATTAGTATAATAATAATAATAGATGGACCTGAAGTTTGCAGTACTTAATTGATGGTTGTTTACCCGTTTATTTTAGTGGTTATTGGTTTTGTTTTAAGAGTTACAATTTTCTTTGGGTAAAGTAGTATATATTTTTTAATCAATGGGGGGGGGGGTTTGAACCCCCAAAACCCCGCCTTTCGCCTGCATAATGTATTTTTTAATTAATCATTTCTAGATAAATATGAATGCTGCAATGGCCGATGAACGAAGTAAAACTCCTCGAAGTGGTGAAATAGTAGCATTACCACCTCCCAAAGAAGATCGCGAAAAAGAGCTGACATCCCTTATACACGATATGGAAAACAAACATGGTACGTAAATAGATATGTTTCCAAGTAAAAAAAAAAACATTCAATATATTTTTCACGGTCTATACTTCTCTAAAAAGTGCCAGTTTCACTGTGGTATAGATTAAAAATATCTCCATGAGTTGATTTGGGAATTAAACCGATTTTTGAGTATTTTAGCCCGATCAAAATCATATAGTAGATTTTTTGCTGTTAAAGCATTCAATTCGATGAATAAGCCCTTTTTAAATAATTTCTCCTTTAAACTTAAAATGTAGTAAAATAAAAGTACTTACGAAATGTGTTCAGAAAATAACAGGAATGGAAAATATATTATTTATGTTAGCTGTTTTCGCAGAGCCAATTCCGAACTAGTTTAAGACGTCCTAGGCATGCGCATTTTAAAATTTGGCGTTCTAAACGTAAAATGCTCATACCCAGGATGTCCGAACTAGTTCGGGACTAGCACCGCAAATAAAGCTATTATAATCTTCATTATATACGAGCCCTAACACAAAAATGTTCGGACACTTCATAATTTATAAAGAAATATTTTTCGTGAATACTATCTCAAAATTATTACAAGTTATGAAAAATTCAGCTCATTTTAGCATATACCCCTCGAAGCGATTTTTATTTTTAAAAAGTTTACCTTTTATTTTTAGCTTTTAAAAAAAGGCTAACTTTTAAACTTTTTTTTGTATGAGTAAAAAAAGTTATAAATGGACCCATTAAAAAGAGCATAAAATATTATACAAACCCTGAAAATTTGGTAAAAAATAAATTAGTTATAAAAAAGTATAAGTAATTTAAAAATGCTATTTTTAAAGAGTTTTTGCAATTTTCTTAGGAAACGGGAGATTTTGCAGATACATATATCGTTATAACTTTCTTATTATTTATACAATTTTTACCAAATTTTCAGGGTTTGTATAATATTTTATGTTCTTTTTAATGGGCCCATTTATAACTTTTTTTACTCATACAAAAAAAGTTAAAAAGTTAGCCTTTTCTTAAAAGCTAAAAATAAAAGGTAAACTTTTTAAAAATAAAAATTGCTTCGAGGGGTATATGCCAAAATAAGCTGAATTTTTCATAACTTCTAATAATTTTGAGATAGTATTCACGAAAAATATTTCTGTATAAATTATGAAGTGTCCGAACATTTTTGTGTTAGGGCTCGTATAGTAAATCATTATGCCAACGCTTGCAATCCCTGAAACTCTTCTGGTACTCAATCTTTGGAGCTAAAGGCTATAAGCTCTTTTAGCGACCAATTTACTTTCTGAATACACCTCGTAACATATTTGTATTTTAGTTAATTTTAAGCCTGCTGGCATTTTTTCAATTAAGGGCATTTCGACTGGCTTAATATCTGATATTGTTTTAGCGGCCACTGTTACGGAATTAGAGGGCATGGTGAACTCCCAAAATCAACTCATGGATAAACTTTCGACAGAGTGTCACGCTCTTACAATTAAACTAGAAGATGCCAGCGCCAGACATAAGTAAGAACACTTTAACTATACTTACTGAGAAATACATTTTTGTTTGTTTAATTTTTGTGGGGCTACAGGCTTAATTTTTTATACTAATGCTGACTTGTGTTTGGTAGGGACGGACCCAGCGGCGCTAGATCCCAAAAACGTGTCAGATTCGCCATCAGTCCGACCAACCAAACGCAAGGAACCCATTAAAGTTGATATCAGTGTCAAATTGGTCCCCAAATCTCGAAAGGTCAGTTATATTATGTTTTCTTGGGTGGGTGTGGATTAAATATTCATAAAAAGACCATTAGCAAACACTATGTCAAGTTCTCTGCAATTCTATCATGGATTTTTTTAAAAAGGTCGTTTTATCCGCCTAATGCCAATACGACGGTCGTCCAACAGAGAGAATAATGGGGTTGGGTTTTATTGCATAATTGAAATCAACGCAAAAGAGTTATAAATTTATGAAAACGCTTTAGCTTTTTCATAAATTTTAAGATTTAAAACGCTTTGGTGACCTTAAAGAGAGCGTGTGACGTCACGATGTTATAACAGATGTGTCAAGAATTACGAACGAATTTCTTTCCAACGTGGTTTCTAGGTTCAATATTCAATAAAGTATTTAAATCTATTAAAATCGAGGTAAATCGACAATATCGTCGTTAATTTTACCAAGTGTCGTATCCAATTATTTATTATTTTTTAAGGCGGACGTTTAATTTATATATAAGGTCACAGTTTTTGATCCATAAAAATAACGTCAGTTTTTATTTTAATGTGACAGTTATTTAAAATGTCACGTTTTGGTAAAGAATCATTTGAATCAATTATTGAATAAAGTTAAATAAAGTTTTGTGTTAAAATTAAAATATTTGAAAATGTTATTCTTTGATTTAATTAGTTTATTCGTGTAATTATCTCTTTTTGTGCTGAGGTCAAACATTTAATCTTCAAGGTATAATTTTATTTGTTAAACGATACATAAACCATAGATAATAAATCATAAACCGTAAACGTAATTAATGATAAAATTATTAAAAGTAAAAAGATGGATAGATAGATCTGACAGTAGTCGAATTTTTGTATTGGTCTCCAAACGTTTTTTACATACGATAATTATGTATCGTTTTAGTAATGAGTGTTGACATTAATATATATTTATAATCTCTTAAGAGTTAACCAGTGGCGGCTGGTGGATTTTGGGCACACCCATATCTCAGTTATTAGACATGGAACCCACATCAAATTTATATGAGTTTATAATGACATTATATAGACAAGTTCTGGGCGAGCAGAATTTAAATTAAAGTTTGCGAAAAAAAGTTAGTTTTTAAGTGCAACCCCCAGCCTCCTGCCCCTCCAAATTAAGATAATTCAAATTAAAGTGGTACAATATTTAATTCACTAAAGTTTATCGACAAAATTCAAATTTTATTAAAAAAATTAAAGAATTACAGGTTCTATACCATTTATAATTTTTATTATTTCTTTTACTAAATTTAAAAAAATTTTAAATGATATAAAATCTGTAATACTTGAATTTTTTTAATAAAATTTGAAATTTGTCGATTTACTTCAGTGAATTAAATATTGTACCACTTTAATTTGAATTATAAAACGCTTAAAGGTAAAAATAATTTTATGAACTTTACAAGGACAACTAAAAAAAGTATAACTGTAGATAGAATTTGGTTATGTTTGGAATTTTTTTTTATTGATGTAAATAAACCTAAAGAACCCATTGCGGGTTATAACAGGTACATGTGTATATAAGTATAGGTCTAACAAGAATAATAAATAATATAGGTATAATATTATTTTTGCAAATATCCTTTATGGCCAAATGGCTTTTATGTAAGCTAAAGGCCATTACTCCTGAACACAGTACTCTGTGTACAGATTTATAAAGAAGAAGAAATATACTTCGTAAATCTTGACACGCCTATTATACCTACCAGTATATATTATAGCATCGCGACGCGTCACGCTACCGAGGGGATTTATTAATTTTCATTATTATTAAGAAAAAAATTGATAACAAAAATAAGTTTTTATAATATCGTGCCGAAAATTAGTATAAAACCATTTTTTTATAAAGACTACTCCAACTATAATAATGTCACCCCCCCCAAAGTCTTGGCATGCAGTTGGTTCCAAATCCAAACCCGGTTGGCAAAATCTATAGTATTTGGGTCGGTTGGTTGGGTATACCTACCCTACCAACCAACCCATCACAATAAATAAAATGAAATATAATTTTTAAACTTTACCTACATATTACAAAATTATAATTTTTAATCTATTGTAACCTCCTATAATCGTTACCGTCAAGAAAATTGTATTGGTCAACCTTATTTTTATTAAAGGACATTATATTTCACACAAGCGGCATGTACAAAGTCGGCACCGCCTCGCGGCTTTGTCTTTCTAAATTATTAATTAGTTGAAGCTTATCTAAGCTAAGTAAAACTAGTGTCAATAAATAGGATTTTTTTTAATATGAAAAAGAAAGCTAGACCGGGCCGAGTTCTAGTAAAATGCTCATTATGTGGATCTGTGTATAACAAGGACTAGAAAAAAATGCACGAGGAAAATATTCACGGTGGAAATTTGGTTAAAATTAAAATTGTTACTGTTCCGGATAATCCACTTACATTGGTAGCAAATAAAAAAAATATAGACTTTAAAAGAGCATGCTAATGGTAGGTAAAGACATTCTTTATCTACACTTTACATTCATGATAAAACTACTGAAAATTTTTACTATTACTACTAAAGTATCGATAAAAAAATAAGTTGGTTTTTTTATCGTCTCCACCCCCCCCCCAAAAAAGTGTGCCTCGGTACGCCCCTGATTGGAACAATACAAGTTAAAATATTTGTTGGTGACTATTTAGTCGCACAGTGTAATAATTATTGGTGTAATTTTTGTTCGCACCCTGTACATTAATGTTAAGTTATTAGAGTTGACAGGGCCAAGTTGAGGGCGGAAAATGCCGAACTGATGGGGCGACTGGAATCTATTTGGACGTTGTTAAAACAAACGAAAGCGACATAATAAATTTTGAACATTTTGATCAGGTAGCGTATACGAGGATTCTTTTTTAATTTTGTGTGTTGTTTATAGGGAGGAAATACGGGAACTACAAACTAGCCTAGATCGTTTAAACAATAGATTTACCCAATCACAGTTCCCAGCGTCTAATTTTAAAGGTACTTTTAAATAGAAAGGCTACAAAGAGATTTTTATCAGTAGAAATTTTGATCACATTAAAGTAATCAGTAGCGGTCCCGAATATAATTATTTTATTTAAGGTCCTTCTCTGTTTGCCCAGTTCATGTTGGTAAACTTTCATTAATTTTTCAATTTATTAGGTTGGAAATAAATCATAATTTTTTCACGAATCTTTTAAATCGAGTTTTAACGAACACTATTGCGATTAATAAAAAAACATGATTTTCTTTAATAAGGTATTAATATTATACAATTCAATTAAATTAAAGCCAAAATAAAAACCAAAAAAACTGTTATAAACAATTTTTTGTATTTAAAAAGCATTTTTAAATTGTCTTTTAAATTTTAAAATAATCGTATTTGATAATCGGCGATTCCGATAATCGCGGGTTAATCGTTATCGCAATCGTAATTGCTTCTTCAGTTTTAACTAAATAGTAAATATTTGTTCGCAATTTTAATTTTTTTAAGTACCTACTGCCTCACTTTCCTTGAGGCACGTGCCTCCCCTTAAATAATTAATGTTAAATAAGTATTTTACTTTTTAATATAAATATTTAATTTTTGGATTACATAGATTATAAAATATTCAATAAATTGCATTTATTTTGTACGTAGAATTTTACTATTAATAGCCTGAAGCATTTAAATTATTTTCCCCTGTCTCACCAAAATAAAATGTTTGTAAGAAATATGTTACTTAAACCTTTTTCAACACTGCGTATTAAACTGTCAATGGGACTGCTACTGGGTAGCGTAAAGCTTTAAAAAAAATATTTTAGATTTAATTTATATAGCCAAATTACACCCTCTTAGTATTTAGATTGGAAAATGTTGTAAAAAACACTAGATTTTGCATGTTAATTTTTTTTATTAAATAGTTAGTTACACACCTGGGCGTAAAACAAAATTATAGTTGGGGTAAAAACAACAAAAAGGGACTCTGTGCGACCCCAAAAAACATTCTCCAAGGGATTTTGTTTCATAAACAATTAAGTTTTAAGTAAAAATGTCTTAAACGGATCACCCGCATATTCCGTATTTTTTTCAACAAAATGGTATTTTTTATAAACATATAATTGTTCATAGCTCAGTTATACGAGCTAAGAACGCAAAATCCCTTGGAAGGTATTTTTAATATTTTAATAAAAAGAAAAATTGTTTGATAAATAAAAAATGTTAAAACCCATTAAAATTTTAGATGACAACTACGATAAGAAATACGCACCGTCCCCGCAACCAATTCGCCCTTCAGGCCAAATCAACCAAGAACCAGTAAAACCTATAAAACAATTAAGTCGCACGAATAGCAACGCTTCAGTGAAACCGGCAAACGAACCAATTTTGTCGAGAAAAAACAGCAGGGAACAAAACCTGCCACCGTCGATTCAGCAACCCGAACAAGAACCCGCCAATGAAACCCCTGCTGAACAAACAACCCCTGAAACACAGCAGCAGCACGATCCGAATGCGCAGTATTCCGGACAAGAGTATTCCGATCAAAATTACGACCCGAATCAGCAGTACGACCCGAATCAGCAGTATGATCCCAATCTGCAGTACGATCCCAACCAACAGTATGATGCTAATCAGCACTATGACCCCAACCAAGAGTATGATCCGAATCAACAGTATGATCCGAATCAACAGTATGATCCCAATCAGCAGTATGATCCTAATCAGCACTACGACCCCAATCAAGAGTATGATCCAAATCAGCAGTATCCTCAGGAATACGCCGGCGATCCCAATCAAACTTATCCAGAGGATCCGCAGAATCCAGAGAAATTTGATGATCAAAAGGAGACTGAGAGTACCGAGAAATAATCAATGGTTGGGTTAGGAAATATTGTTGATTTTTAAATAAATTTCTTGTTAGGGCTTGTTGAAGTTATTTATAATTGAACTGACGTGCAATATTATCTAAATTTAAAATTTATGTATAACCGTGTTTATTAAAATGCTTATTTATTAATTAAATAAAAATATTTGAAATTAAATATTATTTTAATTAATTACACAAAATTATTTTTGTCTTCCGCAATAGCCCAGCGTAGTTTTTTTATGAGTGACTTTATTGTTTTGATTTTAATTATTCTGATTAACGGGTCATTTATGATTATAAAATTAGTGGCTGGCTGCATTGCTTTAATTTTATTTTAAAACATGCAGAGTGTACTCCTTTAAATTTTATATAGGTATGTATTTTTTACTCAGTTTAAAAATGGGTGACATAGAGGACCCAATTGTATATTTTGTACCTGTAAATGTTCAACTCTTTCCCTTAAAGAAAAGTTGGAAATGAAACGGTCGCAAAAGAGACCCGAATTAAATTTTTCTCATAGAGATGAAAACAGTGTCCGAAAATTTCCATTTAAATGGTATAGCACTTTAAAGTGGTTGACAACAAATTTAAATAAACTTTTAACAATTGTTAATTTTTTATAGTTTTTCTTCATTTTTATATCTTTATATCCCTATTTTTTTTAGTTTGTTTTTATGTTTTTTATATCCTAACTTATTATCACAAAATACAAAAAAAAATTAGAACACACTATTGTAATTTTTAAGTAATTCATAATAACATAAGATATAAAAAAATATTTGAGAATACATAGATAAATAATGGCAAATAAAACGGTAAAAATCTTTTTCAAAATTTGGACGTCACAGTGTTGCAAACCTTTGAGTTTGAGTTTTTCTCCATTAACTGGGAAAATCTCGCATTTATAAAAAAAATTCCTTTCCGTTTTCAGAATAGTTTTCAGTGCAGATAAGAAAAAATAGGAAATATACGAGCATATACAAGGTGTCCAAGAACTACAGAATTCCACTCTAGCGGGATAAATTCGCGTGCAACTTCCCTTATGCTCTTCCTACTATTTGCATCAAAGGCATTCAAAATAGCTTTTTTATTTTCCGCTGTTCTAATACGTTAAGAAGCTCCTTCAATTTTGTTACAACGCAGAACAACTTTACATTCCAGGGGACGATCGGCATAATCATGATTTTTCCACCTATGCAGAGGTGGAAAACATAACCCAAAATCATAAATAATGACAGGAACAAAAATTGACAGCAGTGTCACAATAAAGTGAATTCGAGTCGACCAAATATTTTACTTAATATATCAACAATGCAATTTAAAGCATTCCCTATGGTCATGCATAGAGATTGGCTATCGTTTTTTATTCCTTCGAGTGCTTCCGTGCATTAAGTAACTGAATCATTTTTAAAAGTAAATTAACTTAATAACTAAGCAATTCGTTTAGTTCACTTTAGCAAAACCGAATTCTGCTATGAATCATAGCCTATGATGCCTCGGCCGTATACACCAAAAATGAAAAAAAAATTTGTTTACCAATAAATGTTCTAGTACAAGGTACAATATATAAAAATCTTTTAGGGGTTCACACGTTTAAGGGGGGAAGAGGTTTACCGTTTGTGATGAAGTGTGACATGGGGAAATTTGGATCGTGCGTTTCGTCAAAAAAATATTTTTTTGCAATATTCCTCTTGTTCCATTCACAACTGTCCATTAAATAAAAATTATCTCTATAGAGTATACCTTCATAAAATATTGAATGCGTTTTTTAAATTTAATGTACCAATAGACTAAGAATATAAGAATACTAAGAATATTTTTGACAATTTTGCTGCCAAAATAATATATCTATAATAAATTACCTACAATTTTTTTATAAAAGCAGTTTTGTGATTTGAAATGGCCCAATATGCAGGGTGTCTCGGATTTTAATCGGAAAAATTTCGTAGTCGATAGAACTCGAAAAAATAAAAATAAAAGTCCATATAAACTTTAGCTTTAAAGCGTTGGTTTAGAAAAACAGGGTGGTAAAGTTGGTAAAAATTTCAAAAAATCCTTGGGCTAATTTAAAAAATTTAATAAAACGTTTTAGGTTATTTGTAATGGGTAGAGGGCTTAATTTAATGTAATTAAATTTAATTTTGTTCATCCAAAGGCGCTGGGGCATCTTACCTAGTAAAATTAAATTTGGGTATGGTACTACTGCTTTTTTATAAGTTTAATATTATTTTTACATTAAGCAATTAAAAATACAACTTTTTGTCTCCAGCATTTTTCTCTATCTTGTTTAAATTTCAAGAAAAAAATAAAATTTGCCCCTGGTTAAATTATGGAGAGGATAAACTAATTAAATTTTTTCTTGATAATTAAGCAAGATAGAGAAAAAGTGCAAGAGACATAAAAGTTGTATTTTTAAGGACTTAATCTTCATTTAATATCAAGCTTATAAGAAAGCAGTAAAAATTATTTTATAAATTTAATTATATTTAGAAAAAACAGGAAATAAAAAATAATCTGAGTGTGGCGTGAGACTTTTTGACAATATGTGACAGGGGGCGATTGGGGTGTCCAAAATCCTTGAAAAAAGTGTGCTTTCAAAATACATAAAAAAATACGTCAAATGCAAAAAATAAACTTTAAACTAAATAGTTTTGTAATTTATACTGGATAAAAAAATCTCCGCAAAACGTTCAACACTATCCTAATATTCTAAAATCATAATACCTATAAAGTTAAAAAAATATTTTTCATGGAATTTGTAGAAAAATAAGGCAATACTTACATAAAACAAATATATTTACAAAAAACACAAATTTTTCCTAAACTTTGGTTTCGTTTTCGAGAGGTACAATTTTTTCGGAAAATTGAATAAGTCCATAGTTGCCAGTTTCCATCCATTTGGAGTCTTTCTCGGCAAGTTGCTCGGCAACCCCCTCCTTCAAACCGCTGATCAAATCGGCCTTTACCGTACGAAGTGCGCACAACTTCGCCGGGTTAAAACCCTGAAGGGCTTCCTCAAAAGGAGTGACTGGATCCCAGTTTTTCTCCCCCATTAATTTTCTATAATTCAAATCCCCTTTAAATATGACAAGCCTTGATTCTGACAGCATTTGGTATAAATCTGGTGCCATAGTTTTCATATGAACAAACTCTTGCGGGTACGTCCAGAAATCGTGTTCTTCCACCTTCCAAACCTGTTTGTGTTTGTATACTAACCATTTATTGCCCAGGTCTTTAAGTAGATTGTCGCTACTGGACATAAGTTCTTTTATCATCCAGTCAAAGTCTTTCTTGGTGACGTCCGATATGAACCACGGGTACGATTTTACGTGGAATTTAACGATGTCTATTAATTTTTTCGATATTAGGTAATCGGCAACGCATAAGTCTGTGAATAGTTCGTAGCCGGCGTTATCCAAAACAATGTCTAAAAGTTAAATGAAATTACTGCGGCAAAATCACAATTCACAACAGAAAGTTTGCGTTTTGTTAATAAAAATCATGCTTGAAAAGTGAACAACGTTTTGTGTGCAGATTTGCCAGATCGGGTGAAAAAAAAATACCGGATAAAGGGGAAGGGGCAAATATTTTGAAATGCATTAAATGTCAAATATCAATAACGTTTTTTATCACACTTTTGCTATTGCTATTCTAATTTTTGTATATACCGGACTGTCCAGTGCAATACCGGACATCTGGCAACCCTACTGTAGACTGTGTGCATTGTTGAGTTTTAACCGTAAGTTGAAATATTCCACATCTAATAATGGTTGTTTTGGATTAAATTTAAATAAGGCAGCAGCTGAGGTTGATATGGTTGATAGTTTTTGTGATTTAGTAATAGTTTGTACCAAAGTAACAAATTATCATAAGTTAGGTATTTACCTAACTTATGATAATTTGGTACTTTGACAACAACTATCAATATTATTACCAAATGAGTTTAAATTCCATAATAGGACTTTTCTAGGGGGGTGTTTCTTATATTAGTGACTTTAGTATCTATAGAAAGTGATCTCTATAGAAGGCACCCATCAAACACATAAGTCTGATTATGTCGATGACTTTCTGCCAAAGTATCGCAAGCAACATATCGCGATATCTCAAATTTTGGGAATTGAAAACAATTTTTGTTTTAAAGTCTGTTTTAAACCATATATAACCTACATGTTTTATACCAAGTAAATAGCTATAATTATAAGCTATTTGCTTGTTATAGAACCTTTAGGCTATATTTAATTTAAAACAGACTTTAAAACAAAAAATGTTTTCAATTCCCGAAATTTGTGTTATGTTACTTGCGATACTTTGGCAGAAAGTCATCGATGTAATGGCCATAGTTTCATGGCTTAATAATGTCATTTTTAGCCAAAGCTTTCTTTCTTTTTTTAAAATGACGCCCAGTGTAATTTTAGTTTTAATAGTGTGTTATACCCTCTATATCTCTGGTTATACCACATAAAAAAATAATAATAATAATACCTAATGATTGTTAAATTTAAATGAGTAGTAAAGTAGTAGTAATTTTACAAATTTAAGAACTTTTATTACAGACAAAATACCGCCCAAGAATTTAGTAGAACGGTTAAATTAAAGCTAGTTTTCTTTGTTATAGAGGACAATCTAACAAAAAAATCAAGTAAACTTATTTGTAAACATATATTTTAATTTTAAATATTTACTTGAAGCATTTTTTTATTTATTTAAATATTTACCTAATAAAAAGATTTAAAAATAAAATTGTTAGGTTTTACTTACACAGGTCTTTATTACAACAAATTGAATTTAGTATTACATTTCACGATAATATATTAATTAATATAATGGATTAGTAAAGTATTTATTATGGTGAATTAAATGTGGTTTGTTCATATTTATTGAGTCGGATATTTCACGATAATCGGAAATTTTTATCCCGACCGTCAGAAATTGTATTGTGACGTTAGGGATAACAATTTCTGATTATCTAATAAATATATACCTACCACATCTGTGGCGGCTGGTGGATTTTGCGTATACCGGTATTTTGGTTATTAGACCCACACCAAATTTATAAGAGTTATAATGACACTAAATCAACAAGTTCTGCGCAAGCAGAATTTAAATAAAAGTTTGCGATAGTTTTGCTGCAGCTCCCCTGCAGCCTGGCCCCCTTAATAAAGATAATACAAATTTTAGTGGTGCAATTTATAATTAACCATAGTTTATTGACAAATATCAAAATTTATTTAAAAAATACAAGTATTACAGATTTTATACCATTTTAAATTTGTATTACTTTTCCTAAAATAATAAAAAATAATATAAAATCTGTAATACTTGTATTTTTTAAATAAATTTTGATATTTGTCAATAAACTATGGTAAATTATAAATTGCACCATTAAAATTTGTATAATCTTTATTAGGGGGGCCAGGCTGCAGCAAAAACTATATTTTTTTTTTCACAAACTTCTATTTAAATTCTGCTTAAGCAGAACTTGTTAATTTAGTGTCATTATAAACTCATATAAATTTGGTGTGGGTCCTGAGATACTTCACTTATCCATTAAAAATTATTTAAATAACCACCATAGAATGTTTATTAATATTAATATCAGAAAAGCCATATAAAAAAATGGAAATGTTCTTTATAAGGCCTTTAGTTCATTAAAGGCATATTTATAAAGGGCTATTAAACCAAACAAAGCACATAATTCTCCATTACATCCAGTGTGTGCTGTGGAAAATGCAGTGCTTTGATTGGTTTTAGCTGGCTAGATAATCTTCTATAAAAAGAAAAGTCGCAAATTTCAAGAAACACCCCCTGGAATAATTGAGGAGTTTTTCCACTTACCAATTTGTGTCCCAGTTTCAGTATAAACAACATCAAAAATCTTTTCACAATCATCTGCAAGAATATTGTCCTCAAAAATTGAAATGTCCAATTCAGCCTGTTGACTCTCCACTACTCCTAATGATAGTGACAAGTCACACTTATTCCCCCATAAGTTAATCTACAATAACAATTATTATAAGAAATAAATCAACACCTTATAAAACACATACCTTCAATAAATTAGTAAAATCCCTTAACAAAGAACCCTTTGTATCAGAATCGTTATCCCCAGTCAAAGCATTTAAATGTTTAGTCAACTGTATCCTTAAAGGCTTGCACATATCAAATCCCTCTTTCTTCTGTGATAAAAAATAATCGTAATCCTTAAATGATGGTCGAGTGATAAATGCCTCTTTGATGCGTTTGTACATATAACATTCAGCTAACAACCATATACAGCTAAAATGAGTTACATTTCCACAATCCACAGCACATTTATCTATGCATTGATTGTATGCCATTGCCTCTAAATCTGTTCCAGGTATTTTTTCCAAAGGTTTATTGGTTTGGATTTCATATTTTAACTTTGATATGTCCCCTATTATTTCTTTAAGCTCCTCAGCTGCATTCTTAAAATAAAACAATGTTTAAAGCATTTATATATTCAGGATATAATTCCAAAAAGATAGAATTATACAGGGTGTCCCAGGGGCCATTGTCACAAAATACCCTTTAAACAGAAAGTTCTTAACAAGGTTTTGTTATTAACAATTTTCCAAATTAAACAGGATATATTTCCGGTAAGCCTATCAAAGTGCGCCATTTCCATTTGTAAGTTGAACTGTCAAAAGCATAGAAAGATATGATATATTGCCTAATTTTGAAAAATTGTTAATAACAAAAACTTCTCATTTATTCAAAGAATTCCTGTTTAAAAGGTTATCTGGTGACCTGCATATAAATTTTAAATTCACTTTTGCTACATTACTTACAGGGCCAAGTTTATTTGCTATTTCTTCCTTGCTCCGAACAAGATTGTCTATTAGGTGGGTTAAAATAACTGGTTCTCTGTGTTTTATAGAATAATATCCAAAACTTCTACAAAGTTTTATTTTTTTAAATTTAACTACTAGTAGTACATTATTTAAAACTTTAACTTACCTTTTATAATACCCTGATAAATATACGTTTCGGGGGGTGGCAATATCCAAGCTCCTATTATAATCGCAATCACACATTACAAAAATTTACATATTTAATAAATAAAACATGCAATGTCATTTACTTACATTGTCAATACAAAATTGATCAAAATTTTTAAAAATACAAGATTTTGGTGGCTTTTAGGTTATATTTGATAAATACATGAGCAAATGAACTACTGTCATTTTAGACCAATTAGCTTAATAATACAAAAAACACTTACCTTATTTCTTCCATAATGAATAAACCTAATAAGACTATTTTGCAAATTTATAGATAACAAATTTATTATGAATTAACAAAAAATTATGTAATATGACCAGAGATAAAGGTTTGAATATGTCCTGCATTGTTGCCATGTTTACATGCGAAATCTGACATGATATTTAACCTCAAAAATAGTCCGTGTAATTTTTAACAATTTTCTAATAATTTGACACAAACAAATCAAATGGACAATATACCTCAACAGTCTGATGAAATAGAGGCACTTAAGTCAATTTACGACGACCAATGGGTTATAGAAGATATTGAATCTACATATAGCATAGAAATTGATAAAAATATTAAGCTCTATATTACTTTATCGCCTGATTATCCCTCTGAAAAACCGCCAAATTATGAATTGTTAGCACCAACTTTAAGTGCGAAACAAAAAGACTTGGTAGCTGAAAAATTTCAAGAAATATACAAGTAAGTGCAAAGAAATCGTGATAATTTAATGATAAAATGGTTTTGTATGTTAGCGACAATAAGGGAGAGCCTATTATTTTTCAATGGATAGAACAATTAAAAGAAATTGCAGTTCAAAAAGAGTCAGATGAGAGTGGTAGTACTAAAACAGATAAATTGGATATTTTGGAGGAAATTGAATCACTGAAAATTAGTACTAAGTTAATGGATATTTTACATGGCCCTACAGTGGTAGATAGGAAAAGTGTTTTTCAAGCACACACCTGCAAAGTATTTAGTGCACAAGATGTAAAGTAGGTACTAATTTTGAGAATTGGAATTATTAATTTTTTGTACAAAAATGTTTTTTTCACAGGGATTTTATGGGTTTATTATTGGAAAATAGGAGTATAGCAAAGGCAACCCATAATATATCTGCCTATAGAGTTATTCTGCCCAATAATTCAATACTACAGGTATATAAATTAAATATTATTATTATAAAAATAATATTGTTTTTTTAAGGACTGTGATGATGATGGTGAAAGTCATGCTGGTGGGCGATTAATGCATTTATTGCAAATTTTGAATGCTGAAAATGTTATGGTGGTGGTAACAAGATGGTAAGTTAGTTGTTGCAATTTTTAACTACATAATTTTATGATCTTTTAATGCCATGCAAATAAAAATTGTGTCTGTGAATAGAGAACACAATTGAGTAAAAGTCTTTATTATTCATTTTACCACAAAAAGTCATTCCTTATAAAAAGTTCTGCTAATTAAGAAAATTAATTTAAAAATGCTTCATTAGAGAAGTACCATTATTTATTACTTTTAAGAAAAATTTTATGGAACAAAGTTGTTTATAAACTAACACAAAGTCTAAATATAAATTTTGAAGTGAAAACTCCACACCAGAACTTTTTAACCAATCAAAATGGGTTTTTTGACAGGTCACCATGGCAACACATGTATTTTTGTGGACATTTTTTTCTTGGGTAGGTAACTAACAGCGAATTAAATCGGAATTTTTTTGAAATAATCACTGACCAATTCTATATATCATCTTTGTTTTTACCTCTAAAATCAATGATATTATTTATCCTAGAAAAAAAGAAACAGGTGGGCATTAAAAACTTGGATTTATGTAATATCAAGGAAACTTTTAAACTTATCAAATCGGTTAATAGATATTTTGTTATCATTGATTACTGACAGTTAGGTTATTATGATTTTGTGGAACACTTAAAAAATAGCTACATGAGCATCAATCGACGTAAATAGTGAAAGCTGAAATTTAAAAACGACGGGAAAACCACGGAAACCTCGAGAGTAATTAACTACCTAAGAATAGCAAAACATTAAAAAATTATCAACAAAGTAATCAATGATAACACAAACGTAAATTGTTAATAAATGTAGCTTACTGCCCACTGTGCAGGCATATTTTGCGTCAGTTGTCGTAGGTCAGGAACAACCAGTGGCGGCCCAAAATTTCCACTTTCTTATAAAAAATTTAATGTTTTTTTTAATAAAAAATGGCACTAAAGCAAAAATGATGGAGGAAAAACTTTGTTATTTTGGCGTGTACTATCATTAGAGGACACCCTGTATATAATATTTAGACACCCTCAAAGAGTGTAAATTTATTTACCATTTTTCCAGTACCATTACTTTTTAAGTAATTTAAAATCAATTTTCTACCACTTAAAATTAAAGAATGTAGGTACTATAGTACCTACATTCTTTAATTTTAAGTGGTCTTACAATAAGTAGGAATCATGGTGGTGTCTTGTCAAAGAAAAAAGTCTAAAATTATAATTTTAAAATGATTTTATTTTAAACACATTTAGGTGTGTTTCTTACCGAATACCGCGCGAGGTTAAATTAAATCCTGAAATTTTTTCTCGCTCATGAATATTTTTAGAAAATTATTCCTCGTCTTCAAAATATCCATTAGCTCGAAAAAAAATTCCGAAAATAATTTAACCTCTTGTGCTTAGAGATGTTTTTTACAGATATGAAAAAAACAAAAAAAAACCTAGAGAAAAAACGGTTTTTTTTCAAATCCGCTGCAATAAAGCATATTCTGTCAATAAATAACATCAAAATAATATTTTGAGTAAAATGTATATTAACAATAAAGTGAAATGTAGAATATATTACATTTTTCATTATTGTAAATTTTGACCGAGACTTATTATTTGGTACTTTCTACATAAGAAACCAATAGAAGTGTAAAACTTCTACACTAATAGAAAAATTAAAGGATACAAAAAAAATTCCAAATTTTTTGCGATTTTTCGGATAGCTGTATCTTCGTTAAAAATGGTCGTATTGGAGCCGTAAAAAAAACTATTTGAAGCTTGAAGTTTCTAGTTTTGAGATTTTTAGATGAAAAACGTGCAACGCTTAAGCGATTAATTAATCCTAGCGAATACCGTAATAAAAAAAATCGAAATTTTTTTGGCTTTCTTTTTTGGTCCACGGAATGTTCTGACAACCACCAATGAATAAATGTTCTAAAAGAATTTGTTATTGTTTTTTTTGCAAAAAAAATTCCATACTGCATAAATTTGAAAAATCATGAAAAAAAGTGCTTTTAGTAGCTTTTTGAAAAATCAAGCGCTGAATCAAAAATATTATGTAGGTAGTTACTTTTCTTAGGACCAAATCAAAACAAGCGTGCAAAGCGTGAGACTGTATTTACATTTACTAAATGTCATTTAGTGGCTAATTTTAGTTCGCGAACTGGACCGGAAACATAAAAAATTAGGCAAATGGGACTAATCTTGAAAAAATAAAATAAAATGTGAAAAAAAAACAATGAAAAAAAAAACAAAAAAAAACGGTCCGTTTTTTATAGTCGCATCTCTACTTGTGGTATTACTAATAAAAATTACAATATTTTAAATTATTCATTTTGTAAACGTCAATGTCAAGTCAACTTCTTATTTTTTACGTTAGTATTTTGATTTCGTAAAGGCATTTTTAAAAATGTAAACAACTTTATTCCATAAAATTTTTGTTAAAATTAATAAATAATGGTACTTCTCTCTTAAAGCATTTTAATGTTTTCCTATTTTAATAACACCCTGTCCATGTTATCTCAAATTTTAATATTGTAAATTAATTTTCTTAACAACTTTTTATAAAGAATGACTTTTTGTCGTAAAATGAATATTAAAGATTTGTGTACTTCACACTGTATAATGCTCCCTATAGTTATAACTTAAAGGGTTTTATTAGATTTTTAAATTTTCTACATATTTTTAATTGTTAAGTTAATAAAACTATTATTATTTTTAATATTATTAAGGTATGGAGGAATACAATTAGGACCAGATAGGTTTAAGCATATAAATAATGCTGCAAGACTTGCAATGCTTGAAGCTGGATTCATAAAGTCATGATAAATATTGATATAAAATTGTTTAGGTAAAAATAATATAATATAAAATTGTTAAATATTTATTTTACTAATTTAACGTGTACATTATGTAAATAAACCAATACAACAAACTTTAGTCTATGAAAAAAAATTCAGAACTTCATCATCATCACTGGTATCCTCGATCATCTCTGTGATGGCCTTCTCATTTTCTTCAAGTTGCCTCAGTAAATTGATATTGGTTTGTTCGTCGATCACTTCGTCCACCGTCGTAAGGGCCTCGCTGATCACGTGCTGTTGAGGAAAATTCTTCAGCGGAGGAGTGTAGAATATATTTTTCAGAACTGATTTTGTAACCAGGTCAACATTGTAATTGATCAGAGGTTCGCTGCCGATTATTACCGCCATGCCGGGCGTGTCCACGTTTGGGTGGCCGTAGCCCATGTTTTTTTTAAAGTTACCTAAAAGTTTATATATAACTATAGTTGTAACGAAACTTATTATTGAGATTTTATAATCTTATACCGTAAACACGGGTGGCTTTAGCTCACTTTCAAACTTAAGCTTAAAACTTTTGTGGTTTTAACAATAATAAACATTAAATTTTGTATATATATATATAACTATGTTATAATATTACATAGGGGTGAGTTTCAAAAATAAAAATTAAAAACTGGGTGTGCAAAGTTACCCCCTGGTTGCGGGTAACTTTGTTTCACAGTGTATTTTCCGTATAAAATTAACTCAATATTTTATTTTATTTGACACATGTTAACAGCGACATATATCTATTGCAAGGGATTACCGATAAAAAAAATAAAAAATCGACCTGTAGTTAACCAAGGATCATCATTCCAAAGAATTGCGCATAATATAGAAATTGAAACGCGTGTATTTTTAAGAGTTTTGCACTGATGCGATATATACAATTTTAAAGTGTAATAAATCCCATTTCTTTCTTTAAAACACTGATTTTCCTGTAATATAAACTCGATAGAATCGCTCAATTGACAGGTTTAGACCAACAAATTATAAATGTTAATTTTATCGAGCGCGAAAAGATTTTTCATAAAAGGGTTAAAGTCACCCGTGTTTACGGTAACCTTAATAAGTTTTGTTCAATATAAAAACGCGGCGTCCCAATAATTTTATAGTTAAGACAGGACGTGGCGTCGCAATAGTCACTTTCTTGTTTTATTGGCATTTGAAATAAAGTCCAACTACTATATACAAACAAACTTCAATTTAATTCAAAAACAACCGCCGCTCGCACCAAAGGAGCCAAAGTATCCGACCTACATCTAATCGTGAGTATACTCGTATTTCGTCGATTTTGCGCTATAATTTAAATAAAAGCTGAAATTGTTATTACAGGTATGTACATAGGTACTACCTACTAGGTAGATAGGTAAAGTTGGGATTTTTTTGTAAATGAAAAAACTAGTTTTTTTATTTATTTATTAAGGCAAAAAAACATTCCTTAAAATAAAATAAAAAACAACAATTCGACTAGTTCAAATAATTAAAAAAAACAGACTTTCACTAGCAGAGCCTCGTTTTGCGGTTTTTATTTGAAATTGAAATATAATAAAATAAAAATGGCGTCGGCTGCCAGCTGTGCACTGGGTTGCCTAACTTAGTGATTTTTAATATGCATGCAAGAACCTTAGAAGAAAAAAGTCATTATTATTATTATTATTAATCAGCAGTTATTTAAAAGATTTTTCGTTAGATCGTGAGCTTGAATGCACATTCGTGAGATCTCACGATAAATCATAAGATCTTAAGCCAAACTAATTTTTTAGACTGTACAGTGTATACACTTTTAAACTACCTTGAACTGACACCCAGACTTCATATTTCACTTGAATAGCATCTAATTTGTAAAACTGATTGGTTGGAGAAACATTTTCGTCTGTCTTCAAAATCGCGTAAAAATAAAATTTCCCCTTTAAAATGTGAACCATCCTTGCAACCCTACACACATCCGTGCGTACTTCTTTTACAACATTTATGGGTTTATCGCTTCTAAAAAGAAAAAAAAATGTTTTAGACCATTAAGTCCATTTTTTCTTTATTTGGACTTGGACACATTTGACTTTGTTTTTAATTAATTACATGTTGAATTTTTTTCGAAATTTTAAGAATAAAATGTCAGGGGTGTTTCTTGAAATTTAAGATTTAAATCTTAAATTTCAAGAAACACCCCCGACATTTTATTCTTAAAAAATTTACTTTCCATAGAAAGTGCACTTTCTATGATCATGGTTAATCTGTTTAAACCATAGACATATTAAAGGTTTAAACATACCTAAATGTTTATTATTTAAATACATGGTTACCTACCTATAAACATCTATTCTAGTTAGCACAAAAACTAAACCACTAAAATTTAATTTTGATTCATTATTTATGCTGCAAACGGCTGGCAAACTTTGTCCCACAGCAATTCCACTTATGGGTATCCAAAAACTAACAGAAATTCTACCGTTTTTTCCGAATGTAAACTTTCTGGTCACATCTTGACGACTTTCACACAAAAGCTGTTTTTCGAGGCATAATTTTCGGTTTGGAGCAAAATAAATCTCTTGAACGTGGACATGCGTTATATCTTCACAAACCAATATTGTCTTACATAAATATCTATAATACAAATATGTGTAAAGGTATACATTTACAATTTCTAAATTTTAAATCAAGATCTTAAGATCTTAATTAATACTTAATATTCCCATGATCTCCAGTCCAGGTAGCTGGAAGCCTGTTGGGCCAACCAAAATTAAAATTAAAAACCGCACTATTTTTTGGATCATTGCAATAGTAATCCACTTTTTCCACCACACGTCTCAAAAAGAAAAACTGCTGTCTGCTTTCCATCACTGTCCCTTTTGCATATATTCTGGGAAATACATACATGCTTTTTTCTAGTTCAAATTTACATTCAGCTACGCCAAAAATCTATTTTGAACAAAATATAATGTTATTACATAAATTACATGTATTATTTACTTCTAGAATGAGCTGCTTGTATTTAAGGGGTCTTGTTGATACTATAGATACGCTTCCATTAATTCTTGATTTTTTCGTGCTATCAAAAACGTTTACATTTACACCAATCTCTTCATTATTGTCAATTAAAGTTTTGCTTAATTGCAAACCAGTTGTGCTTTGTGAAATCATTTTAATTTAAAACACAGAATACAATATTTAAACTGACAGCGGTAAACGGTACCAACCTAGATATCTAGGGGTACCAACCACTGAAAAAGAATATGGCAATCAAGGATAAATGTGACAGGATAGTCTACTCCGTTGGCCGTATTATAGAAATAATTAACATGGTTTGTTCTATGCAGGGGCGTACCGAGGCACACTTTTTTGGGGGGGGGTGGAGACGATAAAAAAAACAACTTATTTTTTTATCGATACTTTAGTAGTATTAGTAAACATTTTTAGTAGTTTTATCATAAATGTAAAGTGTTGTAAAGTGTAGATAAAGAATGTCTTTACCTACCATTAGCATGCTCTTTTGAAGTCTCTATTTTTTTTATTTGCTACCAATGTAAGTGGATTATCCGGAACAGTAACAATTTTAATTTTAACCAAATTTCCACCGTGAATATTTTCCTCGTGCATTTTTTCTAGTCCTTGTTAAACACAGATCCACATAATGAGCATTTTACTAGAACTCGGCCCGGTCTAGCTTTCTTTTCCATATTAAAAAGAAATAATTCCTATTTATTGACACTAGTTTTACTTAGCTTACCAATTAATAATTTAGAAATTTCTTAAGACAAAGCCGCGAGGCGGTGTCGACTTTGTACATGCCGCTTGTGTGAAATATAATGTCCTTTAATAAAAATAAGGTTGACCAATACAATTTTCTTGACGGTAACGATTATAGGAGGTTACAATAGATTAAAAATTATAATTTTGTAATATGTAGGTAAAGTTTAAAAATTATATTTTATTTTATTTATTGTGATGGGTTGGTTGGTAGGGTAGGTATACCCAACCAACCGACCCAAATACTAGAGATTTTGCCAACCGTGTTTGGATTTGGAACCAACTGCCAAGACTTTGGGGGGGTGACTCCCCCCCTACACCCCCCTTAGGCCCGGCCCTGGTTCTATGATAATAATTTCTATGTCTGTAAAGGTCCTTTCTTGTGACCTAATACAAAGATAATATTATCTTGTACATCCTTTCATTAGCCGTGTTCCTTTCACCATAAAAATTATTAAACCATGCGCATGGTGGGCGCCCACCGCTCATATGAGTACAACTCTGTATTTGAATACAAATAAGAGGTTATCTATCTGTCAATTTAAGCTTATTTTGTCTTATTTTTTGAAAATAATACGAATATAGTACTTTATAGGATTGGCTAAAAATGGTCAAAATTGACCCATCACTCATCACATTATGTGACGATATAAAGACCCTCCCAAAAATATTTGATTATAATCTGACTAAAAATGGAACAAACACTCAATTTCGTTTGATTTATTTTGTCACGTGACCACAGATTATACGTGACGTTTTAATAAACCTTCCTCCCATCGGGCATGACAAATCCTGGGTCTTGGATGCCCTTGTAAGTTGATGGTAAATTTTTAAAAACAAGATCTAAATTGTTAGTTTTTTTATAAGCATTTTTAAACAGGAAGTCGACTATCCTGTCTTATATATCCTTGTAGAAACCCTAAAATCACCAAAATCTAGGGATTAGTGTAATTTTTATGTTGGCAGCAGCTTAATTCTTGTTTATGTCGGGTTTTGGTGTTTGTATTTTTATGAAATAATAAGCAATAATGGAGAATCTTCAAGATATTGATTTGCTACAAAGTGCAGGTGAAAAATCCGACTTGTACAACATGTCCTCTCATAGCCAACTGATCGACAGTGCCGATGTTACGAGGCGTAGAAGGTAAGTTGTAGGTTATGTTTCTCGAAGAAAATATTTATTTGTTGTTTAAGCTCGAATCGATCCATAAAGCGTAAAAAATTCGACGATGAATTGGTAGAGTATAGTCTAGGAATGCCAGGCGTATCGAATATCAAGGTAATCATTGGTTGTTTGACAAGTATTTTGTCACTTGTATTTGTATTGTAGGGTGGTAGGTCTCGAACACAATCAGCTCACAGCGACTTTTCCGTCGCGTCTCCGTCCACACCGCCTATAATCAGCACACCAGTACCCCAACACATACCTGAAATGAAGAGAAAACCAATAGCAAAAACCCTGCCGACCAGTTCTCGAAGATCGAAGAAAGGCAGGCAACAAAATCAGTATGCAACCAAAGACCTGGGCCGCTGGAAGCCAATCGACGATTTGGCATTGATTGTTGGTGTCCAACAAACCAATGACCTGAGGACAGTCCATTTGGGGACCAAGTTTTCCTGTAAATTTACTGTACAAGAATTACAACAAAGATGGTATGCCCTTTTGTACGACCAGTCAGTTTCTAGAGTGGCAGTGTCTGCTATGAGGAATCTACACCCCGATATGATTGCTGCTGTGCAAGATAAAGCACTGTGGAGTCAGCAGGAAGAAAAATTACTGTATACAATTAAATCAGTAAGTTAAAACTATAGAATCCTTATTATGGTGTTTAAAAAATAACCGTTACCGTTTTTTTATGTCACACGAAAGTTCCTTTTTGGATCTAAAAATTTTTTTGTAGAGAAACAAAAAAAAATATTTTCCTGTGTTTTTTATTTAATAATATTAATAAAATAAAAATAATTTGTTGAATCAGCTGTTAAAAACTAAAATGGAACTTTAAAAGTACATCTTTACATATTGTTGTGTTGAGGCTGAATTGGTGAGTTTTCAGAGCTCAAACCCGACCATGGAAACATTTTCGGAACTTCTGGCTCAGAATTCCGACGTGTTTTACTCTGGCAGAACGCCGAACGCGCTTCAACGCCACTGGCAAACTTTGCGCATGTACCATTTGTTGCCGGACCAAACTTTGGGGCCCCTGCCAGTGGCGGGTCGTCCGATCATGTCGTTTAGTGACGCCGAAGAATTGCTGCTAGATTCGGAGCTGAGCGAACCACCAGACGAGGCTTTGGATAAGGAGTTGAAATTGCAGCAGAGAAGGAACATTAAGGAGATAAGGCAGCTTGAGAATGAAGTGGGAAGGTGGAATGTTCTAGTGGATAGGTGAGATATTTGGTTACTTTTTTAAATCTTTTCAGGGTTTTTTCACCGTTTTTTTTCAAATGGTTTTTTTACATTTTATGTTTTTTTTTTCAACTTGCTATTTTTCACGCTTTTACCAATGGAAACTTACTTTACTATATTAATCCAATCAAGCCAGGGTTGGCACGAATTAATTCATATGAATTAAGTCAGTGATTTCATTCGCGAATTAATTCAAATGACTTTTTTTTAAAAGTCACGAATTAATTCAATTTTTTTACAATGGGAACAAGTTGTGTTATCAACTTCAATATATATATATGGGGTGTTATGTAAAAAAATTAATTTTGTGGTTATGGAGTTTTTATAATATGTAGTAAATTTTCTAATCATTGCTTAAGCTAATAGCAGCTATTAAATAGCTGGATGAGTAAATAAATACAGAAGGGTATTAGAGCTCTTAGGGCATAAAACTTTTGTATTTATTAAGTTTTTATTTAATTTTTGCAAGAAAAATTTTTAGTAACAATTTTTTACAACTGGCAACTACTTTGTCGGTTGGTATATAGGTACTCACAGAACACAAGTGTGTAACCAGTGGCATATCACAAAAAATATAAAAACTTCTAATGCATATTTTTTTCTTTGTTACACCTTATGTATTCAGTATTTTAATATATTACATTAATTAGTAGTACGTAACACAACCGCACTATGCACTAGCGCCAAATTAAAATTCTGTTAACCAAAATTTTAATTCAGCGAATTTTTCAGTCAGAAAATTCGAGGTACATAATATTTATTCCAAACAATAATTAGGAATTATTATTTTGTCACATACAAGTAGCTTTGAATTTATTATCTGAAAAAATAATCAGATTAAAAGAAATATGGCAGAAAGATTCTTAAATGAAAATTTGTATTGCTAGATTTAAATAACATAATAATTAATAACAACTATACCACAACTTTATTCCCGTATAAAAATTGTTTCAAAGTGTTTTAAACAACAAAATAATTCGTATTAAAAGTAAATATTAAATTTTTTTAAAATAATAAAAATAAAATTGTTTTCAATTCTTATTAGTCAAATAAAATTTTCAGTAATATTAATTAAATACATTTCAATATTAAAATTTTTGTGTCAAATAAGAAACTTTATCACTTTAATTTCTAAAAGGTAAATTGATTTTTATGTCGACGAGTAATAATAGAAATTTATTGCGACATAATAATAATTTCAGTATTACTTTTTCTTAAATAAATGTTGCGCACCTTGAATTAACTGGCTAAGAAATTCGATGAATTAAAATTTTGGTTTACATAATTTCAATTTGACTGCGTGTTTCTCCAAGTAGCGCCCTATTAAAATTATCTCAACCAATATTTTCATTTTTCAAATTCATCGAATTTTTTATTTAGAAAATACGCCATTCAGTTCCAGAATTAAAATAACTTTAATTCTTATTCTGTGCCTAAAATTGTGTACTCAATATACCAAGACATCATAAAAATTTTACTTTAAAATGTTCAGTAAATTTTTAAAAAAGCAACTTGAATTAATATTTAGCTTTAATAAACATGACATTAAAAAGTAAAACGGCTTGCCATACAATGAGTTATTACAGTCTTCACTGTAGGTGTCAATATTATGGTGGATGTTTTTAAAATGTAAAAATTTAAACATTAAACTAGATATAATTTTATTACGCTACTGTTCTCGTTGGGTCTGAGTGCGATATATCCCGGCTACAGTTTCTTTTTTAATATAAAAACTGATGCAGACCAAATTTTCTTTGCACTTTTTTTTGCTGATTTATTCAATTTTTTACAGTAAACCATAGAAAACCATATTTTCACATTTTATTTTATTTTTCCATTAAGCACACAAAATGTTTTGCCTGCTGCTAGTTTTGAGGCAAAAAGCAATTCATTCATTGTTATATATACATTGAGAAACACTACCCTAGCAAGTGATCCAACTTGTTCTAGAACAAAAGCATCAGTGTTGTTCCCAGCGAAAAAAAAAGCGTAACAGATTTTACAGAAAAAAGTAATAGATCCCTATAAAATGTAATAGATCGCTATTTTTGAACTACCTATCATTATAAAAATAAAGAAATTTGTTATTTCATAAAGGTAAAGAGGAGGGGGATTTTTAAAACAATAAAACATCCATAGACATTATGCATGTTTTGTGAATAAAGATTTTATTTAAATATTTTTTAACAAAACACGTTCAACTATGGGTTATTTTATTTATAACTTATTTTTTATAATATAATGATAAGTTTTTATTTTATGTATAGTGCAATAAAACACTGTCAACTTAATGTGTTTTATAAAACGGCCATTTCAAGCGGATGGACGGGACAAATCACAAAACTGTTTTTATAAAAAAAATTGTAGCTAATTTATTATACATTATTTTTGCATCAAAATTGTCAAAAAAATTCTTCTATTATAAGGGTATACATTAAATAAAAAAAATCGCAAGAAATATTTTATAAAAGTAGAGATAATTTCAATAATTGACAGGGATGGACGGGACAAGATAAATCTTTTTTTTGTCCCGTCCACACCTTTCAATTATTAAAATTATATCTACTTTCATAAAATATTTCTTGAGTTTTTTTTTATTTAATGTATAACCCAATAAAAGAAGAATATTTTTGCCAATTTTGATGCCAAAATATTATATAATAAATAATCTACAATTTTTTTTATAAAAACAGTTTTGTAATTCGTGCGTTTCGCGCGCTTGAAATGGCCGAAAATCATATTTACGATATTTAGATACTATAAACAAAATGTAACCAAGAGGAAATGCGACGTGAGCAAGTTTCATTGTGTTTTTAAAAGACCACACAAGGGGTCGAGAACTGCGTCATATTTTTTTTATATTTAAAAAGGGCTGACCAAAGATTATCTTTGGGGCTGACTACTCAGTTTTTTCTGTAAGAGTGGCAGTCTGCTCTTATTATTTTAGTTAGTTATTCATTAGCATTCAACCAAGTATCATCTCTGTATTAAAATAAATACATCTCATTTAATAAGTTGTGTTTATTGAACAACGTTCCTGTTGCACAAAAATCCAGTCAACCAATTTTGCATACAGAGAATGTTTTCATGGATTAGTTTTCAAGGAAACGTACTTAAGCTCAGTACACAGGTAATTGGTAGGTAGGTACTTACTTATCCATTTTATCTACGTAACACTAAAGTTGTCAATCAGTTATAATATGTATACTTTTAAGTTGTAATTATTCTGTGAATACCACAAAATACATAGGCAAGGTTTTCAACTCGTCTACGAAAATGATGTTAGCTAATGCAAACTTTTTTACACGGACTTCGTATTAATCGTATTCGGAAAACGGTATTCCCTTTGTTCTTCTAGCGTTATATATATATATATATATATATATATATATAATTATTGTTGAAAAAAAAAACGGACAAATCTTGAAAATGTAATAGATTTATTAATTTTGTAATGACGTAATAGATTTTTGGCCGTTGTAATAGATCTATTACAAATGTAATAGACGGAACAACACTGAAAAGCATATTAAAAGTTCTAGAATATTTGATTTTCATATACTTGATGTTGATTTGTTTTTAAAAGTGAATAAAAAAAATAATTTTTAGTGTTACTGGCATATGTCCTGGCGAGCTGGACAGTCAAACACTGGCGGTTTTAAGAGGCCGTATGGTGAGATATTTAATGAGAAGCAGAGAAATAACCATTGGTAGATCAGGAAAGGGTCATTCCGTGGATATTGATTTGTCTTTGGAGGGGCCCGCTCACAAAATATCCAGAAGACAGGCAACACTAAGGTAAGTAAAAAAATTGATATCAGAAAAAATCTAAATTATTTATGTTAGGTTGCGCAACACTGGAGAATTCTACTTGTCTTCCGAAGGAAAACGGCCCATTTTTGTGGACGGACGTCCTATAACCGCTGGGAATAAAGTGAGATTATACGATAATGCCGTAGTTGAAATTTCCTGTTTAAGATTCATATTTTCCGTAAATCACGATTTGATTAGAGCCATACACAATGAATCTGTTAGATACAACTTACCTCCATAAGAGTAAAACGTTTTTGTATTTAGTTTTAGTTGATTATGTGTAATGTAACTTAAATGTAATGTTTAACTGATAAAATAAATAATTATACTTTTAACGAGTTTTTATTTTCTCGCTTAGAAGCCTTTTACATTTTTATTGTGTTATTATATAATTCTTGTTGTGTACAAAATTGCAAAAGCAGGGGATTTGTGTAAAAATGCATTAATTTCACTAAAACGATAAGGTATGTCCAGCTTGTTGGATAATAACAAAAAATGTATATTCTAAAATCTAAATCAAGGTTTTTTAAAATGGTATAGGTACCTAGACAAAATCAACTTGTTTTTGTCTAGGATGGTATATTCAAAGATATTATCTTTAGGTATATTTTGCAAATAAATAAAAAACGCATAATTTTGGAATAGTTTATTATATTTAAAAATTTATTTTACCTTATAGAATAATAAGAGTAGGAATGGAATACTTAAATAAGTTCATATGAAATATTTGCTTTTATATATTTTTTAACTTTGACCAATAAAATAATAATACAAAAACGTAGTTATATTATCCACTTTTTACTTTCACTAAAAAAATATTAGAATTATTTATCTAGTGGAAGTAAAAAAAGAATCAGTACCACCCAGTCAATAATTTGAATATCTATTTTTGAATTCACCCCCGAGAGGGCGCAGTAGTCTCAGAACAAAACTTTAAAGTTAAAAACCTAACTATTTTTTCTCATAATTTTCTAAAATCTAAATCAAGGTTTTTTAAAATGGTATATTTTGTAAATAAATAAAAAACGCATAATTTTGGAATAGTTTATTAGGAAAAATATAGAAACATACATATTTAAATATCAGCAAACAAACAAAACATAAGACTATCTTTGCCAAAAAACATACAGGGTAACTCTAACAATGGCAAAAATAGTAACACTTAACATACTTTAACATAGCGTTTTTAAAATGTGATGTTTTTAGAACTTATATTTAAAGTTAAGTTTCAACATATACTTGACGTTGACCTGTGCAACGTCATAAACGATGTACTCATTATAGAGTAGGGAAGATTCTTCTCTGCCTGGGACAGTTATTCCCTTACCAAGTGGGATTTCAATTCCGTTGATTGTTTTGGAATTTTTAGGATCTGGTTCTGTACGCCCCAAACCCAAGCAACTGTGTTTGCCTTTTGGAAGCTTCTCTATGTAATCAGCATGGTACCTTTCATACATCTAAAAAAATATAGAATATTAAAAAATGCCAAAATGTATGAATTTACCATGTTTTGTTAAAAAAAAGGGACGTTTGTCACTTTGCCTATAGCCAATATTAAGGGTTTGAAGGGTAAAAAAACATATATTATACTCGATATTATATATATATTCATAGCTCATGACTGAGTGAAGGATTAAAAAAAACTTCAAATTTTTGGCAGTTATGTATGTATATGCAAAAAAGTCCCTTTTTGGAATAATTTGAACATTATACTAAAAAAGTCCCTTTTTTGGAATAATTTGGACATTATACTATGTATATTGGTAAAATTTGTAAAATAAGTTGTGATAAAAAAATACTTCTCTCAGTCACTAGTTATTATCTAGAAGTGGAAAAATTTTCAATAATGTCGATTTTAAAAATAGAGTAATAAAGTAAAACGAGCCTAATGGAAGGAGTTTCCAAAGGCTCCATATCCTAGAATTTTACAAGGATTGACTTTAAACTTGGGGAAAATATTCTTGACAGGTTGTACAGTTAGATAAAAAGTAGTTTTAAGAAAAAATCGATCAAAGTTTAAAGTAGTGATAAATAAATAAGGAGTTTCCAAAGGCTCTACTAGAGTTTTACTCGCATTGACTTAAAACTTTGGAAATTTTTTTTGACATGTAGAGTTCATGATGTACTATTAGATACCTAACAAAAATAAAAAAAATGTTTTAAGAAAGTGATTAAAGTTTTAAGTGGTAATAATAATAAACTTTATGTTACAAGCAGTATTTTCACAGGTTAAAAATATAATATTAATTATTTACAAAATAGATTAGCAAAACTAGGTGATATTAAAATTGAAATTTAAAACTTCATCGAATAAATAAAAGGAATTTTTAATTAAAATTTTCTTAATTTTATTTTTAAAATTTTTGTTTGGATAATTCCATAAATGAAGTGGAAGATTATTAAAAAACTTAATGCCTAAGAAGTTTGTTCCTGTTAGACTTTTTTTTAGTCTATATTATAGAGTTTTAATCCCATTGACTTTATTCTTTGGGAAAATATTCTATAATAATAATAATAAAACAAGCCAAATGGGAGGAGTTTTCAAATGCTTTATTTCCTAGAGTTTTACTCGGATTGCCTTAAAACTTTGGGAAAATATTCTTGGAATGTTGAAGTATTAGATTAAAAATAAAAAAATTAAAAAACCGATTTTAAGTAGTAATAAAACAAGCCTAATGGAAGAAGTTCCCAAAGGCTCTATCTCCTAGAGTTTTACTCATTTATCTTTGGGAAAATATTAAATAAATAAAAATATATATACAATATATCTTTTTATCTTTTCCTATCATAACAAAAACCTTTTTCAGAATTTTTTTAATTTTTTTACACAACAGAAAAAGTTATGAATTTCTCAAAAAAAATGGCTTTTTATTTTTTAAGAATCTATAACTTTTTCAAAAATTGACTAATTGGGACGTGGTTTTCAGAAAAATGTAGAAAAAAATTATTCAAATCGATCTTCAGCGTTTTTTTTTTCCGGAAAAACCTGAAAATTTCTCGATAATTGTCGTTTTTAATACTTTTTTCTTTTTTCATTAGAAACTAGCATTTTCTGCGAATTCTCTGAAATTTTCAGAGTGGCGTTTTTTCGTTTTCTATTATTTTTTCAATTAAAATTTTTAACTAAGCTTTTTTCATAATACCACTCTGGAGATTTTTGAGGATGTACATTTTCGAAAAACTAAGCATAAGAATATTTATACCATGTTACTATTAGTTTAATTTTATTTCAATGTTTTTTTCATGGATAGTTATCCAGTTATCCAGTTGACAGAATAATTTTTTGTAAATAGTAATGGGGTAGTTAAATTTTTTCTGACCTATACTTTTTATGGTTTTATTCAAGGCGTTTTGTAATTTTAAATATTTCTGTGAAATCGGAATTTCAATTGAGTTTACCGTTTTCGAGATATTTACAAAAAAAATCTCCTAATTACGTCACTAGGCTATTGACAACGTTGCCAGCTTTTTCTATGGTTGCCAGTGTGTTTAGTTTAAGATTCTTACGATAGATGGCGCCACGTTATAATATTTTAGTTTTAAAACCACTTGATCTATAATTTTAGTTGAGAAGAAGAAGAAGAATTGATTTTTTGATGTTTCTTTTTTTCGGGTTATGTTTTTTTTAAATTTAGATTATTGAAAATCAATGTTATTTGTAATTGATATTAGATAAGTGATTTATTAATAACGGACTCCAAAGCAGAGGAATCTTGTGGAATGGTTGGTAAAATTGAACATTGGAGCTTTTAAACAAATAAAGTAAGTACCTATAATTATAATCATATTTTGTCGTAAATGCATTTCATTAGTATAATGCCTAGTTCTTTATATTCTTTTAGATATATCTTGGACTCTAAAATATCAAACAGTAATATGATACCTCGTAATAAGGAAGATAGGTACTTAATGAATTTGGTGACTGTCTGTTTCTCTAAACAGAAGATATATTTATTGTACTGGTTGTAAGTTTTGTTTGTATATTATAAAATAGAAGACAGTATTTTTATTTTGAAGGCATGGAATGAATTGTTTATTATGGTGACAATTATTTTTGTATATGTAAGTATTTTTTTTTCTTGAGCATAGAGTTAGTAAAGCCCGCTGCACAACAGCCCGGTAACGGGAACGGGAAACTAAACGGTAAAGGTGGGAGAAACTCAGCGAACCCTATGTATCAACAGTGGTTTGTTAGTCTCTCCCACCTTTTATGTTAAGATTCCCGTTCCCGTTACCGGGCAATTGTGCAGCGGGCTTAACTGTACAAGTGAGAAAGGACCACAGACAGGTATGTGGAAAGGACAAATTATAATTTTTAATGTGGTTGTAAATTACAACTTGTAATACTGCCCTAAGAATAGATCTTTAAAAAAATCGTTTTTTAAGTTTTCTCTGCTTTAGACAGTTATTAGGTACCTATTTATTACATTTTATTAGGTTTCACACGGTGTTTCAATATGTAAACCTACCAATAAAACTTTTAATTTCAGTATTTTCTTTAACCTCCTCTTCTTCTTCTTTCACTCAACTGACAGTGACAGTATTTGTACATAACCTCTTCGGGTATTTTCTGACATAACCGAATGAAATCATTAACAAGACAACTTGACAACAGGGTAATTTTCAACCAATAGAAATCTTAGAATGTTGGTCACAGGGCGAGGTTTGTGACGTCATAAAAATTTTTTTTTTTTGTAAATATCTCGAAAACGGCAAACTCAATTGAAATTCTAATTTCACAGAAATGTTTAATATTACAAAACGCCTTGAATAAAACCATAAAAAGTATAGGTCAGAAAAAATTTACCTACCCCATTATTGTGCATTTTTAATTTAGCAACAAAATCGTTTGTACCAAAAATTTTCAGTAAAATTTAGTATAGGGTTGTTGTGAATCCAGTACTAGGCATAGATTTATTTTTTTAATCGCTAATATAAATTCTTATAAATGTACTCTCAAAAACTGACATAGTAAAAGGTCTATTTTTGAAGTTATAGATATTAAAAATATAAAGGTCCATTTTTTTTTTAAATTCGTAACTTTTATTTGGTTGGTTAAAAAATTTGAAAAAATTCTGAAAAATGTTTTAGATAGTGATGAAAAAAAATCAAAAGGGGTCGGAGTCAAAAGTGGTCGATTTGGTATGGAATGCCAAAGAAAATTCAAAACTACTCACCTCTCCCAGAGCCACGTCGCAAAGCAACAACAAACCAGTTGATTGGTTCACGCTGGTGCTACAATAGTTGGCGGACTTGGACACCATGTCGGCAAAGTAGATACCTTTGCCGAACATGTAACCGGTAACGGGCGCTTCGGGCGGAGCGATCCTCAAACCTTGCGACAAAATTCCGGCGAAGTTGGTAACCCTGGAACCGTGCCACAACAACTTGTGATTCGGCAACTTCTTGAACGGCTTGAATCGCTTTTCTTCCCCGTGGCGTTTGACTGTGTAGACGTCTTCGATTTCCAACTAAAATTAAATGCGTACAATATTTTCTCGAAAAGGCAAAATAAAGGTATGGTACCTTGTAGTTGCTGTGAGTTTTGGCGTGAGTGTTTTGGATGTACTTCTCGATGAGTCCGAACTCTTCGGAAGTTCTTTCGAGCACGTCAATGTCGGTTTTGAGTTGACCGTAGTAGCTGTCCACGGTGTGTTCGCTGCCCGAGGATTTCATTAGGTTGTAGGCCACTTCCAGCTCCATCAGGCTGTCCAGCATTTCCAGCTTTTTCTGAAATCAACATTACCACATAACACAATATGTTTTCAAAAAGTTGTCAGGCCGTTTGGAGAACAATATTTATAAATAAAAGGTTGATGAAATGTTGTATGAACATTCAGGGAAAAATATTTCTGTTACGCGTAAATATTTCTGAAATATTCATCAAGAAAAGTTTCCATTTTGGAAAGTTTCCAGTCGGGAATTTATTTTCATGGAAACTTTCTAGTTCTAGTATTAGTTATGTTCTATGATTAGTTTGTTGAAGATCTCATCATCACAACTCATAAATCGTTTGCATGGGATTTTTTATGGGTAATGGTACTACCATTATGGTAGTCAAAAATGTTGATTTTATTTTGCCTGTAGGTTTTTTTTTTTCATATTTTATTGGTCAGAACTGCAATACTGTTGTTAGTATCTTTTACTTTTCAATATTATATGGTTACTTTCTTCCTTTATATTTTGTATGTAATATCTATAGATATTATTATAGTGATTCACTAGTAGTGAATTTCTTATAGTTAACAGTTTACAGTCATATTTCAGCAAACAATGCATTATGTATACATTCATATAAGCTATTTTTTTACTTTTTTCTTAGGGTATTTCGATTGTAACGGGTGCGACACTAAAACTGCGTTTTTTTCATGATAATATAGTGTTTGTTCATATTTATCAAGATACGTACGTTAATATGAAAAAATATTATGAAATTTAACTCAAACAAAAGTCAAAAAACTTGTATAGAAAATAACGTCATGAATAAAGCATATAGTAATAATTTATTGTGTAAAACTTTAATAGTAACATTAAACAAGCACGTATTTTAAATGCACAAAAATTGTATACCTAGTTTATTTTCTAAAATTTTCTCAAAATGTAACTGGAGCGACATTTGAACATTTTATCGAGTATTGAAACTCTTCCGGGTTTATTCTTAATGTTGGCTTCTTAGCATCACAATGTACGAATATTTTAAGGTTATAAATTATGTCGCAATTAAACTATTTGACTTCAGATATAGTTGTTATTTTGTTAAATGACACATCTGATTTTTTGTCAAGGTGGGGTAAGGGTTCGCGGAAATACCCCTTAATAAAATTTGACAAAAAGGTAATGTGTTATATATTTTTGCAATCCTCCTGGCACAAAAAACATTTCCGCAATAACATTTTTTTTTATCTTTTGGAGTTTTGGGAATTTTTCCATCTTTAAGTTTTTTTTCATATTTTATTGTTCAGAACTGCAATACTGTTTTTAGTAACTTTTACATTTCAATATTATATGGTTACTTTGTTCATTTTTATTTTTTATGTAATATCTATAGATAGTAATCCACTAGTGAATTTCTGATAGTTCACAGTTTATTGTCATATTTCAGCATAGAATGCATTAGGCATACATATATACATACATTATATGTATACATTCATATAAGCTATTTTTTTATTTTTTTTTTAGTGTATTTCCATTGTAAAACGGGTGCGATACTAAAACTGCGTTTTTTCATGACCTTTTATAACGTCATGAATAGCGTAACGGGCGCGACCTTAAAAAATCGGCAAATGCGACGTTAGCTTCTAAAGTTGATACTGTAAAATTTTGGAAGAAAGCATATAGTAATAATTTATTGTGTAAAACTTGAATAGTAAATGCACAAAAATTGTATACCTAGTTTATTTTCTAAAATTTTCTCAAAATGTAACGGGTGCGACATTTGAACATTTTATCGAGTATTGAAACTCTTCAGTGTTTATTCTTAATGTTAGCTTCTTAGCATCACAATGTACGAATATTTTAAGGTTATAGATTACGTCGCAATTAAACTATTTGACTTCCGATAAAGTTGTTATTTTGTTAAATGACACATCTGATTTTTTGTTAAGGTGAGGTAAGGTTTCAAAGAAATACCCTTAATAAAATTTGACAAAAAGGTAATGTGTTATACAAGGTGTCCCTAAACTTAGTGGCATAAATTTAGGAGCAGATTAAGCAAGTCAAAATAAGACGAAATTCTAAATAAATATTTTTCCTAATTACGTATGTTTAAAAGATACAGGGTGATAAAGTGTTACTTATAATCCCGAATATCTCGGAAACGGTTTATTTTATCGAAGTTTTAGAGGTACACCTTTTTAATGGTAGCCGAACTGTGTAATCGAAAAATTGCATCAAATATTATAAAAACCTAACCTCAAAGTTTGTATGGGACAATAAGCTTAAACCAACCCCCGTTTCTATGACACTGTGTTCACTCGAACAATTGTAATAATGTGTGAATTTGTGTTTTGGTAGTAAGTGATTGTTTGCAAAATATCACCTTTCCAAGTCTACCATAGTAGAAGTTATATTAAAAAAACTGATATGATAAGTAACACTTTATCACCCTGTATCTTTTAAACATACGTAATTAGGAAAAATATTTATTTAGATTTTCGTCTTATTTTGACTTGCTTAATCTGCTCCTAAATTTATGCCACTAAGTTTAGGGACACCTTGTATACTTTTGCAATCCTCCTGACACAAAAAACATTTCCGCAATAACATTTTTTTTAAACTTTCGGAAAGGGTTAAAATTTTATTGCCACCCTATTAAAGACGATTATTCTCTCGGTAAATTTTTTTATTAACAAAAAACAAACATAAACCTAATAAAATCCCTTAGAAAACAAAAAATAGTACTGTTTTTTAATTTTGAAAGCGGGATTGAACCGAAGACTCTCTAATTATAATTTAAATTAAATTCTTTTTAGCCTCCATCCGGAAAAATCCGAAAACCAAAACTGCGACGAAAAATGACATTTTACCGGAGTTACGACAATGTCTGGCTTAAGCTAAATTTACAAAAAGGCAGTAAAAAAGAAACTTAAAAAGAAAAACCCAGACTGTAGAAAGAAAAATATTCTTTTATTTCTGCATCTTTTTCTAAAGAATTTTTGTTTTACATATTTCACTTATTTATACCGATTATTTTTAAAATATTTTTTTTTTTAAATATTTTTTATTATGCTTGTATTTTTCTATCTCCAGCTATGATATTCTGTTTTAGTATATTTAATATGATATGGTATTCACATCTACTTTTTGCCGACAAAATTAAGCCGGAGAAAAAAAAACCGTTTTTCCAGCAAAAAAACGAAAAAATTGGAAAATTTTAAGAAAAATTGACTTTTGCATTTTTTTCATTTTATCTAAAGGGTAATACGAAAAAAGTAAATTTTTCTAAAAATTTACAAATTTTTACGGACACTGATATCGAACAAAAAGTGAATTTTTCTAAAAATTTACAAATTTTTACGGACACTGATATCGAACAAAAAGTGAATTTTCGACGCTAAATATAATCAAAATATTATGAATATAATAATTACATATTTTATTTTAATTCAGTAAGAATATTCTACCGGGTTGCAAAAAACATTTTCGGTGCTGTATTAACATAACTTTTGTTTTATTTGTCACATATATAAAACTATAATTTCCTAATTTAACTTTATAAATCATTCATTATTTTGTAATTGGATATTTTTAATTGACTCTTTTTTGCAAAAAGACCCAACTGACAGTATATTTAACGTTTACGTTTATTTTCTTAAATCAATTTAATTTAAATTAATGTTTTTTTTGTAGGGATATTGTTTTAAATTAAAATAATATTAAGTTGTTGATTGCCACTTTTTTAGAAATGTGTATATTTCCCAAATAAAAAATTCAATATTTCCCAAAAAAGACAATTTTTCCAAGTCCCATTGTTCCGACACTTTAAAACACTAATACACAGTGTCCCTGAACGAAGTTTAAGTCACATAAAAATGACGCCAAAAACTGATTGCAGTTTCTTGTTCGGGACCCTTTGGCGAATTAAAAATGATATTTACCAAAATCCTAGCTGATCCTTTTTTCGAAATTTTTTCAAAATTTATTATTTTTTTTTTTATTTCAAAGTCTACCTTTCACAGAGTACACATTTGTACACCGATTTTTATAAAATTTGAGTATATTATTGAGGAGACTTATAGAATACTTTTTAATATTGTTCACATCATTTGATATATACAGGGTGGACCAAAAATCGCTTAATTTTAATAAAGCAAAAGCGTAAATTCATGATTTTGGCATAACAAGCAAAACAGATGTATCCCCATTTTTTTTTAGATATTTCTATGTTTATTAGGTTACAAAATGGCATTTTTATTAACCTTTTATTAAAAAAATGGATTTTTAATAAAATTAAATAAAATAACGCTTAGAGAATATTTAAAATGTTGTTTAATTTAGGCTTTTTAGAAGTTTTCAATTTTGAACGAAAAACTGGTTAAAGTTTTTTGATCGGCACTCTTTGGAGATTTAAAAACGGTATTCGGTATTTACCAAAATTCTAACTGCTTTTCTTTAAATTTGTTAAAAAATCATTTTTAAATTAATTTGTTTATCGCAAAGTCTACCTTTGCCAGAGTACAGATTTGTACAGCGATTTTTATTGATTGCAGTTTCTTGTTCGGGACCCTTTGGTAACTTTAAAACAATATTTAACAAAATCCTAGCTGCTCCTCTTTTCAATTTTTTTGAAAATTCTTAATTTTTTTTTTTAATTTTTGTTTATCTTACCTTTGACATAGTACACATTTGTACACCAATTTTTATAATATTGGAGTATATTGTTAACGAGACTTGGAGAATACTGTTTTCATACTGAGCACATCATTAGATTTATACAGATTTATCTCCAAAAAAAATTATTTTATTTAATTTTATTCAAAATCAATTTTTCTTATAAAGTCTTGATAAGAATCCCATTTTGTAGCCTGATAAACATAAAAATATCTAAAAAAACATGGGTGGGTATATATCTTTTTTGCGTGTTATGCCAAAATCATGAATTTACGCTTTTGCTTTATTAAAAGAAGCAATTTTTGGCTAACCCTGTATATATTAAATGATGTGCACAGTATAAACAGTATTCTCCAAATCTCCTTAACAATATACTCCAATATTATTAAAGTCGGTGTACAAATGTGTACTCTGTCAAAGGTAGACAAAAATTAAAAAAAAAAATCATGAATTTTCAAAAAATTTCGAAAAGAGGATCAGCTAGGATTTTGGTAAATATCATTTTTAAGTCACCAAAGGGTCCCGAATAAGAAACTGCAATCAGTTTTTGGCGTAATTTTTATGTGACCTAAACTTCGTTCAGGGACACTGTGAATAGGTACACAAAAAATATCACATGGCTTTTATAAATATAAAAGCAACATTGTTCCGGTTTTTTCCGACACTTTAAAACACTAATAGGTACAAAAAAATTATCACATGGATTTTATAAATATAAAAGCAACATTTTCAATTTTTTTTTAAATAAATAGGCAATAAACTGTAAACATTTTAAACATATTTCCAGATATTTGTAATGTTTAGGAAACAATAAAATTTAAGATAATGTATCTAAAACATTTACAAACATTTTGTGAAAAAATATTTTATAAATATAAAAAGTGGGACATCTAAATGTTGTAAAAACATTTTAGAGGCATTTAAATGATAATGACTAATATTTCGGCCATTTCAAGCGCGCGAAACGCACGAATTACAAAACTGTTTTTATAAAAAAAATTGTAGATTATTTATTATATAATATTTTGGCATCAAAATTGTCAAAAATATTCTTCTTTTATTAGGTTATACATTAAATAAAAAAACCCAAAAAATATTTTATGAAAGTAGATATAATTTTAATAATTGAAAGGTGTGGACAGGAAAAGTTTTATCTTGTCCCGTCCACCCCTGTCAATTATTGAAAATATCTTTTATAAAATATTTCTTGCGATTTTTTAAATTTAATGTATAGCCTAATAATAGAAGAATATATTTGACAATTTTGATGCAAAAATAATATATAATAAATTCCCTACAATTTTTTTTATAAAAACAGTTTTGTGATTTGTCCCGTCCATCCGCTTGAAATGGCCGATTTCAAAAATATTTAGGTTATTTAGCAAAAATATTAATTCAATATTTTAAATATATTTTTGTGTTATGTGGTTTTGTCTTTAAACTGATTTAATTTAGCATACAAGGTGTGTCTTACCTGCACCGTTTCCTTATCCTTAATGAGCGGCGGATTCTCGATACCGAACGAATGAGGAATAAACGTGTAAAACCTATTTGTGGCATCTATGAATCTAGCTTCAACCGTTTCGTTGCCATCAATCAGGTGCTGTAGCTCGTTTAGCACTTTAAACGCACTCTGAATCTGCTTCTTGCTGAGCTTTCCGAGCGGCATTTTCTCCATATCCAGCTCAAACTCCAACATCAAATTTTTCATTTGCTTGACGTCGAAGATCAGCTTCATCAAGTCTTGAACGGGTTTTTTGAGGTTCGATTCGGATTCGACGATGTCGAGCTTTTCTTCGGGGCTGTCTTCATTGTAGTCCACGTCGATGGGGTACAATTTTCCAGGTACCTAGTGATAAATGTAATATAACATCTGTTTTGCATTTTCTCAATGAAATCGTGAAACTACACTGCGCGTCAAAATTAACGCATAATAAGTAAAAAAATTCTTACTCTGAAACGCCTTTACCAATCTTTATGAAATTTTGTATAAGAATACTTCAACTTATATCTCAGTTTACATGTTCACGGGTTTTTCGAGAAAATATTTTTAAAGCCCTTTTATTTAATATTAAAAAAACGCTCGAAAAAAAACTATTATAGGGAATTATTTTAAGTAAATAAAATATATGCTGTTAAAGCCCGTATTTTTGTTAGTATACCCTGAAAATTTTGTACAAATCAAACAGTAAACAGTAACGAAGATACACTTAAAAATTCCCTATAAAAGTTTTTTTTAATATTAAATAAAAGGGCTTTAAGGATATTTTTTCGAAAAACCCTTGAACACGTAAACTGAGATATAAGTTAAAGTATTTTTATCCAAAATTTTATAAAGATTGGTAAAGGCGTTTTAGAGTTAGAATTTTTTTACTTATTATGCGTTAATTTTGACGGGCAGTGATGTGAAATAAGTCCAACCTATAATTAACTGAGTTAATCTATTATAGATTGTGATATCAGACACGAAACACTGTGGAAAATCTAGGTCTCAAACACCCAAAAACAGTGGCGCCTTAAAAAATAATCAAGGTCAAAAAGCGATAAAACGCTTTTTTAAGTACTTGAGCGCCACCTACTTTTTGAAATTTTCGTCCTAGAGCTTCGACTTAAATAAATAAATAAACATAAATCGTAGGGGACAAAGCCAACTACATTTTTTGTTACTAATTTTTTTCCTATTACTGTTTTTGATTTAAAAGAAATCCAAAAACTTTTTTAGTTTTTACCATAAACCCAAAAAACACGCGTTAAAAAAATTCGAGGCCAAAAAGCGATAAAGCGCTTTTTTGGGTTAGGGTTTTAAAATTTCCGGAAAAATTGAGCCGGCGGAAGAAAAACGCTTTTTTCCGAAAAAAAACGGAAAAATTGGGAAATTTTCAGAAAAATTGCCATGCATTTTATTCAAAGGGTAATACGAAAAAATGCAAAAGTCAATTTTTCGGAATATTTATAAACTTTTATGAATACTATCCGTACACTGATATTGAGACGCTGAATATATAATCTTAATATTATGATTATAATAATTATTCCTTTTCTTATAATTCAGTAAGAATATTCTACCAGGTCGCAAAAAAACAAATTCGGTGGTGTATTAACATAACTTTCGTTTTATTTAACACTTTGATTTATAAAATTATAATTTTGTAATTTAACTTTATACATCATTTATTAATTTATAATTGAATATTTTCAATGGACTTCTTTTTGCAAAAATTACCCAACCTACAGTATATTTAACGTTTACGTTTATTTTCTTAAATCAATTTAATGTTTAGTTTATTTTTATTTTCTGTAAAGATTTTTTTTTTGTTAGGTTGCTGATTGCTACTTTTTTAAATTTGAATATTTTCAAAAAAAAATCTTTTTTTCCAAGGCCTTGAAAAAACGGGTTTTTTCCCCAATTTTTCCGTTTTTTTTTTCGACACTTTAAAACCCCATTTTAGGTACTCAAGCGCCATCTACTTATTTAAATTTTCGTCCTAGAGTATCGACTTAATAACACAAATTGTAGGAGCAATGCTTCCTACATTTTTTCCAAAACTTTTTGACAAAAAAATCAAAAAAAAAAAACAAAGCTATTGTCAATTTTTTTCGTAAACAACTTTTTTCTGTACATACTATATGAAATAAAAACGTTTTTTTTAAACCCTTCTTAAAAAAATTGGTAAAATACAAAACAAAATGTGCCATATGATAACCATGATATATTATTTACCTTAACAAAATGTTCCCTGTGCTCCCAATAGTTCCCACTCTTCTCCTCATACATCTCTTCAAACTTCTTCTTGGCATCGTGGAGCGTATCGAACGACTCCAACTTGGTCCCGCCGATCGTGGTCCCGATCCGGCCCCAAGCCCTGAACACCCAGTAACTGCCGCCCTTGTTGGCCTCCAACAGCTGCAACTTGTAGTAGCTGTTCCTGTTGTTGACCACGTCCGTGATGCCCAAGACGACGGTGTACTTTTCGTTTCCGCGCTGGTAAACGTGCGCCCTCTCTTCCAGGCCGGAGTCGGGGTCCACGGCCACGCCCCCCACCACTTTTAGCTTCACTTTGCTGGGCATCTTGCTGGTGTACTGAGAGCGCGACTTCGCCAAGGATTTGTAGCTGCTCGAAGGTTCTGCAGGTAGACGCTTCGAAGGCTACAAAGTAGGGTTGGCATGAAATGATTCAGTGATTTAATTAGTGAAATAACTCAAATGATTTAACTTTCAGTGCATCAACAAAACGGTAAAAACTACAGGGCTCACACGGCTAAATTCCAAATTATATTTAGTAAGTTAGCAGGTTTTTTGAGAAATTTAGGAGAAATAAAGTATTAAAATGAATGTATGTAATTAAATAAAACCAACGCTAAGTACTTAAAAAAATAAGAAAAATATAAATAATTATTTTAACAAAAATATAAATATGTCAGGTTCCAGCACTTAAGAAGGCACCACGCGAGAGCGAGAGCTCTTAAAACGTAAAAGTTCAAAGATTAAAACCAACAATAATTTTTAAAATGTGCAAACCAATTATAGTGAAACAAAAAATTTTCATAGAGTGCAAACTAAAATGGTGCAACGGTCAATGAGGAGTGAAGTGTTAAGTAATGAATGAGTTAAGTGCCACCTGTTGGACGCTTTTCGCTGGACAAACAAAGGAGGTCAAACAAGAGGGGAGGTGGCCATCCGCAAAAAATTGATAAGTAACCTTAAGCATATGCATGACCTAACACATAATCTGCAAATTAAACACGACAAATATCTTTAAAAACCTAAGAAAGGCACACTGCGTAGGACAATAAATCTGTCAACAACAAATGCGTAAGGCAAACCCAAACGAGACCAATAATAAACACTAGACACACAGAATAAACTAACACATTAATCATTATAACCCTAACATAGCAAAAAAGCATAATATCCAAACTCTACTGGATTTGTAAACATTAGATAACAGAATAATTGCGCTTGTCATTTGTTTAACTAATAAATAAATGCAATACTTAATTTTGAAATTTAAGAAAAAAACTCTACCACAAAACGTGCTTGAGCAACACAATAACTAAAAAAAAATTGTTAGAAATTTCGCACTACTGCGGCAATAAACAATTTAAAAAAAAACACCAAAAGCTACAAGTTACATATCCAGCTACTGAACTATCTATTGATGGTTTTCGGCATCAAGACTGAGGACACGGGCTATGACAATAACGAACAAGACGAAGACCTCGACTAGGAAACTACACCCCTGCAGCGAAATAACAACTCCCCAACTCCAAATAGTAATCCCAAATGTTTGGAGTAATACTAATCGACTGGTCGGCGTAATTGTCCCCCAAAAACCAACAAACGTCTATCCCTCCCGTCCCTCCTCCTCTATACCCTACTGGGCGTATAGCATCGGCTCGGCGAACCCGAGAATGGCTATTAAAACTATTCGCATGTCGCTCTCGAGCCCTAAATAGGGGACAGTACGGAACGCAATGGACATTCGCACCCAGCAAACACGGGTGAAGCCGTGCAGTTGCTGGGGGCGAACAAAAATCAGGGTAAGTAAACATAGGCCTGTACGGGGTCCGGGAGTGATGAGGCAATGGGGCTGGTTATACGTCTCTTATACTCATACTCATACTTAACAAAATATAAATATCACTTCTTTTGTACAAATAGATTACATTGAGTAGTTTTTTAGCCAAATTGCTTGACGAGTTTTTTTTTAATAAAATTAAAAGTGAGGTCAAATTACTACTTTTGTATATAACTGAGGTATATACACAAGCAGAAATTTCACCACACTTTTAATTTTATTTAAAAAAACGCGTTGATAGATATGGCTAAAAAACTAGGCCAAAGTCAAATGATGTTATATTTATGAGAACATTTTTTTTAACCGTTTAACAACAATTGTAATGTGGATCTTGTTACTCAAAAATCTCATAATAGAAAAAATATAAAGTTTGCATAATACAGGAAAACATTATTTAGATTGTTTACTATTTTATCTATCATTTAAAAGAAAATTTAATATCCTTTTGTTTGATATATAACACGGTATATTTTTGTAGAAAACGAAATAATATAATAATATTATGGCTAAAAATGACAACTTTGTAGAAGTCTAGGAGCAGCTACATGGATTTTATTTTTTAGTTATATGTTTTTTTTAAATGTAGGTTGTGATATATCACTTTAAAAAGAATATAATAAACTAGAACCTAAAAATATATATTTTTTATATACAGTCCATTTAAGATGGAAACACCCACGTAACTTTTTTATTTGTTACCCGATTTTACTCGGATCTTCTCATTTCATTAAAAACGAACAATTAATAACCATTTTAGACAAGTTTTTTTTAATATTACGCCACTGGACGCGGCATACTTCAGAATGGGTAAAAACTAAATTTCATCAAAAATTAACTATTAATAACTATTCCAGAAAAGTTTATTATACCACGTTATAAACATAAATTAATACAAAACAAAAAAATAAGATAGCCATGTTGAAAATTTATGGTAATAACGTGGTAAAATTAACTTGTCTGAAATAGTTAATTAATAGTTAATTTTTGATGAAATTAAGTTTGTACCCATTTTGAAGTATGCCGCGTTCAGTGGCGTACTTATTTTTCTCCTATACCTCCTAAATGTGTTTTATTTTTCGTTATAAATATTTAAAAAAAACTTGTCTTAAATAGTTATTATTTTTTTTCGAAAAAACGACCCTAATAATTTTTTCCGAATTTTGACATTTTAAAAATGTTATAGGAGAGGCATCTGTCCAGTGACATTGAAAATATATATAGCTTAGATAGTATTTTACTCTCCATCTTTTGAGCAGTTATTCATTAACATCGAGTAACAAATAAAAAAGTTACAGGGGTGTTTCCATCTTAAATGGGCCACACTGTATAAACTTTTTTAAAAATAACTTTTTTTAGCACAACTACCTTAATTTAGGAAGTGTGGGAGCCCTGAAAATAATGCTATGCCGCTTTAATTTATGGAATTTTCTTTAACATTCAATACAAAGACTTTTGTTGCATTTTAATACTATTTACTTACATCTGATCCCCAATTGCAGATGCTCTTTTTGATGACCAAATCGGGAATTTTCCCGACATTATCGGGCGCCTCGTGTACAAGGCTCTCGTCCACCACGTGCACCTGGGCGCTTTCCGCCTCCTGAATTCTGGAGCCCATCTTGTCCACAGTCTCCTGACTTGCGATTACCGCCATCACCGATTTCTGTATTTTCGTTACGACCTTACCACCCATTTTCACAATTTTATCTTTCAGTTCCGCTTTATGGTTCGAACCGAAGTTGATGAGAACAAACTCCATTTCGTAGAGGGGCGGTTTTTCCCTTTGAACTTTAGGGCTAAAATAATAAAATTAAATCCCTGTAAATTTGACATGATTTTTGAAGTGAAACTTCTTTGAGGGCGTGGTAAACCAAAGCTTGGCGTTACTTCAGATGAAACTCAAACAGTATTACAGAATATTCAAACAAAATTCGCACTGTAGCAAAAATTTAAAAAATGGAAGGGGAAATTCGCACAAACGTTTAAAATTTAAAAAAATGTGGGAACAATTCGCACAAATTTTCAAAATTTCAAGCTTAAAAAGTCAAATATGCATCCAAGCTCAAAAGCTTAATTAAGGGCATTACAGTGGGGAGAATGACTTGTATTTACATACCTATTTTGTAAATAAACAAGCAGTTTTTGTTAAATAATAAAACACAAATTTAATTAAATTATCCAAAAGATATTTCAATTCAGCTGTTTTTTTTTAGTTTTGTAATGTTTAGTTTATCAACTTAACACAAAATAATTTCTGAAATAACTAAAATAACCATATTTTTTTTACATCAAATGTAATACAGAATTTCAAGAAGCCACAGTACACATCCTAATAAGTGACATAGTAACTACCTTTAAAACGCCCTTTATCGTACATGTTTCCATGACACTAAGTGACCTTTTAAATACACATTGACAAGTTGTGGCTTTATGGCGCTTAAGTCACGGGCTTAGCAATAGGTTTTTAATCACGGGCTGAAGTAACTTTTAAGTTAGTTGACATTTGTCAAATGTCATAAAATCGTTAAAATAAATTGCATTTCTTGTAAAATAATACTAAATGTGAAAATTATTTTATTATCTCAATATAAAAATACAAAAGTATAAAATAGTTTCTCAACGCCAATATTTGAAAAGTTTATATGATCATTGTACTGACCTTTTAATTTCGCCGGCAGTAAACTATAACTTAAATTCGGGCACGGACTCCACTGTTAAGTCCTCATAAAACATTTTCTTTACTTTCACTGTGAAAAACTGTCAATTTTCAAGAAATACATTTCGATTTATAACCTTTATAACCGTGACATTTGACGTTGACACACAGATTCCCCTATTGTTTCATAGATGGCGCTCTATACAAATTTTTGATTTAAATCATTTTAAGATAATAAATATTTGTCGTAGAAAAAGTATAGTATGCACCTCGTTTATAAACTTTTCTATACACTCATTAATTAAAGCACTCGCTCGTGCCTAAATTAAATTCGTGTATAAAATGGCGTTTATCAAACTTGATACCTACATAATATACTATTATGGTTGCGAGTATACGCTCTTGTCAGCATAATAATATTAAATATTATGTCATATGCATATTACATTTTAGTGTAGAGATATACAAGGTGTCCCTGGAATGCCTGTACAAAATAAAAAAATTTGATGTTTGGGATTTTTTCGGGCCGAAAATTAAAATTAAATGTCTTACAAAAATTAAGTAGGTTGTAGAGGGCGCTGTCTGAGACACTTTGCATAAGTTTAAATGGCCATATCTTTTTTGGGCTTTAATGTATTCACGTTTTTAATAAAAAATATTACTTTTTTATTTATATTATATGAAAAAGGTATACTTTTTACAGTTGGGTCTTGACTCTTGAAGTGTAAGGACGCTCAAAGATAGTTAAGCAGCGTATACGATACAAACGTAGTAAAGTACCAAAAGCGAATCTAAGTATGCTGAAATGTCGGTAATCGGTAATAAATAAATAAACAAACAAAGTGCGAAAAGTGCAACAAGTGCGAAAAGTGCGCCGTAAAATAACAAAAAATCAAAATCGATTCTACACGTGATAACTGGTTAACGCCGTAAAAAAAATCAATATCGATTCTACACGTGATAACTGTTCCAAGTGCAAAAGAGTGCAAATTGTGTGTGGTATCTCCCCCTGGATTAAGTCCTCAAGTGTTTGACCTGGTTAAAAGGTATGAGAGAGATGATCAATTCCAATGAAAATTTCCTGGGCTACCACATGTGCGGACGGCATGCGATAAGGATCATTTCAGCACACCTGCCTGGCAATTATCCCGAAGTCCAAGTCTGCATAAATTAGATAAGTAGCTACCAAAATTGCATGACCATATAATACCCAATAATATTAATACTAGTTAATACGAAATTCGCAATCTTTAACTAACAATAATTCTTCAGGTAAAATTAATTAGTCGCAAACAATTTCCAAAATGAAACATAGTAAAAAAACTATAAACACATGGGCACATATGAAGCAATTAATCACTCAAGTTACGATAAACATTAGGCAAAAGAAACCATCTCAAAATAAATAAACATCTATAGAAAAATATTTCGAGGGGATTGTCAAATTCAGTAGGTTGAACAAAGGCTGCTTATGAAGTCGGTTCTCGGCATGAAGGGCCGAATTTCCACATAGTCAGAGGGCATTAATTACGGCGGGGTGCGGCCGGCAACACTTTGGTTATGAAGATAAGACTCAATATCGCACAGGGGGGCAAACAATTCTAAAGAGGTTACCAGGAACCTGATACTGACTCGGACAGAGATGTTCAGAATACACCAACAAGGACAGGTTCTAGCAGCGTACCAACACTTCCACCCCCATTCATGAATCCCAATTGAATGCGGTTATTACTAAAGCCCTGGTTGAGGAGGATTCCGGATTGTACTTAGTTTTGGGTCAGTTCAATGTCCTCCAAAAACCCTTCCTAAACTGGACGTATGGCCCGACCCGGCTGACAAAAATCCGTGAAGCGGCCTTAACCATTGACACTTTCATCCACGACCTCCTAGGGTGGATCTACCAGCCGGCGTAAAAACTTCGGATCCAACAAACACAGGTAATGCTGTGATTTGGCGGGATACGCAGGAGAACGGAAAGGGGGTAAAATAACCCCGGTAGATTAGTGGAGGATAATATATTTGGGGCCTGCCATACGTTCCCATACTTATACGCATACACTCATGAAAAAGGTATACTTTTTATATGTCGCTGCAAATAACCGTTTTCGAGATATTTGCATTTAAATTGTTCAGTTCACCCGTTCTATCGCGATTTGAAAATTTACTTATTGTCCAACTTCGTCATTGTTTTTCAAAATATTGTTTTTAAAAAATATTTATTTTAAATAAAAATAATATTTTTATTTACACTAAGGCGCAAAAAAGATGTAACCATTTAAACGTATGCAAAATGCACCCTCTACACCCTTTATTAATTAAAATGAGAAATAAACAAAAACTGACCAAAAAACATTTTCAAGTCAAAATTTTTAGAAAAATTGCAAATTAACAATATACAATAAAAATGAAGTGTCGCATATTCCGGGGGTTTAAAATCAAGCTAAAACTTTTATCAAAAATGAAATTTTCTGATAATAGTAAAATATTTTTTCCTCTTTGTAACCCGGGCCCATCCATAGACATTAGGGTGTTTAAAAAAAAGCGAATTGTTTTTTTTTCTTGCAAACTTCTTGCTCAAAAGTTTCGTTTAGGTATAAAAATGAGCCTGTGAGAATATGAGCTCTTAATTTTAATTTCTTAATGCTCTTTTTGATTTTCCATAAGAACATGGAAACATTTTTTTGTTTTGTTCCTTCTGATTTTTGTTACTCATTAAACAAAGGTCATACAGAAAATGTGATAATTTTTTAGAGATCAAACGCTCTACACAAAAGGTTTCTTATGATTTTAAGCAATTTTTATTTCATTACAAAAATCAGAAGGAACAAAAAAATGTTTCCCATGTTATTCTTATGAAAAATCGATAAGTGCGATGTGGAGCATTAAGATATTAAAATTAAGAGCTCATATTTTCACAGGCTCATTTTTATAGCTAAACGAAACTTTTGAGCCTGTTTGCAAGAAAAAAAACAATTCTCATTTTTTTTAAACACCCTAATAGACTGCTGTATATCTCTGGGTCATCTATGAGCTGAAGCTGGCAACCCAACGTCACCCAAAAAAAATAATAAAACAAAAATTCTTACGGTGCATCAACTTCGTCCATCTTCTTTACACTGTTAGTCGGATTGAAATCCTTGATCACCCTTGTTGTGGGAACGTATTTGTACTTCTTCAGAAACGGGTAGGCTTGCTTCAGCTCGGGCGGTATCGGCAACGCGGCACGCTTCGGCTCCTTGACGATGTTCGTGCATTTCGTCCATTCGGTCAGGTCGCCGTGGCACTTGTAACCTTCGCGACTGTACACCAACTGGCCTTTGCACACTGCGCAAGGCAAAGTGATGCCGAACGTCATGTAGTCCGCCAAACGGTCCAACAACTAGAGATGAAAAAAAATTTTTTTTTCAAATTTGAAAAAAAAACATAATTTTTTTTTCAAATCAGCTAATTCTGTCAATAAATAACACAATCTTAAGGAGTATTTTTTCAATATGAAATTTTGAGCAAAATGTATATTAACAATCAGTGATTAAAGTTAGGTAACGTTACCACGGTAACGGTAATTTTGGTGAGGTAAGTTTGGTAATTTAACACGGCAAATTTCTTTACCGGTAAATTTAAAAAATGATTTCGCCATCTAGCCCTGAATCTATAACGCGCTTGGATTTATTTATTTTCTTCACCTCATTGCATTGGAGTAGGTAACTCCGATTTAGACGTGTTTGGCCGATCAAGGGAAGTACCTTTAAAATATAGATTCTAAGGAGGAAGAAGATATTTAAATTTTTAAGTATACTTTAATACTTAATACTTAATACTTAGTGTTTACAGTAAACTTTACTACTAAATCAGAACGATATATTTTTTTTTGATTTTTGAATAAATATTAATTGTTTAAACATTAATTTTTTATGTAGGTTTCCTTTTATAACAAACAATAATATAATAAATGGTTTAAGTATGTAAAAAATACTAAAAATATATAATCCCAAAACGTATACATTATATAATGTCCATCCACATTGTATAATTATTTGTTTTCTGAAATATTTCCAAAATTACCGGTAAATTACCTCTGAGAAAAATCAAATGAAAATTACCGGTAAACTTCAATCACTATTAACAATAACGTGAAATTTAGAACGTATTACATTTTCCATTATTGAAAATTTTGACTCAGACTAACAAATTTGATTTCTTATTATTTGGTAGTTTTAACTTAAGAAACCAATAACAATGTAAAACTTCTATTATAGGGTATTTCCATTTCCATTGTGTTTTATTCATAATTGATTTTACTTCAAAAGGGCCAAGTGGATGTAATTTATACTGACTTCTCTAAAGCGTTTGATAAAGTTGATCATACTATCTTACTTTGTAAACTTGATTCTATTGGTCTAAGTAAACCGTTATGTAATCTTATTCGCTCTTACATTAGTAACCGCCAACTTTACGTATTTTTTAATGGTTTTAGGTCTAGTTGTTTTGTTCCTATGTCTGGAGTCCCTCTGGGATCAAATTTGAGTCCGTTGCTGTTTAATATATTTATTAATGATTTGTCGTCTTTGTTAAACTGTAAACATCTCCTATTTGCCGATGTTTGCTAGAATTACAACAGTGTAGAGTCTAGACCAACTTTTTCAATGACAATTTGCTCCCCCATTGTAGGTTGTATGTTTAACTTTACCAATTCAATCTAAATAATTTTATAAAAAGTTTAGGATTTACAAAATTCTATAGGAAATTTCAAAAGCTGAAAAACAAAATTTTCAAGAGAAAAAATTTGTTACAAAAATAGTGCAAAAGAGATAAAAAAGAAGAAAACCATTTTCCAAAAAAATTATAGAGGGGCATCGGAGAGCAAAATAGATTTGTTTAAAACATGTTACGAATATTTTAAGTATTTTTTCGCCTCTGTACGACAAACAGTCCATAAGTAATTAAAGCATAGCGTCGTGGGGGTTGTTCTGATCAATAAAATTAAAAATTATACACTGCGGGTCAAAATGAATGAATAACAATTAAAAAAATCAAACTCTAAAACGCCTCTACCAATCTTTATAAAATTTTGGATAAAAATGCTTTAACTTATATCTCAGTTTACGTGTTGAAGGGTTTTTCGATAAAATATCCTTAAAGTACTTTTATTTAATAATAAAAAACGCTCGAAAAAAACTTTTATAGGGAAATTTTTTTGAAGTAAATAAAAAATATACTGTGAAAGACCGTATTTTTGTTAGTATACCCTGAAAATGTACAAATTAAACAAACAGTAACGAAAATACAGCGCTTCAAAGTCGTCTTTACTTAAAAAAAATTTCCTAAAAGTTATTTTTCGAACGTTTTTTTATTATTAAATAAAAGAGCTTTAAAAATATTTTCTCGAAAAACCCTTAAACACGTAAACTGAAAATTTCATAAAGAATAGTAAAGGCGATTTGGATTTTTTTACGTATTATGCGTTAATTTTGACGCGGAGTGTATATAATATGGACTAAATATTTTGTATATTTTTTAAAAGTATGTTTAAAAACAAAAAAAAATTAAAGAAACACCTTGATTAGTCAGTTTTTAAAAATGTTATGAGCATTTAAAAAAAGCCTAATTTTTTTGGTTTTGTAAATTAAAAAAAAAACACAAAAACGTTTTTAGTGGGGTAAAATAATTGATACAAATTTCAGACAAATCAAAAGGGTTCAAAAGTGGTCTATTTGGCAATCACCAATATATGTTAAAATTGTGTGGCAAGAATTAAGTTCTCGGATAAAACACGTACCCATTTTAAAAGAGTAGAGAAGTAATGCCGATTTTAGTGTATTATATAATATATATATTATACAATTTTTTCTACTTACCCTGTCAGTTCCACTGGGAATTCCTTGTCCAGCAAATTCCAAAAACTCCACCAACTCCTTTTTCTGTAAATCCTGTAGCTTATCCCTATTCTTGTAAAACAAAGTGTTCTGGTCCTTAAACAATTTATCTTTCGCTTCCTGCTCGGGGTCCACTTTCATTTTTTTAACATCCGGCAAATCTTCCTGTTTGATTGCAGCAATTTGCGTCTTTGCGTCCTTCTGATCGTCCTTGTTAAGTCCCTGGAACCCCGGAAGCTTATCGGCCGATTCAAAGTAACCCAATTCGGATCTGAGTTTAGCAAAACAAGCCAGATGGTGCCACATGTCCTGTCCGCCGTATTTTTTCCCTACGTCGGTATCAAAGTCTTTTTTCGAGATTCGAATCTACAAAAAGTTATGATTTATGATCGGCCATAGAAAACAAAAAATCATTTCCATAAAACCAATCAGTTTTTTTTAGCAATTAAGCTTGCAAATATGATTTAAATACAAAAAATATTTCATCATTTTGGTTAGAGTCTGTCAAGGCATATTAAAATTGAATGTTGTTTGTAATGGAATTAACAATGAAACCATAATAAAGTTAGTATTTATAAAATTACCTCATCCTTCATAATTTTTTGTTCACACCCCCTGCACACAGCTCTACTGGATTTGGAATACTCAATACGAAAATCTTTTAGGGCATTTTTTTTGGCTGCCGTATCTGCTCCTCTTTTCTTGCCTTTTTTATCTGGGACTATGGCACCACAAGTGTCTAAAACAAATGAACATAGCATTACAAACATTGTATAGTATATTTTAAAAGGGCTCTTACTTATTTGTTCTTTAATCTTTTGTTGGTCCTCCAAACGTAATGTCTCAAATTTTTCAATATCATCAACGGTTTTGGGTCTTTGTTTTAAAAAGAAACATGTTTGATGATACCAATTTGGCATCTTGCCATCAAATTTGGGACTCTTAAAGCAAAAAAAATATTTGTATATATTATACAAAGTATCCCAAAATTGGCGCACTATAAAACGCTGTGTGTGTGTACCGCTGTTGGGGGTTATTTTAAGTTCAAAAAAATTAAGACAGGTGGTTAAATTATATTTTTGTTATTCTTATGTTTAAAGATTATATATTTATTTAAAAGGTTAGAAAACAATTTTATAAAGACGTTTAAAAAATAAAAAGTAAAATTGGTTTATAAATATAAAGTTCAAGTTTTTGAGACAAACTGTCAGAAAATTATTATTTTGTTTCCTTAACAAAAATATTATGATTATATACGTATTATATTTGGTGGTTATTAGGGTGGTAGTTAAAAATTAAATTTTTTGCGACGCCCCGTAAAAAGCTTCGTTTTAAAAACAACAAGCGCCCCAAGACGATATAAGTTAATTTTTTGGTATTATCATGTCTTTTCTGAAAATATTGAATACTTGAGATTTAAAAATTATTAACAATGAAATAACTTTACCTTGGAGTGAAGAATTCTAGATATTAAAATTACGTTCGTACTAATTTAGTTTTAAAATAAAAATATCAATTTGAATATCTTTCATTTTTTTATTTAAAAGAACAAATCAACTGGAGCAAATTTTGAATTTAAATTTTTGTCTATTGTTATTTCGATTAACTATTGTTTATAATTGTTTATATTTAGAATAAAATTTTATTTTCATAAAAATTCCCAAAAAGACTTGATTATACCAAAAAATTAACTTAGATCATCTTGAGGCACGTGTTGTTTTTAATTTAAAAAAAAACTCCCAGTATATTTTCATCAAAAAGAAGCTTTTTAGGAGGCGTCGCAAAAAAATTAATTTTTAACGACCACCCTGGTGTTTATTACCAATATAATATAACAATTTTTTTTTACTTTAAAAATTTTATTTTCAAATAATTTTATTAATATAATAATTACAAATTCGAACTCAGACTCTGTGAAACTTTTTTTTGTGATATTCTATTTATTTATGCAACTAAAAATATAAAAGCAAAATAAAAATCTCACGGATTGTTTTTTTATTGGATTTTTATTAAAATTATTATATTAATTTTTATATGGGCAAAACGTTTAAATCACTTTAAAGATTATATAATTTACTTAAAAAAATTTTTTGCTACCTTTTTATGTTAATGATAGCTTTTTACAATATGCAATTAAAGTTTTAATATTTAACTCTTAAAAGTATGCATTTGTTACCTTTATTAAAAATGAATAGAATATAATAGTTTATTAGTGTTAAAATACTAGTATACACACGTCAAAAAATTACATAAAAACAATTAAACTACATTTATGTATAAATACAATTAAATTAAAATTAAACAACTCCATTAATAACAATGTATCTAAGGATGCCATGAATTGGTAATTTGGGTGTATTTATTTGACATTAAAAAAATATTTTAATTGGTGGATTGAAGCAAATGGAAATGGAGCAAAATTACACTGTAAATGAAAAAATATTGGCCCTATTCAAGTTTTATGCACCTGAATATTCAAGATTTGTCCTTTTATAATCGAAGCTTAGCTGTCCAAATACTTCACTGCTCTTAAGGCTGCCAGCCCTCCCAATTTAGGCGGGAGTCTCCCGGTTTTGCAGCAAGCCTCCCGATTTTTAAAAGACGCCTTAAAGCTCTCGACTTCATTGAAAACCTCCCGTGAACTACCGTTTTTTGGCAAGCTTAAGCGTAATTACGAAAAGATCATAGATTATAATCATCAAGTTCCTTTAATCAACTGTCTTATTTATTTTATACAATTTTTTTATATAGTTGTCAATAGAGTGTGCTAGCATAGGTATTCAAATATATTTGTATTACAAATACCTATGCTAGGGCACTCCAACAACTTTATAAACTTCATACTGTACAAAATGTTTTTATGTTTAACTTATTTTCGCCATGGTTTATAATATATTATAATAATATATCGATGGTTATTTGACAAAACATCGTAAGCGACAAAACCTAAATTTTACAGGAGAGATTTTTTTATGTGGGAGCTTTATTTTTAAAGTTATTTATCTGAAAACTGGTGAGGCATTATTTTATTAATGTAGAATTCAAATATTTAAGTTAGATTGAATCCAATCTAAAATTTTCATTAAATTTTGTGGCATACGATATTTTATAAGAACATCTTTAGGAAAATGTAAAATTAGTCTTGTCGCTTAAGTTACATTTTCGAACATCAAACTTCTGTCATTTAAAAAAATGTATGTGCAAACCAACCCTTAGGGACATTTTTGACAAGATGACAAGCAGTTTTAAAAAGTAGACAGAGAATCTAATCTTAAAACAACACAATCAACAATGAAATACGTCAAACTGACAACTTTCAGAAAGTAAGGTTAGTTGTCACTAAAGGCAGTTTTACATTTTAAAATCAACTGAATGACAGGTCGTTCGAAATTTTTTGGCCGTCATTGTACCGTTATAAATTTGAGTCAAATTATTTTACGTTATAACAACATACAATTACTACAAAAAACCACTTTTAACGAACCACACTACGTAAAAACAATTATAATTAGGATAACTATTAATATTGCAATGATAAAAAAGAATTATAAGCTTTTGATCAAATAAAATATTGTTTTAAAACTTGGTAGCAATCACAATCCACATTGTGGATTGTGGTAGCAATCACCACGATGCACGTATACTAACGAACAAACTGTTTAGAGCGGGAATAACGCCTTGATAGATCAAGGAGGGAGCACAATATTATCGTAAGCGACACAATGTTAAATCGCAAACGCCATGTCTCGGAGTTGCTTACGATTGCAAACATGTTTGTCGGGAACATATAGGCGCTTACGTTATAAATCGGTAACAAATTAAAAAGAAGAGGCGCTTACAATAATAAAAATATTCAAACTGACCAATATTAGATTCCAAAATTGGAATAACTATTATGTTAACATGTGCAGCTTATCGTAACTGACACTTTGATAAAATAAAAAGTAATTCAACAAAATTGTCGCTTACGATGTTTTGTCAAATAACCATCGATATTAATAAAAAACCTATATTTGCCTTATTCCAGATTGTCAGTCTCTCAAGCCATCAGGGAATAAAATGTCATAATCATGTGTTAAATGTTATTTTATCTTGTAAAAATATTAATATTTTAAAGAAAAAATTACACTTAAATAAAATGTACTATTCTGAATTTTTGAAGGATTCTTTTTAATTTTATCATTAAATTTTATTCTTATTTATGATATAGTATTTAATAGTAAGTGTCATTATTCTTACTTATTTTTGTTTCTTACTTATTTTTGTGTGACAAGTCATATAAGCAAGATTAGCCAGCATAGAGTTTTCTGCACGAGTGTAGAGAGGGTTGTAACATTGAGTAAAGAAGTACTTCCTTACTCAATGGTTGTAATATAATACACTTGTTTTAACATTCCCCAAAATGAGTATGTATGTCAATTCAGGGAATCAGAGAATCCATTGTTTCTTCCACTCTTGCAGGGCCACAAAATTACCTATTCCTTGTGGGTTTTAAACAAAACAAATATTTTTTAGAATTTATCAAGGACATTTGGTATTTGATTGTAAAATATAAAAGTTTGTAAAGCACAATTAAAAAAATAGCAAACTGAAAATTAAAAAGCACTATGATTTTAAAACTAGCCATACATGATTCAATCATTAAAGTTAATTCTGTACTTGTACTTGTTACAATTATTTAACCCTTTGATTATGGTATAAGATTTAGAGGTGGGAAGTTTAGTTCACTTTCCTGATTTCGATCTTTCGTTCTCGTTCATTAAAGTGAATAGTACAAAAGACTAGTTCGTTTAGTTCACTGATTTATAATCGGATTTGTCGGATTTACGTAGTTTCGTTCGCGAACTACACTTCTCTAGTAGTTCAAGTGAACTATATTGAGATTGGAATTGCACTTGCTGCTGGTCAAAATGGTACGCTGTTGCCAAGACCATTAAGTGGTTGATTTGGTTGCTTATTTTAGGGACAATTACGAATTTGCGTGAAAAAAAATCCATTAGTAAATACGGATATAATGAAATATATCTACGGATTTTTAGTTTAGTTCGAATTGATTCGCTCTTTTTAGTTTTGGTGATTGAATCTTTTAGTTCAGTTACGAAATTCGATCTTTTGAACTAGTTCGTTCGCGAACTACACACCTCTAATAAGATTTAACCTGATAGGTATTTCAGTATTAGATTACCCTTGCCTTGATCTAATCTTAAACCGTTTTAACAGAAACATGTTTTATTGACATACATATTGTAATCAATATTTATACGATGTCATTCATAAAAGTAAAGGGCCTATGATACTTCCTAGATATATTTCAACTTTAATTTATTAACATCTAGGAATGAATCAACTTGTAATTTTAATTACAATTATTTATTTACCTGAATCATAACAGCCAAACGTAAAGTGCCCTGATCAATTGATGATTTACATCCTTTGCAGGAAGAGCGGCCACTTTTCGCATATTCCGTTTTAAATGGCAAATCCATTTTTTTTACTACTAATTTGCAGTTAGTAAACAAACAACAAATACAGAGATAAACAAAACTACAAAATATGCTGCTGTCGCAAAATGCCGGGAAAGGATGGTTATACTAGGGGAATTCGTATTACCAACGCACACGAGTTATGAAACAATATTTCTTCGGTTTGAAACAGTTTTTTTTAATTGTCCATTGATTTGTATGGAATAATGTATACCTATATTAGTTAAATTAAAATTAAAAATTTGATTTTTTAAATTAAAATTTTTATATTAAAAGTTTTTAATTGGTTTTTATTTAGTAACTTTTATTTGTATTGGTGCCTTTCTGGAAATATTTCTGTAAGTGCGGTGTTGTGGTTATGTTTAATTTAAAATAAGGTTATATTATTATTTATTTCCTCTGTAGTTTCGTCCAAAATATTAAAATAAAGTGATGGCTTTGTGTGAAGCTGAGAAAACGTTTGTTCTTCATGGCGTGGAGGTGATTATTTATAAAAACACTGATTAAAAAAATTTACAAAACCATTTTCTTTAGGAAAACTTTCGTATTGACGGCCGTGAAAGGGAAGATTACCGGCCTATGGAACTTGAAACTAGTATTGTTTCACATGCTTTTGGTTCTGCCAGGTTAAGGCTTGCCAATACAGATGTTTTAGTTGCTGTAAAAATTGAAGTCGACATACCATTTCCAGAGAAGCCCAATGAGGGAAAGATTGAGTTTTTTGTTGATTGGTAAGACATTTCTTTAATAATTTTGTTGGGTCAAGGTAAAAGCATTCTTTAAGTGACTTTAAAAAAAAGAAAAACATTTGTTCAATGTTAAGGCCCTTTGTATTGACTGACACTTCATGTTAAGTATCAATTCAAAAGTTAATAATTGAATTTAACAGCAAAATAAGTTAATTTTTTAGTATAACTAGAACCTAACCAGAGTTTGAAAAACCATTATGCCAAGATAAATAATTAATATTTGTTTGTTGAAAATAATAATTAATTATTAATGGTTAATTTTTAGTTCTGCAAATGCTACTCCAGATTTTGAAGGCAGGGGAGGTGAAGATTTGGCTATTGAACTTTCAAATAGTTTGAGTACAGCCTATCAGTCATCGAGAGCTTTTGATCTTAGTAAATTATGCATTTTGAAGGGGAGAAAATGTTGGAAAATATATGTTGATATTTTGGTAATTATTTAAATAGTTCATGAAAGGTTTGTATTGACAAAAAATCGCTTTTTTTAGTTATTGGAATGTGGTGGTAATTTATTTGATGCTGTATCTTTGGCAGTTAAAGCAGCCTTATGGAATGCCCAACTTCCTCTAGTAAAATCAGTTCATGTTGACGGTAACAACATTGAAATGGATGTGTCAGAGGAATTATATGATTGCCAGAAATTAGACATAAAAAATGCACCAGTTATGGTAAAAATATTTTTTTCTACTCCCACCTTTAAAACGCCCTTTATCGTACATGTTTCCATGACACTAAGTGACCTTTTAAATACACATTGACAAGTTGTGGCTTTATGGCGCTTTAGTCACGGGCTGAAGTTAGCAACATGTTTTTAGTCACAGTCTGAAGTTAGTTTTAAGTTAGTTGACAGTTGTCAAATGTCATACAATCGTTAAAATAAAGTGCCTTTCTTGTAAAATAATACTAAATGTGAAAATTATTTTATTATCTTAATAAAAAATACAAAAGTATTAAATAATTTCTCAACACCAATATTTGAAAAGTTTATATGAACATTGTACTGACCTTTTAATTTCGCCGGCAGTAAACTATAACTTAAATTCGGGCACGGACTCAACTATAAAGTGCTTATAAAACATTTTCTTTACTTTCACTGTAAAAAACTGTCAATTTTCAAGAAATACATTTTGATTTATAACCTTTATAATCTGTGTTTATAAAATTTAAAAATTTGACATTTGACGGTGACACACAGGTTCCCCTATTGTTTCATAGATGGCGCTCTATATAAATTTTTGATTTAAATCATTTTAAGATAATAATAAGTATTTGTTGTAGAAAAAGTACAGTATGCACCTCGTTTATAAACTTTTCTATACACTCATTAATTTAAGCACTCGCTCGTGCCTAAATTAAATTCGTGTATAAAATGGCGTTTATCAAACTTGATACATAATATACTATTACAACTGTGTGGAAAAGTGCTCTTCATCTTATCCTTATACATTTTAGGTTACAGTTTGTAAAATTGGAGATTACTGTATAGTGGATCCAAATCAAGCTGAGGAAAAATGTTCTGTTGGGTCTATTGTTGTGGCTGTTTCAGGGGATAGATTAAGCACAGTCTTGCAAACTGGGGCAGGGTCTTTACACCCCACAACATTAGTGGAATCAATGAAACTGGGACACACTGTGGGACAAAGATTGAATCAGGCTTTATGGGAGGCCCTGCAGCAAATACCAGAAGATCAAGATGTGGGTTTTTTGAAATAAAATAAACTATTTTTTATATCAACACATTAAAAGTTATAATTAGTAAAATTGAAGTTATTGAAATTTTATTAATGTAGGCATTGCTTTTTCCTATTCCAGGACATAAAATCGTTGATTTATCTCCTAAATATCCCTTCTCTTTTGGGTCCTCGTCAATAGCATTCCCCCCATTGCAAAGGTCTGTTCTACAAGCTTTATAGTAGTATCTATATGTTGAGTCTTCCCTCACCTCATTAAGGTGTTCAGGCTGATTTTCACAATTTCTTGCAAAAGATACTATTTGTCCAGCAGGATCCTAAAACAACATATTAAAAACTTTTAAAACATTTTGGGTTAATTAGGTACCAGTAGTTCTTGTCTAAAAATTGTACAATAAACTTGGTTACAATTAGTTGTAGCTTGTCCTTCAGCATGAACTGGATCATTGATACAAGTGGTATCTTTATCGGAAGTCCCCATAGAACATGTGTAACAATTTAAAGCTAAAACACACCCTTGAATTGCTTTAATATAAACAAATAAAATTCTTACCAAAAGAACTATGCAATGTTGATAGGTATAGAACAAAGGGCAGTAAAACTCTATACATGGTTAAGTTATTTTTAATTCAACTTTCTGTGTACTAATTTTAATGAGAACATTAAATATCTATAGATTAGATTACTATATAATCCAAAATTTTAAGATAAGGTGAATTAATCTATTAAGAAACACTTTTTAATGGGTAAAAAATAGTTTGCATTTTATATTTTTTAACTTTGTAATTTATGCACCCTGTATATGTGCACAATAAAATGAAGAAATAATAAACAAAATGTTGTGGTTTTTAAAATCTCAATCATGTTTCTTAGAATTTTTGTTGCAGCAAGCTATACATATTAATATAATAATAATAATGGTTTAAACCATTGACTACTTCTTCACTCAATGGTTTAAACTAGGTATAGGATTTTTTTATATTATCAGCTTAGGGTATTTCAATGAACAATAGTTGACAAAAAAACATGTTTGTTTATTTTAGATTTATAAGTAATTTAGCAACATTTTGGTTTTTTTTGAGAATTTCACTTGGAATGACATACAAAAGTTAAAAATACAAATAATTTTTTAAAAGACAAATAGGCACATCCTTCCATAAAAACAAAATAATAAAATTGCTTTATAGTCTTATGTCTCCATTTCATCCAATATTTCCTCTAAAGCTTCCTCACTTTCTATTTTTTTATCTTCCACAAACTTATTCTTAATCTTAATTAACAACTCTTTTCTCAGATTTATATAATCTTCCACTCTTAAATTAGATGTCCGTAACTTTGCATAATTACAGTAGGGAGCATGGCTTTCATGTTCACTCCAAGGACAGTCCATTTCTTCCCATCCATCTAGAGTTTTATCGCAAAAAAAACATTTAACTGTGTCTGGATCTTGTTTAGTGCCATAGAAAATAAATCCAGCTTCTGCTAACTAGAATTACAAAATAAGTACTTTGTGGGAACTAAGATAATATTTTTGTGTTTTAAAGATGCCAAATAAGGTTGGTAATTATTAGAAACTCTCTTCCTTTTTGGCACTTCATCTTTATTTATTACCTTTTGAGCACTACATGGTTTGTTATCCTTAAAAACCCAAGATTTAAATGTAAGCAATCTATTTTCTTCAAAGAATAAGGGATCAATCTTTTTCAACAGGTTAAAAACCTAAAAAATTTATTTATCAAATCATGGACAATAATAAGTTATTGTTTGGGCAACAGAATAGAGCAGTAGAATGGAACAGTAATAAACAAACATTTACCTCTTGATTAACCTTTTGAGAAATTTGTTGTTCTTCCATATTATTTTCCTTTGGATTTTTAAATAAAAATTGATTGTTTGTAATTAGTAAAACCATGCATCCATCAAAACCACAGATTATAAAGGATCAAAACATAAATAACGAAGTTGGATTAACTTGAATAGCAGTTATTTAACTGTCAAAACTTTTTTGAACATACTTGCCGCTTTATTGGTACCACTGTTAAATTCAGTGCTCCAACGTAAAGAAAAGAATAACCGATTTTTTAGTAGTTCAAATGTCATGGGACTTTTGCGGTGTTCCCATGGAAACCAAAGCGCCATTTTTAAATAATGCTATTGACAGGCATGTTTTATTGGAAAAATAATTTTATAATTTAATATACAAATAGTGAACATAAAATGGAGGAACAGGGAAACGTTAAGGAACTTGAGGTCAAAGGAATAATTGGTTTTGACGGTAAGCAGAGTGTGCTAATAAAAAAAGGTGGTTCCAAAAGTGATTTTTAAAAGAAAAATTCATATGAACCTAAAACGAATTTTTTTCAGAGTACACGGTGTTTTAATCAGTTTTGTTGATTAAATAGCTTTATGAAACAGTAATAATACAGGGTATTGTATTTTTAGGGAGCACTATAAAGGGATTGATTGTCCATTCTGATGGTAAACATGTAATTTATCCTATAGGAAATAAAGTTATAGTGCAAGATTGGACGACAAGAAAGCAAAGTTTTCTTACTGGACACACAAATGCCATTTCTGCTGTGGCAGTATCCCGTTCAGGAAAATATATTGCCAGTGGCCAAATAAACCACATTGGATTTAAGGTAATTACCTTAAGGTTCACTTTTTTATTTAATTAAGCTATAGCTTAGTTTAGGTTTAAAGAAGTTTCCATGAACATAATTAATTAATTATACTATTGTTATTTTTTTATTAAACTGTATTTTGCAGGCCCAGTTAATAATATGGAGTTACAATGAGTTAAAAATAATGGATACTCATGAGTTGCACAAAGTGAGAGTTGAAGCTGTGTCATTTTCAAGTGATGAAAAATACTGTATTTCTATTGGTGGGCGAGATTGTGAGCAGGTTGTTGTATGGGATATTGAAAATAGGAAGGTTATATGCTCTGAACATGTTACCAAGGGGGTTCAAGGTAACAAAAAATGAGTAAACATTTTATTATTGCTCAATTTTAAACAAAACGCTACATATAAATATATTTGTATACTTATGTACCTACTTATACATATATGTATACTTTGGTGTAAGTAAAAATAAAAAAATATTCTGCATGCAAATACTTAATTTATGCAAGTATACTATAGGATAAACAATACAAAAATTGAAGAATAAAGGTTTGATTAAAACATAATGACATAATTTTGTAAATTTTAAATAGATTTTAAAAATGCATAAATTCTGGAAATTCGTTGCTTACCTTATCGTTTTCTACTCTTCAAGCCCTTTCATTTGATACTGTCAAGAAGGTTGTAAATAATTAGATAGTGGATTGCCATTTAAATGGCAATCCACTATCTAAGGGCGGCCATATTAGAATTATTTATTTCTATCTCTCTTACTTATGCGCATCCACTCATTCCTTACGCCACGTCCCCAGCAAACACTGATTATGTAATGTCCCATTACATTGTTACATGGCTTAATCTCTATCTCTAAATCTTTATCTCTCTATAGATATATCTAATAATGGCATTTTTAGCCAAAGCTTTCGTTGTACTGGGTCTTGTTTTATTAAAAATATTAATTTTGATAAAATTTTATCAAAATTAATATTTTTAATAAAACAAGGCCCAGTACAAGGAAAGCTTTGGCTAAAAATGGCTTCAGGCTGTCATGATAAGGTGCAAGACTTTTCTGGCTAATATTTGTATATTTTACCAGACCCATGTATGGCAATTTTCAGTTAATGCGACTTTAAAAAAACATTGAAGTGCTAAATGTTTTCTGTATACAAAACTTACGACCTTTAATTATCCTTTTGTTAAAGCCATATTGCAAAAATGACGTGAAATGAAGTGTAATTCATATAGTTTTAATAGTGTTATACCACAATAAAAAATAATAATATTCAATAATACCTAATGGATGTTAAATTAAAATGTGCATTTTTAATTTTACAAATTTTAGAACTCTAATTACAGACAAAGTACCGCCAAAGAATTTAGTAGAAAGTTTTAATTGATAAGGTCAAAATTGGGGCAATTTCGATTAAAAGAAATTAATAATGGCAAAGAAAACCTGGTTTTCATCTACCAAAAGAATCAAGCGAACTTATTTGTAAATATATACTTAAATTTTAAATATTTTCTATTTAGTTTTAATAGGATTTTTTTTATTATTTTAAATATTATGGATTCCATTTATTACCTAATAGTATTAGGCTAACACAGTTTTAAAAATAAAATGTTTTACTCATACAGGTCTTTATTATAACACATTGCTTTGTATTTTGTTTCGTAAATTTATGAATGTTTAGTATCGCATTTCACGATAATATATTAATTAATATAATGGATAAGTACCCTGCTGAAAATGACGGATGATTGCGGATATAAATTCTTCGTCAAAACCGGATAAAAGCAGATGATTGCGGGTATAAATTCTTCGTCTAAGCCGGATAAAAGCAGATAAAAGCGGGTAAAAATATCATCTGATAACATCTGCTTTTGTCCGCATCGCTATATCCGCAAACACCCGGTTGGTTGTGTTTTATGTCCGGTTAGTGCACCCCCGCAATCATCTGCAATCATCTGTTTTTAACCGTCTTCACTGTATTTCGTTTATATCTGAATTTATCCGGAATCATCTGCAAACGTCTGCTTACGTCTGTTTTTATCCGCGATTACCTGCATTTTTTTTCGTCTATTTTTGTCGGGTTTTATCTGCAAACGTCTGGTTTTATCCGCGAACATCTGCTTTCATCCGCGAACATCTGATTTTATCCGCCAACATCTGCTTTTATCCGCGAACATCTGCTTTCATCCGCGAACATCTGCAGTCACCCGCGAACAACTGCTTTTATCCGCGAACATCTGCAATCACCCGCGAACATCTGATTTCATCCGCAAACGTCTGGTTTTATCCGCAAACATCTGCTTTCATACGGTTTCACCCGCAAACATGCTTTTATCTGCGAACGCCTGATTTCATCCGGTTAGTGCACCCCCGAACATCTGCTTTCATCCGCGAACATCTGATTTTATCCGCCAACATCTGCTTTTATCCGCCAACATCTGCTTTTATCCGCGAACATCTGCAATCACCTGCGAACAACTGCTTTCATCCGCGAACATCTCATTTTATCCGCGAACATCTGCAATCATCCGCGAACATCTGCTTTTATCCGCAAACATCTCATTTTATCCGCAAACATCTGATTTTATCCGCAAACATCTGCATTTATCCGCAAATATCTGCTTTTATCCGCGAACATCTCCAAACATCTGCTTTTAATTGCAAATCTCTGCTTTCATCCGCGTTCGGTTTGCCTGCATTTCCTTTGTCCATTTCGGTCCTGTTTCGTACGCAAACGTCTGGTTTCATTCGCGCTTTTTGTTTTCCTTTTTCTCGTGTATACTTTAGTTTAGTTTATCTGCTTTGTCAAATTTTACTGAGCTTTAACTAACTGGTTGTTCACGGCACACAACTTTATAACTCTAAAAGGAATTATTTGAATAAAAACAACCTGTAAAGGAAATAAGTTTATTCACCAGATTTAAATTTACCACAGAAATAATAAGCCTATTAATTCTTACATATATATTAAAAATATTGGTTATGCTAAAATTAAAAAATTTATAAAGTTAGATGAAAAATTCTACGCCGAAATAAGTGTTTTTCAAACAAATTCCATACAAATTGAAGATGTTATAATTCCAAATGTATTTGAAATTAAACATATATGTTTTCTAACAATTAATTTAAATGTAAGATTAATGATAAAAAAATGTCTATTTATGTCTTTTAACAAAGACCTTATTTGTATTTTACCAAATAATATTGAAGTTCAATAAACTTATTTCCTTTACAGGTTGTTTTTATTCAAATAATTCCTTAGAGTTATAAAGTTGTGTGCCGTGAACGGCTAACAACCATTTAGTTAAAGCTCAGTAAAATTTGACAAAGCAGGTAAACTAAAGTAACTATACAGGAGAGGAAAACAAAAAGCGCGAATGAAACCAGACGTTTGCGTACGAAACAGGACCGAAATGGTCAAAGGAAATGCAGGCAAACCGAACGCGGATGAAAGCAGAGGTTTGCAGTTAAAAGCGGATGTTTGCAGATGCTCGCGCATAAAAGCAGATATTTGCGGATAAATGCAGATGTTTGCGGATAAAATCAGATGTTCGCGGATAAAAGCAGATGTTTGCGGATAAAATCAGATGTTCGCGGATAAAAGCAGATGTTTACGGATAAATGCAGATGGTTGCGGATAAAATCAGATGTTTGCAGATAAAATCAGATGTTTTCGGATAAAATCAGATGTTTGCGGATAAAACCAGATGTTTACGGATAAATGCAGATGTCTGCGGATAACATCAGATGTTTGCAGATAAAATCAGATGTTTGCGGATAAAAGCAGATATTTGCAGATTAAAATAGATGTTTGCGGATGAAATCAGATGTTTGGAGATTAAAACAGATGTTTGCGGATAAAAGCAGATGTTTGCGGATAAAAGCAGATGTTCGCAGGTGAAATCTTATGAATCAGACTTTTGCGGACTAAATGAGATGTTTGTGGATTAAAATAGATGTTCTCATATGAAAGTATATCTTCACGTATAAAAGCAGATGTTTGCAGGTGAAATCGGATAAAGCAGACGTTTGCGGATTAAAGTAGATGTTTGCGGATAAAATCAGATAAAACCGGGTGAATGCAGATATAAACTTAAATACAGGTATTTGCGGATGAAAACAGATAAAAGCAGACATAGATCTAAATAGATAAAACCCGACGTTCGCGGGTAATATTTATACCCGCAATTGCAGATAAAAACCGACATGCCGGGTAAAATCAGATATGTCGGATGAAAACAGATATAAATGGACATAAAACTAGCTTGGTTTTTTATCCGCAATCATCCGATATTACCTGTCTTTTTCAGCAGGGTAAAGTATTTATTATGATGGATTAAATGTGGTTTGTTTATATTTATTGGGTCGGATATTCCACGATTGTGACGGTAGCGATAACAATTTCTAATTATCGTGGAATATTCTTACCTAATAAATATATACCTCCCAGATAACATTATGATGTTCATAATGGACGCATATTGCAGTCACAACGTGATTGTTAATCCGCACGTATGCAGGCATACATGTATGTATCATTTGCGTCATCAATTGAGGTTCATAATTGACGTATATTGCAGTCACAACGTGATTCTTAACATGTATGTCACATATCGATGACTTTTTGCCAAAGTATCGGAAGCAACGTTCAATTCCCGAAATTTGAGTTATGTTAACATAACTCAAATTTCGGGAATTGAAAACATTTTTTATTTTAAAGTCTGTTTTAAACCATATATAACCTATAGGTTTTATAACAAGTAAATAGCTATAATTATAAGCTATTTACTTTTACCTTTATGCTATATTTAATTTAAAACAGACTTTAAGACAAAAAATGTTTTCATTTTCCGAAATTTGAGTTATGTTGCTTGCGATACTTTGGCAGAAAGTCATCGATATATGCCGAGGGGCAAACCACTGATTTTTTAAAATTAAAAATCGCTTACGAATTAACGGCCAAGGATAACAATAACAAGGGTAGTCATGTACAACGCGTCGCTAAGCACTGATTAAGCAAGTTTTCCGTATTGATGACATAAGGAAAAAAATCTCAATACAACGTCCATTAACATTGAAAGTTGGTCTCTAAGATTTTAAAGTGGTTTACCCCTCGATATATGCATCATTTGCATCATCAATTGAGGTTCATATAGCCAGCATATGTGCACATATGTGTACATAAAATCAACAATTTTCGCAAAATTGTAGATCTAGTATTACATCTACAATTTTGCGATAACTATTTAGCAAAAGTGAAAAGTTTTCAATCATTTCGTGCCCTCATATACCAATCACGTGCGTGTATTCCCATTAATCATAAAATTAATATCATATCGAAGCGTTTTTACCGTCACGCATGATTCCGCATGACGTACGTGAAGGCGATGTGCGTTTTGATACCCCTCACGGTTGTTATCAGGGCCTCCCACATTTAATCCACCATAATAGATGCTTCACTTAAACATTAAAAATTATTTAAATAACCACTATATAATATTTAACACCCCATATCAGAAACTTAAGTTTTAAAGATTAAAGGTACAAATTTGTACCTTTAATCTGTCATTAAAAATGGAATGATTCTTGTAGGTGCCTTTATTGACTGTCGTTACATGCCCATTAAAGGTAAACGCGACATAATATCCCTTGCGGCCTTGAGTTTACGGTGAATTCACCGTTTGCGTGAATTCACCGTGAATACACCGTTTATGTGCTGTGAATATACCGTCCATTTGTGACATTTGTAGACGCGTAATTAAACGGTGAACTCACGCTGTTTTTGCGATAAATTCACGGTTAATTCACGGTGATTTCACGGTAAATTCACGGTGAACTCAAGTTTGCAAAATCACCGCAAATTCACTGTCAAAGTACCGTAAATTTATCGTGAAATCACTGTGAGTTTACTGTGAAAACATCGTAAATTACTGTACAGTACCACGTGGTAATGTAAATAATAAATTATTTTAATTGTTTGTAAATGGTTGTTTACTTTTTAATAAATAGTAATTTTGTTGCTAATAGACGGTATTAATAATTAAATAAAAAATTAATAATAAATATTAAGATTTTTTTATTTATAAACATTATTAAATAAATAGTTTGTTTATACTTAAATATTGATGAAGCGCACAAAAACTAAATTCACAAGTTCAACAGTAAAATTTAAAGGGTTTATAAATTTACCTGCCTACTTAAACATTATATTGTTATTCTGGAAGTTATAAACTACCAGTACATATTTAATAAACGACGACATTGAAAAGCCAAGTCCGTAGTGGTTCCATTGGCCTTGAGTTCATGGTTTATTCACAGTGAATTCACCGTGAATTCACCGTGAATAAACCGTCTGTGAAAAGTGCGTGAATTCACCGTCTAACTACCGTTTACAAATGTCACAAACAGACGGTTTATTCACGGTGAATTCACAGTGAATTCACGGTGAATAAACCGTGAACTCAAGGCCGCAAGGGATGTACAGTTCCATTAGAGTTAGCCTTAAGTTCATTAAACGCACGTTTATAAAGGGCCATTATAGAACATTTACGGTTGTGTTTGCTGTGAAGTACTTCAAAAGTGATCCATTATTTTTGTTAATTAGTTTTTGTTTTAATTTTAAAGGGGAGCCTTTTGCACTGGCAACTTTGGAGAGAAGATCGTCTTGTTTTATAGTTGGGGGGGAGGAGTTATTAGCAGTGTGGAGGTTTGATAAGGAAGTTAAAAGATTGGTGTGCTATGAAGTGTCTATGCCGAAAATGCGACGGACTTTTTTGTGTATTGATGTTGATCAGAGAGATGAGGTAGGTAGATAAAAAACGTGTACAACAAAACAAAATGAATAAAAAAATGATTATTTTGTGTGTTGATTTAGCTATGTTTCTGCGGCACATCCACGGGAGACATAGTTAAGGTTAGATTAAATTTCCATCACGATCCTGAAAATGTTGCCCCTCTTAGGGATCCCAAAGTTATTGGCTGTTTTGCCAGGATTTCAAAGAAAAAGTTGCCACAGGGAAGTGTGGACCTATATGAGAATGGTAGGATAAAATATTTTTACTTAAATTTTTTTTTTTACTTACATATGAGTGAATATATTGAGATGTCCCACAAGTGAAAATGATTTTTTTTTGTTGTTTCACTGTTAGTCTAGAATGGGGTTTTTGGGAAACCACCAGGTCTAGTAATAACATAACAAGTGGTTCTGCACTAATGCATCATACATTTTGAATATTAGAGCTTCACGGAAGATAGCTTCACGGAGGTTAGGATTTCGTATGTTTTTTTTTAAACATCCCTTTGTATAATATACAATATATATAATATTATTAGAAATAAGATATTGTATCTTTTGACACATTAATATTTTTTAAAAGTACAATTGTACATACATAAAATATTTATAAAAAAATCTACTTACTGAGATATTACACTTCACGGTGGATAGGTTTTTAAATAGCAAATTAATAAACTTAAACTTTTGAATTATAAAACAGCAACACTCTCATATAATGCATATAAATTCCTGACCTTCAGGAATCACATGCATCTATAATGTCGTAAACAGAGGTTGTTGCTTATTTAAAATGATTAAAGCTTAATTTTCATGTATCCGTTTGTCCGTCATCCGTATGTCAGTTTTTCAATAAAATCGTCCGATAAGAAATGTTCTAATTTTCATGCATACGTTTTTTAATGACATTTAACGGATTGATTTTGCGACAAATAGAAATTAAGTGTCAGTATATTCACTTACTAAATTTACCTAATGCTTAATTGTCATAGTTACAATTATGTCAACAATTGTAACTTTAACAGTGAGCTGTCTAATAAATTTAAAGGTAGGTAAATATACCTTATAAAAAGAATATACTAGACCTAATACATTAAAATGTGTAGTTTTAAAAAAGCAGGTCCTTTTAGTTCTAGTTTTAATTTTTTTTTGTTTGTCCTTTCTTTTTTTCCGTTATTCTTATTAAATAAAAACTTAACAGTAAAACATTATTCACATAACGAACGTAATATTTTCGTTTTACAATCTTATTGAAAAAATATAAAAATATTTGAAAATAAATTATCTTAAAATAACGTTAGGCGTCAAAAACAGATGTTTAGTGACGGATGAGTTAAAATTATTTAACCTTACTCTGTCAGACGTACAAAGTTGAAACTTGACGGACCGATAAAATGTCATAATTTTTGAATTATAATTGGACCAATAAGAGCGCTCCCGGATGAACGGACTGACGGACAAACGGATACATGAAAATTAAGCTTAAAGCGCCATCCGTTGTATAAAATTTAAAGCAAAAACAGATTCACGGAGGATAGAATCAATTTTTGTAACACCTACATTTCTTTTAATTTTTAATAATATTTTATATTTGATTGCTTTGGATGTGTTTAATTTACTTAGTGAACTAATATTTTTAAGTATGCTTTTACTACCTCAGATATTTGAAAACATATAGGTTAACCTAGAAAGAGTAACAGTTACGGAGAATAGGTTTTAGACTTTTAAAACATTGTAAAAAAATAATTAATTGTGGTTAAAAATTTGGAACCTGAGCTGTAATATCTACGGTGTAGGTCAAACTCATTTAGTTTTATTAAATATCACGGGATAACACCATCGGGGGACATTTCTCGAGATTCACCCATATACAAAACTAAAATTTAATGGTTTGAGTCTTACTCAAAGGTCTTATCTCTAATACTCCTATAAAATGTGTAAAAAGATAAAGTGTCCCGAAAATGTCCCACTAATCCTAGTGACTAATGCTATGATGTGCCATTTTCGGGTCTTATCTCTAGTAATCCTATAAAATGTGTAAAAAGATTAAGTGTCCCGAAAATGTCCCACTAATCCTAGTGACTTATGCTATGATGTGCCATTTTCGGGACACTGCATAGTGTAAATGAAATGTAAATAATACGTATTATTTAGGTGTTCGTGTAATAAAAAGATTACCGTCCGGTCAACTTCTAATAGGAGCAGGAGATGGAACATTGGAGCTTGTGGAAGAAAGTGCTCCCAAAATACCAAAAGTCAAAGGTGTTAAAATGCCATCTTTACCAGCTCTTAAAGTGGTAATAAAAATATTTGCGCTTGGGGAACCTATTTAGCCTTACTTACCTACATTACATTATTTTTAGTTAAAGTCAACAAAAGTAAATAACACAATAACGTCCATAGCAATTATGCAAAAAACAACTTTGCTGGTGGCCACAACAGCCTGTGAAATTTTTCAAATCGACATGAACAATTTTGATCCTAGGCTGGTTGTGACTTGTCACACCTCTCCCATATACTGTGTTGCATTTCCTCAGTAAGTTTGGTTTATTTTTTTTATCATGATATTATGATATGGAAAGAATATTCTTTTAGTGAATTTTCTGATGTGTTTGCGACCGCAAGCAAAGACGACGTGCGGGTCTGGGCGATTTCCAACATGCAAGAACTGCTAAGGATCGTGGTGCAAAATTTTAGCTGCTCGGAAGTGGTGTTTTCCTACGACGGTAAATGCATTTTAACGGCGTGGAACGATGGAATAATTAGATCCTTCACGCCTTTAACTGGACGACTGATGTACTCGATTTTTAACGCCCACAACAAAGGTAAAATATTAAATTAAATATATTAAAATTTATTGGGGAGTCAAGGGCAAGTGTACCTCTGGATTTTCAAGTTTCCCTTGAAATAAAGATTTTTTAAATTTGTTGTATGTTAAAAAACCGAAAAATTTGAGTTTATGCTTTTACAAGGTTTTATGTAATCCACCTTTGACATACAACTTGAAAATAACTCTATATACCGTACCTTCATTTGCAAGCTATACATAGGGAAAATACATTGTAGGTGGAACAGACAAGTCGAAGTCGCGCCGGTCAGCGCGAAACGAAAATGTTCCCAAAAATTATTTTGACGAGTGGATGACTAGACTAACATGCGACGTAACAGGTGACCTTGTTTACTGGCGATTAAAATTTTATTACCTCCTAATAATTTCTGAGAACTTTTTCGCTTTGCGCTGACTTCGACTTGTCTGGTCCACCTACAATGTATTTTCCCTATGTATAGCTTGCAAATGAAGATACGTACAGTATATGTATACATAGAATATACATTAGGCTGGTTAAAAAAAATCAACTAGTTTTGTTCCTGAAATTTCGCACTGAAATATCTTCACGGTTCCAAAAAAAGACGCCTGTGAAAACCTGAGCTCTTAATTTTAATATTTAGAGGTCGCGCATCGAGAATTTCTATTTCCCATTTAAATAACATGGGAAATTTTGTTTTGTTTCTTAATAATTTTTAGCTCACAAACTAATTAACAGATTTGTATGCGCGATATATATTCTTGTGGGAAATTGAACGCTCTACAAAAATGGAAAATAAAAATTATCGATGCGCGACCTCTAAATATTAAAATTAAGAGCTCCGGTTTTCACAGGCGACGGAGTCTTTTTTTGGTATCGTTAAAATATGTATATTATACATTCTATAGAATTATTTTTAAGTTGTAAGTGAAGCTTAGGCCACGTATAATCCTGTAGAAACATAGACTTAAATTTTTCGTTTTTTTAACATACAACCTTGTTATATTAGGGTGACGTTTTGCCAACAAAAAAAAAGTGAACAACAACTTTTGTTCAAAACTTTTTGTTAAAGTATATTTGTTATAATTATATTTCTAAGCCATCGCAGTAACTTTCCTAGAATTCCCCTGCCTGGGATTTTGTTTTGTCTTTTATGAGTTTAAATAATAAATTAACAACATATATCTACCATATCGCTCGAGTCAGTGGCGGATCCAGGATTTCGGTTTGGGAGGGGCTTGACCCTGCTCAGGGTAAGCTTCATCAAACACTAAAAAAGCACACACAATTTTAGTTTGCTCTTTTAACGCTTCTTCCAAAGAGTTATTTTTCCCAAAAATTTGGTGGGAAAATTTTTCCAAATTTCTATAATTTTCAAAACTCACAATTTTTTTTAAAAACTTGGAACTAACTTTTCCCACCTCTATGTTCAGGCGTAATTACGCCTGAAAATAGAGGTGGCTTAAGCCACTTCACATTTTATTTTAATCTGTGTGTTAACTGCACTGTATTAATTTTGTATGAATATTAGTGTGTCCGTTATTTCCCTTTTTTTTACCTGGATATCATCGACCTTATTTGTTTACAGACTAAAAACAATTAAAAAAATTTCCGACGTCGTAAATAGCACTACATTTTTAAAGAAAATGTAATGCCGTTTCAAAAAAATGTATCATAACATAACATAAAAATAAGGGTGAATACCGCCCCCGCTAAGGGGTTGAAGTTGCAGTGATGAAATAAATGTGTAAATATGTCCCTCTGAAAACGAAGATTTCTTTTTATTTTCACATACAATGCCGAAAACATGACAGGACTGTTTCTGGGCCACCCTGTATAGTTAATAAATAACACAGTAGGTAATTTTAGCTGTATCAGGTCTAAAAAAGTTTTTCCTATCGGAAGTATACGATCCAGGGACACACTGTATACTGGTATATTATGATTTGTAAAATAATATATTTCACCCCTTGAGCCACCATTCCTATGCTTTTTATTTCAATAAACATAATATCCTCAAATTAGTGGCGTAGGGGCCCTTATACGGGAAAAGCTGCTGGCAAAAAAAATTCTGGGTGTTACGCCAAAAGTCTATTTTGGGCAAACAAAAAAAAAAATTTTTAAAAGGTTTCTATTTTAAAATAAGGGCAAGTCATTTGAAATAATTGTAAGGCTAATAATTATTTCTAATTTGCTAATGACCTATGATTATAACACGCAGACTAAGTATGCTGCGCAGAACACAGAACAATATGCGCAGCCCAAGTAACATTTTTAGTTTTATTATGGTCTTCAAGAACGCTTTAAAGCAAAATTTTGTTTTAAAGCGTTCTTAAAGGACACAATAAAACTTTGAAGACCATAATAAAACTAAAAATGTTACTTGGGATACAACGCATAGCGGAAAGGTGCGGGCAGAAAAAATTCGTATGAGTTTACAGCCTCGTTGGAATAGGAGGGTATTTAATAAATCGAAGTATACATGTGGGTAATGTGTTTTTTGCTTACGCATGTCAAAGCCAATCGGGGCCCCCCCTAGCCGGAGGCCCCGTATCATGGATACGGCTGATACCGCGGTAGCTACGCACCTGCCTCAAATATACTCAATAAAAAAAAATAGCAAAGAAATATTTTGAATTTCCTAAATTATCTATAAAAAACTCTCAGGGTAGGGACCCCTGTTCCTTTTCATCAATTAACTTCTAATTTTGCAATAATTTGTTTTTTTTTTTAATTTGGAACTGATGTGTGGATGCAGCTAAATTATTTTTTTTTAATTTATACAGGGTGTTTTCAATATCTTTGAATTTTGACCTGATAAAGCTAAACCAAGCACGGATTTGTAATCTACGACAAAAAATTAAGATACGTGTCCGAGCGTTTAGCTGTGATATTTTCACCACCCTACAGTACTGTGTAATAAGGTGTTTATCATGGATAAGGGTGTTAACTAACATTTTTAACAACCTTTTCAATTGTTTTAGGGGTTTCTGCTATTGCTATTGCATCGCATGGAAAGTTGCTTGTTAGCGGTGGATGTGAGGGACAGGTATTAACAATGTTTTTTATGTTTATGCCAAAATATTTTTTTATACTCTGGTGGAAATTTTTCTCTGAAAAAGTTTTAATAAGTAAAAACCCTAAATAAGACTTATTAGGTCAGAAAAATTCTAAATAAGTCTTAACCCATATTACAGTCTGCAATTTTACTCGCAGCAATTTGTCTTGCATGCAAGTTTTTAAAAGAAAGTGAGTCTTTTAAAACTCTTACTTTTTCAGAGAAAAATGTCCATAAGGGTAGTCTGAATCTTAATTCATTCCTAAATAAAACGTTGTTTTAGGTGCGCTTGTGGGAAATAACGCCGCACCATCAAACGCTAATATGCACACTTAAAGAACACAAAAGTCCAGTTTCGGCGATAAACATAAACAAAACCGACGACGAGGCGGTGAGTGCTAGTACGGATGGAACGTGCATCCTATGGGACCTAGAAAACAAAGTCCGTCGCCAAATAATGTTCTCAAACACGCTGTTTATGACTGTTAAGTACTACCCGACCTCGGTGCAAATCCTCACCGGAGGTTCCGACAGGAAGATAAGTTACTGGGAGATTTTGGACGGCAGCCTCGTAAGGGAAATCGAAGGTTCTCAATCGGGCGCGATCAACACCATCGACATCTCCCCGTGCGGGGAGTTCTTTGTTAGCGGGGGGAACGATCAAATCGTGAAGCTGTGGAACTACCAGCAAGGCGTGACGACCAGGATCGGGCTGGGCCATTCGGCGGTGATAACGTCGGCCCAGTTCAGCCCGAACGCCCAGTACATCGTGACCACCAGCGCCGCCGGCAGCATATACGTGTGGTATGTGACATGCAACTAGGGTTGGGAAAATTTCACTTTTTGCTTGTACTTGAAATTTCACTTGAAATTTTCATGACATTTATGAGATTTATTAAAATTTCCTTAATTTCTGAAATTTCATGAAGTTTATGAAATTTATTGAAACTTTCAATAAATTTCAATCACTTTAAGTGTAATATACAGTGTGTCGCATTTAAGATGAAGACACCCCCATATTTTCGCTATTTCAAGGAATAGAGATTTGAATTTTTTCACATTCATACATGTTGGTGGGTCACATTTTTTAAGATACTCAACTGAAATCTGAACTTTAAACTTGGCCTACTTCGAATTCACAAACGGGGCCAGTTGTCGATATTTTGCTTCGCGTTAGAAATATCGAAAAAAATTATTAGGAAAAGTTGTTCAGAATATTATTCTAACCTCAAATACCGATTTTCATAGCAAAATTTATTTATTTATTTTTATTAGTTTTATTATTGTTTTATACCATTTCCTTAATTTAATAAATTATAATTGATTTGTAATTTCCAAAAATTGTTTTAATTATTTATTTAACGGTCATAAACACTAGTTAGTATCAAATTATTACTTTCCATGGCTCCCTTATTATCAAACTAAAAAATAAACTTGTAATAATTTTGTGTGGACCAAAATAAAAAAAAATAAAAATTGGTATATGGGGTTAGAATAATATTCTGAACAACTTTTTCCAATAACTTTTTTCGATATCTCTAACGCGATGCAAAATATCGGGAACTGTTTGTGAATTTGTAGTAGGCCAAGTTTAAAGTTCAGATTTCAGTTGAGTAGCTTAAAAAATGTGACCCATCAACATGTATGAATGTGAAAAAATTCAAACCTTTATTCCTTCAAATAGCGAAAATGTGGGGGTGTCTTCATCTTAAGTGTGACACACTGTATTAATATTGAAATAAGCCCACTCGGGGACCATGGCAAATTGCCTCTCTTACCTCCTACCCCCCTGTGGGCCTCTGCACCAATAATATAAATAGTAAATACCTATGTTTACCAAAAATTTCTTGAGATATCCTTTAAAAATATTTTTAAAATTAGTAAAACTAAAAGAGATATAGCACTTTTTGGTAAGCTAATGAGATTGTGCCACTTTCATTGTTTTATATTTATATAAATTTATTATTTTTTAATATTTTACTGAAATTTTACGAAAATTGAAGAAACTGCATCAAAATTTTATGAGCCAAAGGCATTTTTTATCCGTTTTCCGATGCAATTATAGCAAAAGTAAAAGTTTAAATTAATCATGACTTTTAAAAAAATTTTAAAGTCTGATTTAATTTACAAATTAAATTGGTAACTGAATTAAATTATTTAAATTAATTTATGCATATAAGTAACAATAATTACTTATAGTGTATTCAAATCCAAGCCGAACTAAACAAAAACGCCCAGGCGCTTGATAACTCGTTCTTATTGGTCGATTCGGAATCTGTTGTAAATTATTATTAAAGGTCCCAGGGGAGGCCGCATGTGAAATTTATAGGAAATTTTCAGTAAATTGCGAAACTTTCAATGAAATTTCTGAAATTTTCACAGGCAATGTTGAAATTTTCGGATTGAAAATTTCATTTGAAATTTTTTAAAATTTCACTTTTCCAACTAAATGAAACTTTCAAAGTTGAAATTTTCATTTGAAATGACCGATAGAATCCAATAAAAAATAAGTAATTGGTTTGAAATGTGTTTTGGCGCTATGCAGTGGCGGCTGGTGGATTTTGGCACACCCATATCTCAGTTATTAGACATGGGACCCACATCAAATTTATATGAGTTTATAATGACACTATATAGACAAGTTCTGCGCAAGCAGAATTTAAATTAAAGTTTGCGAAAAAAAGTTAGTTTTTAAGTGCAACCCCCAGCCTCCTGCCTCTCCAAATTAAGATAATTCAAATTAAAGTGGTACAATATTTAATTCACTGAAGTTTATCGACAAATTTCAAATTTTATTAAAAAAATTCAAGTATTACAGATTTTATACCATTTCAATTTTTTTAAAATTTAGTAAAAGAAATAATAAAAATTATAAATGGTATAAAACCTGTAATTCTTGAATTTTTTTAATAAAATTTGAAATTTGTCGATAAACTTCAGTGAATTAAATATTGTACCACTTTAATTTGAATTATCTTAATTTGGAGGGGCAGGAGACTGGGGGTTGCACTTAAAAACTAACTTTTTTTCGCAAACTTTAATTTAAATTCTGCTTGCGCAGAACTTGTCTATATAGTGTCATTATAAACTCATATAAATTTGATGTGGGTCCCATGTCTAATAACTGAGATATGGGGTGCCCAAAATCCACCAGCCGCCACTGGCGCTATGAATCACCGATTCATTCCAGTTGCATTCCTATTGGTAAGTTCCAATGAAGTCAGCGGCTTAAATTGGAATATACCAATCCATGCCTATGCTTGTCTCTATTGGCTAAATCCAATAGAAATGCACTTGGAATTAATTGGTAATTCATAGCGCCAAACTCATTCAAACCAATTTGAACCAATTTATTTTTTTAAATTTGGATTAAAAATACCAGTTGATTTTTCATTAAAAAATAATTAAGATCCCAGAAGAATAACCGGGTAAAAACCAGAATTCATTTTTCACAGAAGAGACAAGAAAATTATTATAAGTAACTTCATTTCTTTATTATTTTTTTGTGTTAGTGAGATATGTATTCATACATATAACTTACTAACACAACTAAAATAATAAAAAATAAATAAAATTACTCAGTTATAATCATTTTTTTCTCTTTCTTGCAAATATTTTTGTAGGCATGGTCGAAATCAATATTATTTATGTCAATTTTTTTTTATTTTACCGCTGAAACCACTATTCTCACGCCATCGTCCCTAAACCTTACACATATAAACATTTTTTTAAGGTATAAGTACACACCACTATAAGTACACAACTACCACTAAGCACAGAAACCCATAGATTGTTAAAGAAACCGACTAATAAAAAAACGACATTAAATAGCGTCCAAAGACTTGTTTGTTTCTTTATGATGGCGTCTCAACCATTCGAACAAGGTCTGCGTACGTTGGTTTTGCGCAGCTACAAGAGAGCCCTCTTGCGATATTTTAAAGTATTGGGAATAATCAATTAGCGGATTCCTTTTTAGAATCTCACACTGGGAATGCCCAATTGAATTTAATTGGAAATTACCTATGGGTAACTTTAACCAATCGAAACCACTAAAAAGCAGTATAATCCTAATTGGACTTTTCCATATTTTGAAGTATTGGGAATAACCAATTAGCAGATTCCTTTCTAGAATCTCACACTGGGAATGCCCAATTGAATTCAATTGAAAATTACCTATTGGTGCTTTAACCAATCGAAACCACTAAAAAACAGTAGAATCCTAATCGGACTTTTCCATCATGGAAAATACCAGTAAAAACCAATTTCTGTCCAAAGTCCAATTCAGACCTATTGATACCAACAATACTTCAATTGGTTTCTATTAGGAATTAATCGGTCATTTACAACAGGGGAGTTGTTGCACTTTTTTAAAATTTTACCAAATTGGTGCATTTTACGACAATTTTAGCTATCGTCTTGTTACATTTAATTTAATAAACACATTTAAAGTTTAATTTTTCTTTTGTCTTCTATATTTGTGCCTAATCGAGAAAAAATTGTAAACACAGGTCAAGTGACATGTTTGTGCCAAATGCAACAGATTTGCAAGAAAATGTCACTTGCTTGTTTTAACAATAAACGATTTATATGTACTTACTCTTATATATAAAAAAATATTTTAAAGTTATGCCTTTACGTTTTTAAGGCTTAATAGTAATAGTAGTTAAAAAAGTAACTACCTATAAAAGTCTTTAAGAAGTTTTACATTGTTATTGATTTCTTATGTGGAAACTACCAAATAATAAGAAATCAAATTTTTTAGTCTTAGTCAAAATTTTCAATAATAAAAAAGTAATATATTCTAAATTTCACTTTATTATTAATATACATTTTGCTCAAAATTTCATATTAAAAAAATACTCCATTTTTTAGGATTTATGTTATTTATTGACAGAATATGCTCAGGGCTCCCACGGCTAAATTACAAATTTTATTTAAGAATTTTAGGAGAAATAAAGTATGCAAATAAATTTCTGTAATTAAATAAACACTCTCTACTGAAAGAAATAAATAATTCTTTTTGGCAAAAGTATAAATAAATATCACTTCTTTTGTGCAAATAGGTTACATTGACTAGTTTTTTTGTCAAATCGCTCGACGATATATACACAAGTAAAAATTTCCCCACACTTTTAATTTTATTTAAAAAAAAAACGCGTCGATAGATATGGCTAAAAAACTAGGGCAAAGTCAAATGATGTTATATTTATATTTTGAGAAAAAAAGAGTTAACCATTTAGTTAATAATTAACAATAATAGTAATGTGGATCTTCTTACTCAAAAATCTCATTAATAGAAAAAATATAAAGTTTGCATAATACAGCAAAACATTCTTTAGATTGATTACTATTTTAGCTATCATTAAAAGAAAATTAAAAATCCTTTTGTTTGATATATTTTTGTCGAAAACAAACGAAATATGGCTAAAAATGACAATTTTGTAGGAGCTACTACATGAATTTTGTTTTTTTTAGGTATATTTTGTTGTTTTTTAAGAAAAATGTAGGTTGTGATACACTGCGCGTCAAAATTAACGCATAACAAGTAAAAAAAAATCCAACTCTAAAACGCCTTTACCAATCTTTATAAAATTTTGAATAAAAATACTTTAACTTATATCTCAGTTTACGTGTTCAAGATTTTTCGAGAAAATATCCTTAAAGCCCTTTTATTTAATAATTAAAAACGCTCGAAAACAAATTTTTATAGGGAAATTTTTTTTAAGTAAATCAAAAATATGGTGTGAAAGACCGTATTTTTGTTAGTATACCCTGAAAATGTTTTACAAATCAAACGAACAGTAACAAAAATACAGCGCTAGTCAAAAATGACCACTTTTCAGCAAAATAATCAGAAAGGGGTCATTTTTACCAACTTTGAAGCGCTGTATCTTCGTTACTGTTCGTTTGATTTGTACAAAATTTTCAGGGTATACTAACAAAAATACGTTCTTTAACAGCATATTTTTTATTTACTTAAAAAAAGTTATTTTTCGAACGTTGTTTATTATTAAATAAAAGGGCTTTAAAAATATTTTCTCGAAAAACCCTCGAATACGTAAACTAATGGATTCAGGGCTCCCACAACTCCTAAAATTCATAAAATTCCTAAAATTTGGCTTAAATCTTAAAAACTCCTAAAATTCTCCTAAAATTGCAATCAATCTCCTAAAACTCCTAAAAATTAAATATAAGTAGGCCAACTTGACTGCGTTTAATTAAGGTAGTTGTGCTAAAAAATTTCTTTTTTAAAAAGTAATTTAAAAAATATATATTTTTGGGTTCTAGTTTATTAAATTCTTTTTAAAATGATATAGGTATCAACCTACATTTTTCTTAAAAAACAACAAAATATACCATAAAACAAAATTCATGTAGTAGCTTCTAGACTTCTACAAAATTCTACAAAATAGCCATATTTCGTTAATTTTCGACAAAAATATACCGTGTTATATATCAAACAAAAGGATTTTTAATTTTCTTTTAAATAGTAAAAAATCTAAAGAATGTTTTGCTGTATCATGCACTTTATATTTTTTCTATTATGAGATTTTTTGGTAACAATAATATAACAATTATTGTTAGTTATTAACTAAACTGTTAATTTTATTTTTCAAAATATAAATATAACATCATTAAACTTTGGCCTACTTTTTTAGCCATATCTATCGACGCTTTTTTAAAAATAAAATTAGTGTGGTTAAATTTCTACTTGTAGATATATACAAAAGTAGTAATTTTACCTCACTTTTCATTTTATTAAAAAAATAACTCGTCGAGCGATTTGGCTTAAAAACTAGTCAATAATAACCTATTTGTACAAAAGAAGTGATATTTATTTATATTTTTGTTAAAAATAATTACTCATTATTTTCTTATTTTTTATGTATAGTGTAGAGTTGTTTTTATTTAATTAAATAAATTCATTTGCATACTTATTTGTCCTAAAATTCTCCAAAAAACCTCCTAAATTCCTAAATAAAATTTGTAATTTAACCGTGGAAGCCCTGTGGATTTTTATACAAAATTTCATAAAGATTGGTAAAGGCGTTTTAGAGTTAGAATTTTTTTACTTATTATGCGTTAATTTTAACGCGGAGTGTATATCATTTTAAAAAGAATTTAATAAACTAGAACCCAAAAAAATATATTTTTTAAATTACTTAAAAGCACAACTACCTTATTTAAACGCAGTCAAGTTGGCCTACTTATATTTAATCTGTAGAAGTTTTAGGAAATTGATGACAAATTTAGGAGAATTTTAGAAGTTTTCAAGATTTAAGACAAATTTTAGGAATTTTATGAGTTTTAGAAGGTGTGGGAGCCCTGTAAGCTTTATTGTAGCGGATTTGAAAAAAAAAAGCCGGTTTTTTTTTAAGTTTTTTTTTCACATTTTTAAAAAAGTTTTTTTACATCTCTAGGTACGCGCCGCAGCAAGTCGAGGAAATCATGGAGCCCGCCAAGAGCGCCGCCTCCTTGCCGGAGGAGGAAAACATCAAGGATCTGGCGTCGGCCAGAAGCAGCGGCTCCGGCGTGCAATCGAAATCGGAAAGGACGGATTCGTGTTGCTACTCCTCGTCCGCATCGTCGTCCTGTTCGAAGGTTTCCATCTGTCAGGACTCCCTGTGTTCGTCATGCAACAGGAAAAAGTGCGTAAGCTGCAAAAGTTCCTGCAAAGACTCCAAATGCTCCACCTTTAAGCCGAAAAGTATTGGCAGCAGTCAGTTGTCCTGTCAGGATTCCAAGTGCAGTTCAAGAAAGAGTGGACCTACAAAACCGGAGTCTGTTAAATCTCATATAACAAACTGCGGGAAATGCTGACTTTATTTGTTTCCTGTATTTTTTATACAATTTTTTATACATGATTTTTTCTGCTGATGCAAGCGTTTTTTTGAGATTTATTAATAATTATTCAAAAACCTATTATATAAAATGATTATAATCATAATTTTTTATTCAAAAACAAACTCAATACAAATATTAATACATTTTATACGAGATTTTTTTCTCTAGAGATATGAAGATTTTAATCCCCCCTAAAAAATTGGAGAATTAAAAAAAAATTATTAAAACTAAATAGTTTTTAGTCATTTAATTTAATTAGTATAAAATTTGCGCTACAGACTTTATTAAGAACATATTTCAACCAAAAGACGTGTTTTTTTTACGTATATAATACGAGTTATCAACGTTGGAATGTCACATTTTTATGACGTAATTAAAACGTGTTAGACGTAAAAAAACGTCCCCCTTAACGTGGTTAAGACGATTCTTAAAGACATCTTTAATACGTCTTAACGTCCATTTTAGACGTCTTTAAGGTGCAAAATTGACGTGTTTTGGTAGTTGAATAATTGCTGTTTAACATTGAATGTTAAATTTTATAAAAAGCTTTTGCTAAAAGTAAGTAGTGGGGCCCACTGCTTACTTTTCGCAGAGTGGGCCACGACCTGTGTCCCATCAAAACTTACATTATAGTAGAGGATCCCAAGTAAGGTCGACCTTCACCCATCTGCTTACCAGATGAAAATTATATTTTATCAAATAAAATATGTTTCTGAACATAAACCAATAGGGTTGCCATAAAAAATATGATCAAGGCTAGCTATAATAAATAAAAAATTAAAAAAAAAAAATTAATTTTTTAAATTTCACCGACTTGCTTGCCAAATGAACGAAATTCCAATGGAAAGCATACAACATACAGAATATGTAACAGCTAGGTTGCCTACCTTTTTCTGGTCCCTATTACCTGGTTGCTTTGTACAGGGTGATCCCCTATAATGTCGCCCCCCTTTAACTTTTTTATTTTAAGTGTCCCAAAAAATTTAAAAGTTTGGTTATGTAGGTACTAAAAAATACTTTTTTTCTACGTATAAAGAAAATTGGAAAATTGATCAGTATACAGGGAAAAACAAAAAGTTTATTTTTTTTCAATGGATCACCTTATATATGAATTTATTTTTCGATTCCTTATAAAATCCTGAGCATAATTTATATAACAAACCATATACCTAAATTCAACCGTTTCTGAAATATTCGCATTCGAAATGTCATCATTAAATGTTTTTTTAAACTGTTAAAAATCAAGAAGCCTCAGTATACCAAAATTTTTATTGAAAATAAATTACTATAGTGACATTATGTCAATAAGTGTTGTTAAATAAGTAAAAATGGCGTACTCAGACAGAGAAAGACAAACTATTTCAACTTATTATCTTAAAAATAATTTAAATATTTTAGAAACGGTTGAATTTAGGTATATGGTATGATATATGAAATATGCTTAGAATTTAGGTATATGGTATGATATATGAAATATGCTTAGAATTTTACAAGGAATCGAAAAATAAATTCATATATAGGGTGATCCATTGAAAAAAATAAACTTTTTGGTTTCCCTGTATACTGATCAATTTTACAATTTTCTTTATACGTAGAAAAAAAGTATTTTTTAGTTCCTACATAACCACACTTTTAAATTTTTTGGGACACTTAAAATAAAAAAGTTAAAGGGGGGCGACATTATAGGGGATCACCCTGTACAAAGCAACCAGGTAATAGGGACCAGAAAAAGGTAGGCAACCTAGCTGTTACATATTCTGTATGTTTTATGCTTTCCATTGAAATTTCGTTCATTTGGCAAGCAAGTCGGTGAAATTTAAAAAATAAATTATTTTTTTAATTTTTTATTTATTATAGCTAGCCACTTATGTTCTGTGGCTAGCCATGATCATATTTTTTATGGCAACCCTATTGGTTTATGTTCAGAAACATATTTTATTTGATAAAATATAATTTTCATCTGGTAAACAGATGGGTGAAGGTCGACCTTACTTGGGATCTTAGACTATTAGAAGCGGTATGGTCAGTAATTTTGCTTTGGTAAGAATTTTTTTTTAGCAGCTTAAGGCATTCCACCTTTATAGGACTATCTATTGTACTACAGAGGCGAGAGGTATGCATGGGTTGCCTACATATTGGCGAATTTTGAAACATTTTGATGACGTCCCATATTCGTCTGATTCTGGTATGAAATAAGTGGTCAGATAATGGCGAGAAATATACGTCATTTTTACGTTTTATTTTGACATTTATTTTTACTTCTTAAACGTCGTTTGTCATTTTCTGTTGCAGGGTAGTTACATACATATTTCGTCTAAATTTTACGTGTATCAAACGTATTTTTAAAACTTCTCAGAATTCCTGTGGTAAGTACCCTCTTGATTTCGACTGAAAGAACTGTATTTGAAGTTTTTTTTATGTTTATGTAATATTTTTAACAAATATAAAATTTTCATTTTTGTTAAAACATTCGTTTTTTCAAAACGTTTATTTCACGTCAATATTCCGTTACTTTAAAACTCGTTAAATAACACGAGTTGGTTACAGCTCTGTTTGCCCACTACGCCCACTGTATACACAGAGACAAGGGTCTCTGGTATACATACACGCAAAATAAATCAGTTTTTTTTTAATTAAATAAAATCAAAAATATTTTTTTCTAAAAAACTGACAACCCAACTAATTAGTAGGCTTATAATTCCAGTATATTTTATAAAACATTATTTAAAATTTTAATCTCTAGATAAAAGTATTATGGGATCAATTACAAGTTTCTTATCTTAAAACCATAAATATTATTTTATTGAACTATACATATATACATAAAGTTACTATAACTATTAGTTTTACATATACAGTACGTACAAACTTACCAGTTAAGCCTAGGCTATTTTTTATGCATATGTTTATACATATGTATATTATGGTGTATGGTGTATATATACATAAAACACTATACCTATAGCGTTGTTTTTTTGTCAAATTTTATAAAATATAGTTTGGTCCCAACAATTTTATTAAGCTACCCCTGAGAAGTTTATTCAGGACATAATTTTATAGATTAATGATATAAAATGTTTTAAATTTTTTCATTAAATAACTTAATTAAGAAAAAAGCTCAAAAATAGGTTAAAAATATTTTTATATTATTTAATATTTTTATTACACGCCATATATGCCTAATAAAACAATGAAGGTATGATATCATATTTTATATAATTAATTATTAATTATGTATATAATATTAAATAAATTTACTGCCTAATAATTTGATAACATACAATTAATAAATAAGTTTGCACATGGGATTTGTGCACAACCATGGTTAAATTGATAAAATCTTATCAAATAGTAAAACACTTTATTGTAAACAATTATTGGGTGTGAACTAAAGCAGCTAAAATGCCGAATTGTCCTAGATGCGGAAAAACCGTTTATTTTGGTAAGTTTTTTTATATAATTTAAAAATTAAGCTATATATATTAATATATATATATATGTATATATACATACAATAATTAAACAATTAAACTTATTTCTATATACCAAATAATTTTATAACTAATTTTATTCAAATAGGTATGTAATTAATTTATACCTACATGTAGGTATGCATACATTAATTAATGAAAGTGGTTTCTCCTATGATTATTATTTTTTTTGGAATAATCAATTCCCTCATAGTAAATAACGTATTTTGGATAAAAAGTAAAATCATCATATTTAACAATGACCTTGTCATTGTCTGCTTTAGTGGTGTCATAACCATTAGGTGGCAGGGTTAACCCCTGTTCACCGTGGCACCAATTGTTCACCAAAACATCCACTACCAGCATTATTTTTTCCTCATTCTTGTCACAGTAATGTGTTGAGTAGTAACTTATGTTAGAAAACGAAACTCCCCTACCAAACTTGCTTCTTTGATGTAGTCTCCAATTTAGATTTTCCTTGCAAATTGCATCCAAACAATGTATTTTGGTACCATGATACAGTGTTTCCACATTATTGCACTTGGTTTGAATTTGTTTTAATTTGTATTTTGCGTAAAGATACTTGTTTTGCATTTTGCAGATTTTAGTCACTTTGTAAAAACTTTTGTTGGTTCTTTTGAATTTATTTACTAAAGCATAGTATTCTGCATCATAGTTGGGTACGAGTACAAGGCAGTATGATGAATTTGGGTTATGTTGCTGCCATTGGTTTGTATCTGTAAAGTTTTTCAACAAATCACGAATTAAAAGTGGTTTTGATAATATTCTTTCATCTGGTTTTACTGATCGACCTTGTCTCGTAATGTATAATTGTCTTGTTAATCTAGCTAAATATTCATCTTCATCTCTCCTTTGTTGAGCTAATCTATATTCATCTCTTTGTGTTTGCTCAAGTCTTGTTCTTCTTTGTTCTTCTAATATTCTTAAATGTGCTTGCTGTGAAATTCTTTGTTGTCTTAAAAGCTCAGCACGTCTCCTCTCTTCACTTTCATTTGAAAACAGATTTCCCATTTTTGCACATTTAACCAAAGCTTCTTAAAATACAATTGCAACTAACCACCCGCAACCCAAATACGAACTCAGAGTACGAACTGAAGCCGCTTTAGTGAAGCGTCACGTAATAAGGGGGGAGTTTTAGGTAAACAGGGGATTCCCCTAAAACCGTTTTAGTTTTATTTAGTAAAACCGTTTGTTACCAAACAGTTATTTTCTAATCTCAATGTTATAAAGCATGTGCTTGATAAATTATGCAGGTAAAATACATTAATTAATATTATTTTGAAAATTTTATTTGTCGAGATAAGTTGATAATCAAATTAAGATATTATTTCGATAGATATTTAGAGAATCAAGATTTTTGCTGGTCCTGTGGCCTATATTCGTAATTATTTTATTTAAATTGTATTTTTTCATGTATTTATTGTTTATTTTTATAGGCCACCCTGGGCCAAACGTCAACAAACAGTAAACGTTAAAATCTGGCAACACCGCAACTCGAAGCCTTGAATTGCATATGCTATCGCTTTAAGGGACTTTTTGTTATATGTTTGGTATCCATGATAGTACAAACGAAAAGGAGTAATTCCCAATATCAATTCCTTACAATTCAATAATTTAAAAAAATATATGTACTTACCTACTAATATACCTACTAGCACAATGTGTGGATTGTATATATTAGTATAGTCTCCGCGTCGAATGTTGTCCGTTGCGTCATAAATTTCAAATGTCAAAAACCGGTTTTTCGACATACGTCCGGCATACATACTCCTCGGCGACTATACAAAGAAAACATGTCTGCTTGGTTCACAAATAGATGACGCAACAGAAAACATTCGCCGCTACGACTATTATAGATAGTTAATTCATCATTGTTCATATATTAACTTTAGATATACTTTGATTTATCCTATTAATTTCTTTGGAATTGGAATTTTAAAAAATATGTACAATCACCATAAAATAACAATAACTAACGTATAAAAAGTTTTAGAAATTTAAAACGGTAAAAGCACAGAAAATTAATTTAACACAGTGACTAGAGGCACGCTAACGTACCGCGATTGAAAATATTAAAGGCACGTTAGTTACGTCATAATTATAATCCGTTTTTGTTCCCCGAGCGTTTAATATTCGACATCAAGCTAGATAGCTCATATGGTAGGGCGGTCCCTTGGCATTCGAGAGGTCCCGGGTTCAATATTAAGAAGTTTTCGAACTTTTTTTATTTTTTTATTTCATAAATTTGTTGTTTCTTTGTTAAACAGTGTTCGGTTGGGTTGGGTTGGTTTGTTTTAGTTTTATCTTAACATAAAATCTACTAGAAGTTGTCGAACTTTTTTTATTTCATAAATTTTTTGTTCCTTTGTTAAAAAGTGTTTTATTTTTATCGTAACATAAATTTGCCCATTTTAGTTTTTTGCTCAATGGGGCGGGGTCGGTTGGGTTGGTTTGGTTTTATGACGTAACTAACATACAGGTTTATCGAATAATAAATAACTTTGAACTCGGAATCTGTGGTTAAAACAATAAAATCTTCAAATTGTAAATAAATAATTTATTGTTAACAATAATTGGGTGTAAACAAAAGCAGCTAAAATGCCGAATTATCCTAGATACTGAAAAACCGTTTTTTTTTATAATTTAAAAAGCTATAATATAATATATATTATACAATGTACCTATTATTCATTATGTATACATTATATAATATATATATATATATTATATATATATACCTATATATATATATATATATATTATACTATATAAATTAATGTATATATAATTTATACTTACAATAATTAATTTAACAATTAAACCTCTTTATATATATACCAAATAATTTTATAATTTAACTTAAGTTATTAATAATAATTACTTTATTAGGTATTATAATTATTATTCATACATGAAATGGTTTCTCCTATGATAATTATTTTTTTTAGAATAATCAATTCCCTCATAGTAAATAACGTATTTTGGATAAAAAGTAAAATCATCATATTTAACAATGACCTTGTTTTTGTCTGCTTTAGTAGTTTCGTAACCATTAGGTGGCAGCATTAACCCCTGTTCACCGTGGCACCAATTGTTCACTAAAACATCCACTACCAGCATTATTTTTTCCTTGTCCTTGTCACAATAATGTGTTGAGTAGTAACTTATGCTAGAAAACGAAACTCCCCTACCAAACTTGCTTCTTTGATGTAGTCTCCAATTTAAGTTTTCCTTGCATATTGCATCCAAGCAATGCATTTTAGTACCATGATACAAAGTTTCGACATTATTGCACATAGTTTGAATTTGTTTTAGTTTGTATTTTGCGTAAAGGTACTTATTTTGCATTTTGGCAATTTGTGTCACTTTGTAAAAATTTTTGTTGGTTCTTCTAAATTTATTTACTAAATTATGGTATTCTGCATCATAGTTGGGCAGAAGTACAAGGCAGTATGATGAATTTGGGTCATGTTGCTGCCATTGGTTTGTTTCTGTAAAGTTTATCAACAAATCAAGGATTAAACGTGGTTTTGACAATATTTTTTCATCCGCTTTTACTGAACGACCTGGTGTTGTTATATACAATTGTCTTGTTAATGTAGCTAACTCTTCATCTCGTCTCTTTTGAGCTAATCTAGTCTCATCTCTTTGTGTTTGCTCAAGTCTTGTTCTCCTTTTTACTTCAAATATTCTTAAATGTGCTTGCTGGGAAATTCTTTCTTGTCTTAAAAGCTCGAGATGATCAGCACGTCTACTCTCTTCATTTTCGTGTGCTAATCTAGCTAACTCTTCATCTCTCTCTTTTTGAGCTAATCTAACTTCATCTCTTTGTGTTTGCTCAAGTCTTGTTCTCCTTTCTTCTTTTAATATTCTTAAATGTGCTTGCTGGGAAATTTTTGTTGTCTTAAAAGCTCGAGCTGATCAGCACGTCTACTCTCTTCACTTTCGGGTGCTAATCTAGCTAATTCTTCATCTCTCTCTTTTTGAGCTAATCTAACTTCATCTCTTTGTGTTTGCTCAAGTCTCTTTTCTTCTTCTAATCTTGTTAAATGTGCTCGCAGGGAAAATCGTTGTCTTAAAAGCTCAGGACGTCTACTCTCTTGCTCCTTATTTGAACACAGATTTCCCATTTTTGCACATTCAACAGAACCTTGTTAAATTACAATTGCAACTGACATATAATAAAAACGATACGCAACCCAATATAAAATTACTTGTGGCTTAACCAGATGTTTTTTAGGTTAGAAGGGGATTCCCCTCATAGAAATAATAGTTTTATTTCTCCCCTAAATCGGGAACCACGGATTTTCTAATCTAGTATTAGGATAAGGACTTCTTTTTATATTGATATTTTTTTTAATTTGTGGAGTTAGTAAATAATCAAGTTGAGCTATTGAATCGAAAGTTCGATAGAAGGAATTATTTAATTGGAGGAATAAGGATTCTTGGCCGAAATCTTCTTGTCTCTATTTTTAATCATGTTATTTAAATTGTATTTTTTATGTTTTTATTGTTATTTTGACGATAATACAGTACCCTTGCACTGAAAAAAATAATCCGGCAACATTGCAATGGTTTTAAAATTTTTAGTTCCATACCACAGACCACCTGTGTCCTATACCGTATACCAACTACAAATAACAAATACGATTACCAAAAGTTGTTTACGATAAAGCTTGTTCTAGAAAAATTAAAGTTTCAACAAGCCAATAGTTAATGCCGACTAGTCTTATTAAATATGATTTGGAGTTGGTTTACTATAATTATTACAACAATATTGATTCGATATTGGAACAAACCCATCGCCATTTAATAATAGCTACCGAGCATTGTGAAATTCTGATTGTGAATATTAAATGAAGGTCAAGGTCATGTTTAATTCCAAATTACGCCTCTATTTTAGTACAGCGCATGCGAATTTAGAACTGCGCATGTCCCTGACGTCTATCTGACAGTTAAAATGTATGAACAAACCTAAAAGTTTATTTAATCTTTGGTTTCAATCCGAAACAAACAATGAACCAGAGAAATACCACTCTATTTCTCTGCAATGAACAGAACATCAGCGCCCTCTTCAAGGTTGCCAACTTCGGGGTTTTCCCCCCAAATTTAGGGGGTAAATAAGTCGGATGGAATTTTTTTAGGGGCTTTATATTTTTAGGGGTATTTTTAGGGATTTTTTTATTATTTATATTTATTTTTTTATCAATTATTTTTATCATTAAGAGAAATAAAAGTGTAAAAATATATAACTTGGAAACCCAATTTCGTTAATAATATTTATTTGTTGACCTAGTGGCTGGGACCATCTGGTACAGTTCCATGTTATTAAAAATTCGGTGGATCTTTCACAACGTTTAATCCATCCACTACAATGTTAAATTTATTTAATTATGTAATTTATAAAAATTAGAATCAGAAGACGAAATTATATTTGACGTAATAAACATTGGGCCCATTGATGTAACTTTCTTGCTAACTGGTCCGCTAAAAATATCACCAGAAAAGAAATAAGTTTTAGTTTGCGGTTGATTACCTGACAAGCTCATACGTTTCATTTAATATAGTCTTGTTTCCCCCACTACGTGTGTTCCCCTGTTCATTTTTACAATAACAAAGCAGCCATGACTCATAAATCAATTTTAACAGATTCTAACCTCGAAATTTTAGCAAGAGCTTCAGAGCTCCCGATAACTTAGCCAGAGTTTTGAATTTAGCGCCACAATCGTGGCGTGGAAGGTTCAACCTTCAAGGTTGGTACCGGCATGTTTATAACCTATAAATTTTCGTGAAACGTTTATCTTTGGTTTGTAGTTAATTAACTAATTGCTAGTCAAAAATGAACGATTTGGGTAATGAAATCGAGCAACTAATTGTGGAAGAAATCGAGGAAATGATAGTTGGTGAAAATCAAAGGTTAGTATTAATTAATTGATTAATTGATTGGTAAGTAGGTACCAACACATTAAACATGTTTTGTATGCCTTGGTGTATATTTTGTACGTAAAATAGTGGCATTCAATTGTAAAAACTTGAATTTGTTTATTCAAATAATTTTAGTATGTTTCCCATATATGTATGTAAGTATTACAATAAACAAATTAAAATAAATAAATTCGAATCTTTTCAATTTAATTGCTCCAAACTATTAATTTTAAGGTAAGCCAAAATTTACTGGAAGTGCGACTCATATAAATTGCACTCCCATTAACATTAATTATGAATTTTTATATTTTTAGTCATGAACTTAATTTGCAACAGAGAAGGCTACGTGATGACAGCAATCCTTTTAATTTGGAAAATAAAATGTTTTTGCGATATTTTAGAGTAACTAAAATTGTTGCAGAACAAATAATTTTTAAATTAGAACCATTCTTAACTCAGGGGCAACGGAGAACTGCAATTTCTGTTGAACTAAAGGTAAATTATTGAAGTATTACTAATTTATATTGCAAAATGCAATAATAATAAAAACATCCCTTCTAAAATAATTTTTAAAAATATACAGGGTGTCCTAAAATTAATGGTATACCGCAAAACAACAGATTCTTTAGGTAAAAATATTACCCCCACAATTTAACCATTGACAAGTTGATAAAGCACATAGGGTGACCTAGTTAAAAGTTTATTTAAAAAAAACAAATTTTTTTTGCACAAAGTGTGGTGTTTGGGTATTTTTCAGAGCAGAAATTTTAAATTTCCTTAAAAAAATAATGTAGATTTTAAAGAGAGCTGTCTGCAACACATTGCATTTAGCCTATTTTTTTTTACTTTTTTAGGTTGCTTCATCAATTTAAAATGTCATACATACATACATAATACAAAATTGTATTGTCCTTTATTTCTAAAACCTGATGTACCTGAATTAACAATTTAAAAAAATAGGCAAAGGAAAAACTTTATTTTACTTTAAACAAATACAATGTTTCGCATACAGCCCTGAAAAGTATCAAATTTTGTGCAAAAACGTCATTAATTAGTGGACACCCTGTATATTTATTTTGGGTAAATTATAAATATATATGCATTTGTTTTAATGTTGTTTGCAATTTGTAGGTTCAAAACCATGTTTAATCTTCTGGGGGTGATAGGTGCCATTTATTGCACCCATGTGGAAATTGTGGCTCCTGCTGCTGAAGACCCTGTAAGGGGTATTACAGCCTAATGTTCAAATGGTATTTAGCAATGATTTTAATAATATTTAATTTGCAATAATACTAACTATATTTTTTTAGATTTGTGACCATGAGTTGAGAATTCTAAACTGCAATGCCAGATTTCCAGGCTCAACTCATGATTCTGGAATTTGGGCATTCAGTTTGATAAGAAATATGTTGCATGAGCAATATGTTTCAGGGCAGTGGAATGATGAGTGGCTAATTGGTATGATAAATGTTTTATATATTTTTTAATAATTATTTACATGTGTAATATGGTTTATTAGCATACAAAAGGTTCTGTACATATATATATATATATGTATATATATATATATATATATATGTGTGTGTACTGAGCCTTTTCTATGCTAATAAACCAAACATACCAACATATACAGGGTTTCCCATAATTAGCGTGCAATACTTTAACAGCAGGTTCTACGCATATAAGAAAAAAAGTTCCCATTAAAATAGGTCAAGAAATGTTTCCCAAGGGAGCTACAGCCCCGAAAGAGAAGCCCCTGAAGATGTTTTTTATTTAATATCTCCAAAACCGTTAAATAGAAAAGTGAAATTTTGGGATATAATTAAACTTTTTATGGCCAATAAGTTGCAATGATAACAAATTCAACATTTTCATAAGTGGTGGGTCAGATAGATAGGGAGTGTGGGTAAAACTACCCTAACTTTTTTGTACGTATCTTGAGCTATTATTTGATATGAGATCATAAAATTTTAGAGTTTTACACATAAAAAAGGTCCATTTGATGAACTTCAATAGCATGCACTGTTTTTGCTTAAAATCGATTTAAAAATTACCTTACATAGCATAAAAATTCATAATGAAATCACAACTGGAGAAAAAGATTCAGCGTAAGCCATGGACAATTTTTAAACACCCTGTCACATAGTACATGAAACTGTCACCTGTCTTAAATAATTTTTCATAAAAATGGCAGCTGTGTTCCATGGCCTAAGCTGATTTTTTTTCTTTTGTGAATTCATTATGACCATGTAATGTAATTTTTAAATTGATTTTAAGGTAAAACAGTGGATAATATCAAAGTTTAACAAGAGGACCTTTTTTGTGTGTAAAACTCCGAAATTTCATAATCTGACATCAAATCCTAGCACGAGACACATACAAAAAAGTTAGGGTGGTTTTAACCCCTACTCCCAACTACCTGACCCACCCCTTATCGAAATTTTGAATTGTTATTATTACATCTTATTGGCCATAAAAAGTTTGATTAATTCCCAAAATTTTACTTTTCTATCTTGAACGGTTTTGGATATATTAAATAAAAACCATCTTCAGGGGCTTCTCTTTCAGCTCTCTTAGAAAGCATTTCTCGGCCTACGTTTATAGGAACTTTTTTTCATATTTTTGTACGTAAAATCTGCTGCACGATAATTATGGGATACCCTGTATAACATAATATTTATTTTAGGTGACTCACGGTACCCACTGTTACCGTATTTGCTTACCACTATTATGGATGCCTCAGAAAATACACCGAAAGGTCGCTCATATAAGAGCAAGAAATGTAATAGAGCGATGCTTTGGTGTTCTTAAACAAAGGTTTCGGTGCCTGACCAAACACAGAACCTTGCATTATCATCCTGTCAAGGCAGCAGAAATAGAAGAATACTTCAAAGAATTAACTTGAAAATATAGAAGTTTTTTTGCTAGCTATAACATAGTGTAAAATAAATAAATATAATATAAAAATCATGTATTACTTACTATCACTGCATTAGTGTAATTTAGATATAAACATATTTTGTTAAATTAAAATAAAAGACTAAAATAGTACATATCCATTTAACAATATATTTTAAATCCAACTCAACATATAACCTAGATATGTTTGCAATATTGCATTTACATTTTTCCTATATGACAACTATAAAATGTTACATTTTATTCTGAAATGCTGAAAGATTTTGCTTCTATACTTTACAAACAT